TATTTAGCAGAGGAGGGTTTTAAGCTCTTGCTATTTGTTGTAGATACAATTTTTTGTATTATTGTGGAATTGCATGGGGATACATAGGGTTGAAAAGGCACTGTAATCTTTACTGGAAAAGGGTGATATTTTTTAATTTTGCATTTATTTATAAATGCATTATTTGGGTACTGTAACTTTGGTAATTGTTTCTGAATTTATTACTTGCCTTTAAAAATGTTATTTGAGGATTGCTTTTGTTTTATTTTTATTTTCTTCCAAGTTTTAATAAAAATATATAGTCAGGTGCATGGATTTCCTAACCATGCAAAGCCTGCATGATGATCTCAGTTCTGCAGAGAAAATGGTACACTTATCTGACCACCTGCAGTATTTTTAATGGCCTTTGTTTTGTTTTTCTTTTCTAAATATGCCATTCAGACCTGGGTTTCCATTGTAATTCTGAACCTTGCCCTGACCTGCCTCTCCTGTTATGTGCCCTGTGTAATAGATTGTGAAGAAGGTACCTAGAAAGCATTAAATGGTTTCCTTTCAAAAATGTGGTTTGTCCAAAATTTTGACTGTCTACATGATTGAGATGGGGTCAGTTGCCCTATTTTCCTTGATGGTTTGGAATTGTAAGAGTTGTCCAGGTGTTGCTTATTAAAGTTTTGGCAAACTAGAGAAACTGTGAGTTGATTTTGGTGTTTTGTCTCACACTGAGAATCTTGAATGTTTGTGTGTTTTAGTATTCAATGTATAGCCTCAATATTTGTAACAGATTGTTTTATTCTTATTTGCATATCTGGGTGCCTCTTGTTCTTTCTGATGCACACTTGCTGTCATTCCTGCAGCATGATGCTGGACCAGAAACCTTGTAATAATGTTCTGCTATAACCAAATTTTGGATAACAGCCAGTTTCCTCTGGATAGTTGATGAAGATATCCCAATGGGATTTGTGTTTCTTTTCATACTAAAAAGTAGATAAGCAAGGAACAGCAGTGTTTCCTCAAAGAAAGCCTTCATTTTTTCCTTTTCTGTAAATAAATAAAGTACTGGGGTGCAAGATTGTTACCCTCTTTTAGTGGGCAACCTTTCTGGATGCAGATGCAACACATATTTCTCAAGTGGAACCAGTACAGTCCATATGCTGTTGCCTCTGAATCACCGTAGTGAAGCCCTACTTTGGATGCCATTGGAAAGGAGTCCTTTTAAAACTCTGAGAGACACACACACACACACACACACACACTCGCTCCAGAAACATGACTATGTAAGGCTGATGCCTTAGAGTTTATAAAAATCCCAGAAGATTGGATTGAGGTGCCAGCAACAGCAAGGTCTCAGTTCTCTAGACTGTCAAACAGCAAGACTGACACAGCATTTGGTACTGCTGGGCTTCAAACGAGGGTGGAATTCCCAACCCCAGTGGGGAGCAGGTTTTATTGGCTGCGCTGCTAAGGGTTTGGAATTCACTTTATAGAATTCTATGCTTTCAATTGTGGGCACATAAGCAGCAACTTGAGTGATAGGCCACAGGTTCTGATTTTGCTCTCAATGCAAGCCAACTATTTGGAGTGGTAGGATTCTGCCACTTGGGTCAGACTTGAAATGTAGGCGGAGCCAGAATTTTATAGTTTGACAGGACAAATTCATGGAGGATGAAGCTTTATTCTAATTCCACTATTGAAGGAAATATGCCTTTGTACCAGTAGCTGGGAACCACTCAGGCCCTGCTTTTGGGCTTCCTGTGGGCATCTGGTTGACCATTTTGAAAACAGAAATACTAGGTGGGCCTTTAGTTTGATTCAGTGGGTCTCTTATGTTCTCCCCCCCCCACACACACCAGTTTCAAGAACTGCCCATTTCTCACTTGCTTGGTCTTTGCTTGGAAACTGATGCTTTAAAATTGACAGGCAGCTGTAGGTATTGTTTCTATGCCGCCCTAATGTGTTTCTCAAAGCAGAACCAAGCCTCATGTTCTGAACTGCCTGCAGTCTGAAGGCTGCTGAAAGGTGATATACCAGTAGCACCGGCGCTTCCTTGGGCAGGAACCAAACATATATCGGGCAAAATACCAGATGATGGAGAAACCGCTCTGGTTGCGAGGAATACCGAGTTGCCAAATGAGGGCCTCTGCCCCACCTCAAACCATGCCATGTGTAAACGTGCCTGAAAAACATCACGGGACCAGTTTCCCAGGGGCCATTTTGCCACCAGTCCCCAGTGGCGCTGTCCACGGTGCTGATTTTTTTCCAGCTCCACCTGGTCCGTGGACCATGGGGATTTTATCTCGTTAAAAACAACCACCACCACCATACATTATCGCCTTGCCTGCTCTTTGCGCGCATTTAATAACAAAAGCCCTCCGAGTCCCCTTAGAAAATGTATGGGGCTTCAGCAGCCAAAGCAGAGCTGGAGCCGCCGCCGCCGCCGCCCACAAAACTCCCTTCGGCGCCCAGTGGCGGCGCTCTGCCGAGAAAGGAAGAGAGGAAAGCGGAGGGTCGCTTCAAGCGGCGGCCTCTCGGCCATTGCAGCTCTCTCCCCCTCGGCAGCCCGGCTCAGCGCCGAGGAGCTCCAGACCGAGGCCCAGGCGCCACCGGGGTCTCCATGGCCGAGCGCGGGAGGCGGCGGCGGGCTTAGAGCGGGGCCCCCGGGGGTTGCTGCTGTCTCCGCGGCCGCTGGCTGGGTGAGGAGGGGCTGGCGCGATGTCCGGGTGCGGGATGGAGGCGGATTACCCCGCCTTTGAGAACCCGCTCTGCGGCGAGCTCAAGCACATTTGCAAAAGGATCAGAGAGACCTACAAGGAGATCAAAGAGGACCTGACCCCTTACAAAGATGATCGCTACTACAGGTAAGAGCAGCGGAGGCGAAGGGAGCAGCGCGCGGAGGGATGGAGAGGGAAAGAGAGGCCTCTTTATTTTCTAGGGAAATAGCTGTTTGCATCAGCGGTCTGGCCAAGCCCTGTTAAAAATGCTTCTTTAAATACAGCACGTAGGATTCAGAAGCAGCTATTCATTTATGAGCAATCCCCAGGGGAATCCTTATTTGCACGCACTTTGGGGGACGTGATTTGCAGAGTGAAGCCTTCCCACCCACCCCTCTTCCTCCTCCTCCTCCTCGCCGGCTGCGACACTCTTTTCCCTCCCGCGCCGCCGCTTTCTCAGTACCAAGGATGGAGATGGTCCAGCGTTTCAATATGGCTGCTGGGAAAAGGAGAGTTACCTTCTTCCAGCGGAGCTACCCTTTTTGTTTCTTTTGCGATGAGGTTTTGATGAGTCACTTCAGAGAGTCCCTGAAAGGGAACGAGTTTCTTGTGTAAGGAAAAGGGGGAAAGGGAAAGAGTTGCTTGAGTAACCTTCCTGATGGCATTTTCTAAATGTGGAATCTGGGTCTGGGATTCTTCTCGACTCTTGATCATATTCCACCATCACCCTGCCCGGAGAAGTTGAGAGGGATTTTCCCCACCGCATCACCGCCGAAAGAGCCCATGATCCTCTTGTACTTACATGGGGTTGTAATGTAAATAATCAGGGCTCCACCTTCTCTCCCATGAGTCCTCAGGATCTAAAAGCTGTGGTTCCTTTGCTCATTCTTCCCTAAACCTTCTCCTGCCCATATTCAGGTTTCCCCCCACCTAATAACTGATTTCCCTTTCATATGAAGAAGAAAACTACCTTTCCAAAATTTTCAGAGTTCGACAAAAACACAGGAGCAAGGTATCCCCCTGAGCGACAAGCCGGGGAATATCCTCTGTGTGGAACTCCATGAAATAGATGGTTCCTATGCATACTACAGGGACGCGGGTGGCGCTGTGGGTTAAACCACAGAGCCTAGGGCTTGCCGATCAGAAGGTTGGCGGTTCGAATCCCCGTGACGGGGTGAGCTCCCATTGCTTGGTCCCTGCTCCTGCCAACCTAGCAGTTTGAAAGCATGGCAAAGTGCAAGTAGATAAATAGGTACCACTCTGGCAGGAAGGTAAACGGTGTTTCCGTGTGCTGCTCTGGTTCGCCAGAAGCGGTTTAGTCATGATGGCCACATGACCCGGAAGCTGTACGCCGGCTCCCTCGGCCAATAAAGCGAGATGAGCGCTGCAACCCCAGAGTTGGCCACAACTGGACCTAATGGTCAGGGGTCCCTTTACCTTTACCTTTATGCATACTACATGCATTACTAACTAAAGTCTTTGCGGAATTTTATTTATCCATGTGGTTCAGGTTCCAGCAACTCTAACCATAAAGAAATACAGTTAAAAAACAACAGCCCTCCTTGTAATACTGGATGAAATCCAGCTCCACTAAATCCAGTGAGAGGTTTGCTGTTGACGTCAACAAAATGAGAATTGCATCCTTTACCTACCGTCTTAAGTCTTAGCTCATATCCCTTGATGAAAGGCACAGCTCTGTGCATATTTACTCAGAAGTTAAGTTTCACTGAGCTTAATAGGGATTATATTGTAAATTACGGGTCTGCTGTATAATAAAAACAGAGATGCAAGCCTTAAGAAGTATTATAAAATTAGAAATTAAGTAATAACCAGGTCCAATCTTATGAGCCAGGAAAAGCCTGCTTCTATCTGAATCACTGGTGGGTGGCGCGTCACATTTTGCCTTTTGTACCGTCAGGACAGATAAAGGCTATTGGAGGGTTGATTATTATGACGAACTATTTTTTTTTAAAAAATGTGTATATGTGTGGGGAAATAGAAGGTAAGATTTGAGTGGCGTTGCTGAGAGCTAAATATATGCCTCTCTTTCCATGGGAGATAGCTCTGTATGCGTGTGTGTGATTGAGATACTTGAAAACTACAATTCCCATGTCTCCTTGCGAGGCGTACCGTCGTGGAACTAACTGCCCTGAGGTAGTTTTCCCCCTGGCGGCTTTCAAACTGACAGCCGTTCGCAGAAGGAGCAACGCGCAGGCGCACACCCTCTCGGGCACACTATACTGACAGGGTGTTTTCCGAGGCGTTGCGGCCCCGCCCCTCCAGTCACGGCCCCGCCCCCTACAGCGCCCCAGAGGCGGAGCTGGCACGTTGGGTGACGCACGCGGAAGTGATGTGCGCAGCTGGCGCTGCCACGGAGCTCGGCGGGCGGGCGGCTGCCGCTTAGCTTGGGAGAGACCCGCTGCCGGAGTGGAGGCGGCGTGGCGCGCATGCGCAGCATGGATATGGATCTGTGAGTTTTGGGGGTAGCGGGACTTGCGCTGAGGGGTGGGGGGTGCGCGGTAGTTGCGCAGGCCGCGGAAGGAACTCTGGCTGACCTGAGCCTATTCCTCTGGCCGGACCACACGGGTTGCTGAGCGAGTGTTGCCCCGCCCCACCCGGCGTAATAAGCCGGAGCGTGTAGTGCTTTAGGCACAGATTTGGAGGAGGAAAACGCTCCTCTTTCCCTGCCTTGTGGGGCTGGCGAGAATTGGGGGGGGGGGGGGCTTAGGCTGTACGAGGAACTCTGTCTAACCCAGCGACCTGCTAATGACAGTGTCCCAGAAGCTCGCAAGCGGAGCAGAATGGGAACAGCTCCCTCGCTACCTCCCTATTTTAGCTAAATCGGAGCAAGCTGGGAAGGCAGCAGTTCCCCTGAACATACACAGACTGCTTGCTTATTGTGGAATAGTCGCTGCCACCCCCTTTGCCTTTATAATTAGTGTCAGAGCCTTCGGTCAGCAAGTGACAGGTGTCATTTGAATATGACACAGACTTTCGGCCGCAGCACCGTTCATTTTAGAAACAAATCATTTGAGGAATGGATCCTTCTTTCCTCTAGCTCCTTTATTGCTTAGTGATTGTGAGAGGCAGGGAGAGATGTCTGAGCATGTGTGTCATATTTGTACCACTCATTAAGGCCTTTTGTGCATTTGGTGAGCTGGGTAGTGTTAACTTATTTTTGACAGAAATGCTCAGTGGAAGAGTGTTGCCTCACATTGTCCCCAAAGCCATGCCAACGTAAAGGTTGGAGTCTGGACAGTTGTTGGCTCGAGTTACATTGACATACAAAAGCTAGCTCAAATGTTACAATGAAGCAGGATAAGACATTTTCAGGTACCACATGTCTTAACATAGGTACCACACATGGAGTCCTGTGTTCAACTCAGGGTGCCACAATTTACGAAGGACATTGACAAGCTGGAATGTGTGCAAAGGAGGGTGACCAAGATGCTAAAGGGTCTGGAAACCAAGCTTTATGAGGAACAGTTGATAGAATTGGGTTTGTTTACCCTGGAAAAGAGGGGACTGAGATAAGACACACATCTTCAGATATGTAAAGGGCTGTCACATGGAGGATGGAGCAAGCTTGTTTTCTCCTGCTCCAGAGGGCAGTACCTGAACCAGTGGCTTCAAGTTACAAGAAAGGAGAGTCAGTCTAAACACGGGAAGAACAGTATTCTGGAACAAACTCCTACAAGAGGTGGTGGACTCTACTTCATGGAAGATTTTTAAGGAGAGGTTGGATGGCCATCTGTCATGTATAATCTAGTTGAGATTCCTGCATTGCAGGAGGTTGGACTAGATGACCCTTACGAGTCCCTTCCAACTCTGTACTTCTATGATTCTATAACTTCTGCTATTGCATTTAAAGCGGACTTTTATCAGTGATGAGATCCAGGAGTTTAAAAAGTAGCTGAGACCCTCTAGATCTTCCTGTAGATGAAAGCTTCACTCAAGCTCCAATTCACACATGTTAAAGGGAAGTGCTGTTCTTTTGCACTCCTTGTTTCTTTAAATGTATGAACTGTCTATGAGATAGTTTGAAACTAGCTCTTAGTAGGACTGCTGTGGTATTTACAATGTTTGCAAATGTCTTAGGAAAGATCTGTTTAATAAGCCGAGTTCAGGGTGCTTCTGATTTTTGCTTCTCCTCATACTTCATACAAGTTTAATAAATAATACCTATTTTCTGCTTGTGACCTTTAGAGAGAACGGAATGATTTCTCTGCCTAATTATCAGAAGCAACTTTATAAAATGTGTGGACAAAAGTTCACAAAACTGGTTTTGGCTCTAAAGTTCTTAAAACAAACACACACAAGCTAGATCACACACAAGGCCACTAGATCATTTCCTTGCTCTCCTTTCAAGGAAACTGACTCTCCTTTTTGTGTTTCCTGCTGAGGACCTGAAGGCTGATTCCTCTGTAGAAAAGTCAACTTAAATGTTGGGTTGCTTCTCTATTGCATACTGAATCTCTGCCATAGCAAGCAAGTTAACCAGTGTCTCAAAATGACCATGGCTGTAAGAGGTGGTATTACCTTCTGTCCCCAGCAGATTTTCACAATGGCTGCTTGAAAACCGGTGCCATGAATAAAGTAGATAACTTCTAGACAACACGCTGGACTGAAAACTCATGGTACCTGACATGTTCTTCAGGAATTGAGTAATATTTTAGCATTTATATAGTGTTTTAATGTGTTGAAAGAGCTTTACTTAAAATATTGCATAGTGGGTAGTAGAGTCTGAGCTACAAACCAGGAAATTCCAGGTTCATAGCTCACCTTGGTCATAAGCCACTCTCTCTTAGCCTCCGGCCGCTGCCTGCAATATGGGAGAAAATAATACTGAATTACCCTGCAGGGTTGTTATAAGGATTTTAACTAGATAAAGCATGTGAAGTGCTTTGAACACTTGAAAGCACTATACAAATTTCTTTAATTTTTGGTATTAATAGTAATAGTTCTTGTAGCAACCAGAGGTAAGATTAGATCCACACTTTCTGGTACACAGCTCAACCTCTTAGTCACTACGTTTCAGGGTATATGCACTTGATTTGTTTCACTTGTGATATGCTCGTTTTAGTTACATCTCCACCTCTGCACATCTTCAAGTATGTGGCAAAAGATTCAGATATCCAATAATCAGCATGACCAACAGGAAAATCTCTCTGTGTTTCTTTGTTTTACTTTTGGAGAAAGCTTGGTGGTACTGCAGGAAAAAAGCACAGTAAAACAAATAATGTGAATTGCCTTGAGTCACATTAAGGTGTCATTCTGCACACTTTTCATGCAACGTGCATCCTGACCATAATAATATGACTCAGAAGAAAACCTCATTGCACTTACGCGGCGGGGTGAGCTCCTGTCTTTCGGTCCCAGCTCCTGCCCACCTAGCAGTTCGAAAGCACCCTTAAGTGCAAGTAGATAAATAGGTACCGCTTTATAGCGGGAAGGTAAATGGCGTTTCCATGTGCTGCGCTGGTGCTGGCTCGCCAGAGCAGCTTCGTCACGCTGGCCACGTGACCCGGAAGTGTCTCTGGACAGCGCTGGCCCCCGGCCTCAAGTGAGATGGGCGCACAACCCTAGAATTGGACATGACTGGCCCGTACGGGCAGGGGTACCTTTACCTTAAGAATTAATTATGGGAGGTGTGGCAAAGTGAGGGGGGTGGACTCTAGCTGAATACTTGTTTGCCAGTGGGGAAACTGACTGCTAGGTCCAGTGATGTGGGGCGGACTTTTTTTTAAAGGGCACATTTTTCCAGTTCTTTTTTTTCTATGAAAAAAGGTTCCATTTGATAATTTCAGAAGTAGCAATGAATGGATGCCAACTACAAATGCAATATTAGGCAACCTTGATGCTTTCAAATGTTTAGCTTTGTTTGCTAAATACAGGTAAAATAAACATTCTAAATTGGATTAGTCTCTAGGGCAGTGAAGGCCAAACTTGGCCCTCTAGCTGTTTTGAGACTGCAATTCCCATCATCCGTGACCACTGTTAGCGAGGGATGATGGGAGTTGTAGTCCAAAAACAGCTGGAGGGCCAAGTTTGGCCATCACTGCTCTAGGGCATCAAAAGGTGTTCAGATGCAGATTACCTTGATTTGAAATTACCCGCCCCCCATCCCACATCACTGGCTAAGACACGGTCTTAGAACTTCCAGCTACAATTTTAAGTCACTAATATTCCTGATTCTTTATTGCCCATACTAAATTGATCCTGGGACAGGTACGGGTGTACTGTGCGACTCCTGGTTACATGTGCTCCAAGTGAATACTAGATCTTTTCCCTTCTTTAAATCTTCTGTTTTCTCTCTCTCCTGCTTCTCTGATGCTGCTGAGTGATGGGGTTAAGACGCCTCTCTCTTTAGGACTGTTGCATCAGAGGTAAATCAAGGACGGTTAAACCTGTGGATATGTTGTGTTCAGTCTAACATCCTTAGGAATGATTTTTTTCCCTTTTGGATCAGATGGGATCGTGGCCTTTTGAGGGTGTTGGTTTTCCCCTCTGTCTTTCACTGCAGCTTGGCTGGCCTGCATGGCTGATCTGGAGCAGCAGTTCTGTAAGCCCTTCTTGCAGTGTATCTCTGCTCCTCTGCTTTTGTACATTGCAGCCTGCATTGCATGGGAGGAAGCAAACCAAAGGCTGCTTGTGGGCTGAGTGGCGTTTTGCGCTCTCTAAACCCCGGCTTTGTCGGTATAAACCATTTTGTGCCTGCAAGGTATGAAAAAAGAGGCAAGCCGCAGACTTGTGCACACTTTGCGTTCCCTTCCCTTGCTCTTGTCCTGCTGTCCTTAAGTGAAAAAAAAATATGGACAGCTAGGGCAAAATCAGGCTGGATCTTGTTTACGTTACTTATGAGGTGGAATAAAGTTAATCCGTCGTAAGCAGGGTGTATGGGGATAACTTGCAGGGGAAAGGGTTGTGTATATACCTACTTCACTTGCTGGTTTCTTTCTGTGATCACCCCAATCATTTCCCCCCCCCCCCATTTCTAGGAACCCAACTGGAAGAAAAACAGTTGGGTGGGTGTCCAAAGGAAAAGAGCTTCTGTGAGGGACAGTCACGCTCTCACTACATGCTTTGCAGTTTGGTTCCTTTGCCTCATTTTTGCCACTGCTGAGTTTGAAGATAATTTCCTAGATTATGGTTTTTTTTCCTTTTTGTGAATTGCTATTTATTACCAAAAAAATCTCCTAATTTCTTAACTATGTATTTTGACATGCTTTTCAATTTCCTTGAATACCTGTAATGCAGAAGTGGAAGCATTCATTCAACAAGGAAAGTGTTTCAAAATAACATGTTAGTCCTGTTTTGAGTTCCCAATAGGCTGAATGCTAAAAGTGTCCAACCTGTTTTTCGCCCTGTAATAGATGGGTTAATTTATAGATGGCTAACTGTTTATAGTTTGAAAGTCTGCTCCATAATGTATCTTGGCGTTGCCTTCCTATTGATTCAAGCACAATCTTAATGTCAGTTCATGACTGTGCATGTGGAAAATGTTGATTCATCCCTCTTGTTACCAAGCTGTATTAAGCAGCTGATATCACGACTACTGCATATCTGTAGCATATAAGTTAGAAAAAAGGTTGCACATACATTTCAGAATTTTGACGACTTTGAGAAGATATAACCAATATTCCACAGATAAAAATGTGCCTGCTTGTACCACCTGCTTAGCTATATGTAAGGTTCTGTTATGGGGCACACCAATGTGTGGGGTATGTGGTCAGAATGAACCTGCTGCCAATCAAAGCAGTGCTTTACTGCCAGTCCTGGTCCCTGTTGGTTCAGCTTAATGATACTTGCTCCCAGGTAACTGTGTATAGGGCTACAGCCTTCGAAAAAGCCTTCCACTTTCTGATGGCACATTTTATCAAACAAAACATAGAGTGTTTTTAACTGGATACTTGGTGTGGGAAACTTGCTAACTTGTTCTTTCTCTCCTTGTTTGCAGGTTGGCCCCGATGCGATTGTATACGCTGTCCAAACGCCACTTTGTCTTGGTCTTCGTTGTATTCTTCATTTGTTTTGGTTTAACCGTTTTAATAGGTATTGCAGGTAAGATTTTGTCTTTTCGGTTAATGATTGTTTTCTCTATTTACTTGCCTCCTATTCTTTCCCATTGTTTTGCTATCAAGACATACAGCTTGAATTTGTGCCCCTTCCTTAGGTTTTTAATGAGTAGTTGGTGGTGGGGATTGAAATTTATCAAGTGTTTAAAAGAAGCTGGCACCACCCAAAACTGACAAGGAGCAGAGATCCTACCCACTAGCCCCAGCCATGGAGCCATTTTTGCCTTTTATGTTGTCTTATCCCTGACCACTGCAAGGTTACAAATTAGCCTGTGTCTCCATTCTCACCATACATGGTCCAGAATCTGCGTCCTGAAATTATATTGGACTTAGATTTTAGTAAAACATAACTACAAACAGTGTAGTCAAGTCCAGCTTGCTGCTCCTTGAAGCAATTTTATCCAGCCGTTGATAGTCCTTCTCAAATGTACTATGTACTGTGAGAAGTGGCTAGTGCATGCTTGAACATTCTTTCTTTTGGAGAGACATGCCTCTCAATTGTGATGTCTTGATTTCTTATGGAGAGGTTGAGTAATCATTAGTAAAAGTGTAATCACTAGTAAAAGTGATTCTTTTGATGGATTTTTTTTCTTAAGGTGATATTTTGGTATTTCATCCAATTTCTTGGTGATTTCAAATTGAGCTTTTGAACTGCTTAAAAACATTTGATGTGATAGACCCTTTTTATTTGGCTTGATACTTTTGTGGGAAGCAGCCAGGGTCAAGCTGCAGGTCTTGAGACATTTCAAAATGTAATGCTAAAACTTACAAGTACATTGCTGTACTTGTATCTTAGGGATGGCACTGAAATTGAAAGCAAAAACCCATGCAGACCACACACTTGGGGAAGTGAGGGACTGTGTTTTACATATTATAAATAAATTTTAGTGAGGAAATTGCACAGCAGATTGTACCCAAATGTGTGTGCTTGCTTAGTTTGGGTAAAGCACATATGGCTGCTTAAAAAAAAAGGTAAAAGGTAAAGGACCCTTGGACAGTTAAGTCCAGTCAAAGTTGACTATGGGGACACCAGGCTAACTCCCATAATAAAAAATGTGTGCATGATATATTATAAAAATCTTGTACATTTCAAAGAAATGCCTTTACATTCAAAACATGTATGTATATAGTTAGTCACATTGCCAAGCAGGATAATTCCTGCAAGCTCTCTCTCCACCTCCCTCCCTATTCATAAGAGGGTGGCTGTCTTGATGCTAATCAGTGGCTGCATTTGAACATCACTGTAACCTATGGTTTATACCAGGGGGAGGGACAAACTGGCAGCTGTTCCTGTAAGCTTTTGTGGCCCGCCCCCCCGGGAAGACTCTCCAAAACGTGTCACCTAATTTTTCATTTTTAAATACAAAACTGTTTAAAACTTTTAATATTTATCCCCCCCCAAAAAAACTCTTGTTTTTCTACTGCTCCCGTAATGCAAAAGGCTTATTTGCCCCTTAGTCTTCCCCAGCTTCATCCGTTTTTAAAAGTTATTCCCTCCCCCGACTGTTCACAGAGGACCCCTTTTATGATTCTGTGATATGAAAAGATTTTTGTCACACCCACACACCCAATTTCCCCAAAACGTGGCTATAAAAAACCTATATTTTTAACTGAATTTAATAATGAATGATAAAAAATCGTCCGAAGGCAAGCTTGAGAACTGCAGTTCTCATCACAGCCACTTTTACACTTTGGCCATGAAACTTAGGCATGTTCCCTTAGGCCATCAGAGTGCGGCCATCAGCCCCCTAAAGGTGAGCCATTCCTGGCACGTCATGATGCGACTGAGCCACAGTGAGCCTCAGGCTCCCTTGCTCCCCTGTCTCCATTCAGCACAGACATAGAGGAAAGAAGTTAAGAACCTTTCACTTCCAGTTCTAATTTCTCATTATTATTGAATAGATATTATCCTGCCCTCCAAATAAGAGTCACTAGGGAGTGCGATCTGGTCCACAGTAGGTTGACCACTGCTGATTATTCTCTATCGGCTGGGTTATTCAAATGTTATTTACATATTTAGTACAGAGACTAGTCTACACTGAAAACACTTGTTGAAAAGAATACAAACTCTGAACTGAATACAGTTATCCGAAGACAGTAACCCATAAGCTTCTTGCGTGCGATTCTAAACACGCATACTTAGAAGTGTCTTATAATGGAATTTCCTTGGTACACTTGGGATTGGAGTGCTGCTTTCAGTAAATTTCTATTCTCTGCTGAAACTGTGTAGTCAATAGTTTTGCTACATAATAATCTGAGCTACATTCCATCATGCAGAATTGCTCTCAAGCACCATAAGGTACTTTGTACCATGCTGGAATGGTGGACCTGACCTTTGATATTGTGGTGAAACTGTTGATGCTGTAGCTTCTTTATCCATACTCTGTTATGTTGGCAGACTGGTTTATTTGAGCCCAATTTACTGATAAACATAGTTTACTTTTAAAGAGTTCAGTAGCAATAAAGGATGCTCCAGCTGTTTTTTTAAAAAAAGAAAAATACTTTTTTGAGACTTCTGTTTCTTAAAACAAGATGAGAATCCAGACTGTAGCAGAATGAGAGCTCAAAGGCATAGCTGTGGGTGCGGTATAGAAGAGCAGGATTTTCTGCAAGGCAAAGACGAGTCCACATATTGTGGCTGACACATCCCAGCCTGCCCTTCAGACGTAGGGGGCAAGGTCTCATCTGAGATCATGCCATGTTCAAGATCCAAAGTCACTGTGTGGTGGTGGGATTTCCTGTGGTCCCCTGCCCTCTGAGCTAGAAAGTGAGCTGAGGGGCTTTCCCTCTTGCACTGAGTCACAGTGACACCAGGAAAGCACTGAGAAATCTCTCTGCATTGGGGAGGGCTCCTGCATATTTTCCAGACCATCCTCTGGCCAGTGGCAAACTGGCATTTGTAGACCCTTGGGTGGTGATGAGCATGAAGGAAGGGTGGGCCTTGAGAGATGCCACCTGCTCCCACTCTTCAAATATTATTTCAGTCCAGTTGTTTCTGAGGCTATGCTAGATACTGCAGTGGGCGATCCCTCTTCCAGCTGCTGGACTGTGATATCATAGAAACCTTCTCAAGGCTGCTCTCTTCCATTGTGCTGCAGTGGTTTACAAAAAGAAAATCTGGTTGCAAACCTGTTGCAGGCAAATCAAATCTCCTGTCTCTTGTGCCTGGCATCTGGAATTCTGCATGTGACCTGAATTCACAGCAGGGCTGGGGAATCTGTGGCTGTCCAAATGTTGGACTAAAACTCCCATGAGCCCTGACCATTGTCCAGGCTGGCTGGGCTTGATGGGAGTTGGTGTCTAATAGCATATGGAGGAATGCATGTTCCCAACCCTGATACCGAGATGCCATTTAGCTATCATGGCTAATAGTTATTGATAGACCTGTTCTTCTCCCACCAGAGGAAACAACCTACTTATAGAAAGCTGCTATACTGGGGGGAACTAGGCTTGGTACCCTTTTCACTAGCATATCGCTTCCTGTGTGCATAGAGTGTGTTTTAAAAGTGGGAGGACCATTCAACCCTCCACTAAAACGCCCTCTAAAGTAGAACAGTCTCTGGCTATGTAGTCTATAGTCCAGTTTTGTTCTGTGGTGAGCTATATGTCTAAAGATCCTTTGACGTCTGTAGTGTATGGTAATGTGAATGTGGAACTTGACTCTGAGTCCAATTGAATTCTATCGGCAATGTGGATAAGAAATCTTCCCTTAATTTTGATGCATGTGTAAAACAGGAGCTTCTGTGTAATTTAACATTCTCTATCTGTCTATCATTCCTGACATTTTCAGCTAATAACGGTCGTCATTAAAAATTTAGGCTACAACAGGTATTCGCATATTGAGCTCATGTCTCTGTCTGTTGTATAGGTCCCAATGTCATCGAACCCTTTCAAGTGAAATCTCAGTTGAATAATGGCTCCAAGGTAAGTCTTCTTATACTGTTTATAGATTGTGCATGCTTGTTCTGACACACAAATATTTCAGGGTGGGATTCACCTAACAAACCCTGTCAGGGGAGCCCTTCACAAGGACTTATGCTTGTGCAATGGGGCTTTCCTCTCATACTCCCACCTGAGCCCCATGAAATGGGCTCCGAGAGGGAGGTTGGGAGAACCCCCAGAACTGTGTGCAGTTGGAGGAGAGGGAGAGTCATTTCACCTGGCAAGCTGGAACAATAGGAAGAGTACAACATTGAATTCCACACGTAGCCTCAAGTATTTGGTGTATTCAACACAATCCTTCCTAGGTCTGTGGGAGTTTGCCTTAGGACTTATTCCATCAGTTCTTGAGCTGGTCATGTTACATGGGGCATTTTCAGGACCCTGTGGAGCGAAGCAGAACCTAGACTGCAGACCTTGTGGAGGGTGTGGGGTTCAAAGGTCATCTGCAGGTAGCCATACTGAACAGTCCAATCTCAATGATATCAACAGAGGGTATGGATGCTCCTCCGAGCTCCTGCCACAGTCGTGACATACAGAAAAGAGAGGCATGCATTTGCCTAAGAACTGATTGATAGCACTTTTTCATCGTGTCCTAGTTATTTTTGCTGTGCCTTATAAGAATTCCTTCACTTTGCTTTGCTATTCTAGAAAACACTAGGAACAAGAAGACAGTATCTGCACCTTTCCTGCCACAAGCATTTTAGCTGTGCTGCATGTTGATGAGGAAGGGCCATGACTCAGTGGCAGAACACATTCTATGCATGCAGAAGGTCCTAGATTCAATCCCAAAAATATTCGGTTAAATTTCTGATGTAGCAGTGCTTGTAAGATTTCTGCCAGTCTTCTGGAGAACCCCTGGTAGAATAGATTGACCTGCATCCAGTCCTTTACTCTGCTAATGCGCTAATTTAGAACACCCACTGCCTCGTCTGGATTTGATGAAAAGGAGAGAGAAAGCTGGGTGTAATCCACATATTGATTGCACCACATCTCAGTCCACATCTCCCAATAACCCCTCACGGAGTTTCTTATACTTATGAAATAGCATGGATGGTAAAATGGAGCCCAGTGGAATCTCATAGTATAACAACCTCACAGACAAAACTTGCTCACAAAACTTGGAGAAGCTAATACAGTAAAATGAATGACTGTGGTTTAACTCTTGCTTCCATTTTGTTCTAGATAAGGCCATTTAATTTAAGTTCACCGCCGTTATCTACTTATAATCAGCAGTTATGGCTGACATGTGTAGTGGAGTTGGACCAACGTTTTGGTAAGTGTTACTTAGCTTATATGATTATATTAATTATGTATATATCAACCATATACGGAAATGTGTGTATATTGCCTGCCTGTACAATGTAAGGTCACCAGGACAGATAAAAGGAAGTAGTGCTTCACACAGTGCGTAGTTAAACAACGCAATTTGTTACCACAATGTACTAGCTTCAGTGAGCAGTTGTTATTGAGGGTTGGAATGTACTCTTGATTCCGTTATAGAATCCATTCATTTTTTGTTGTTACTGCATCTGTTATCATATATATATATATATATATATATATACTCTAGCCCATAAATTGTAGCATCTGAATGGACTTTTGTTTTTTCAGATAACAAATGGAATGGCTTGAAAAAAAACTTCAATATGCTGGTTACAATAAGTGGTGTAATAGAGAATGCAAGCGTCAGGTATTTTAACAAGGAACTTCACAACCGAACAAGGACACTGAACTGTGCACAGGTAATGGCAGTGTACCATTTCTTACAGATGAGCTATTTCTGTGGTTTAAAAGCATGATAGAGAGGTGAGGCAAGGTGAGGAAGTATCTCTGTTAGTGAAATCCATAAGCAAAATAGCTAATGTTTTTGACCCCACATTCAAAATGTTGCATTTTGAGAAGCAGTCATGGGCAATAATTCTGTTGGAGGTCCTGGAAAATTGTTGCCAGACAGGATTGACTATATTATATTAGGTGGATGAATTTTTTGATTCTAGTTTCTTGTTAACAACAAAGTGAGGAATTGCAGAGAGCATGTTTTAGAAGTATGAACCTCCAGATCCTCTTTCTGGAATCCACAAATCAAATCAAGGTTACAGCTGTTAACGATCTGCTAATCAACAGTTTCTGTGTTTGCTTTGTTAGTTTTCCTCGAAATCCAGTGGTCACAAAGCAGCACTTCTACTGAATGCAACTAGAGGTCCCAGATGAGTCTTTAGTCTTTCTTTGCCTTATGAGCTTAGGGCAGCTGTGCTGTTACAAACAGCAGAGAAGTCTAAGGGAGTATCATGCAAGAAGGCAGGGATACCCTAACTGAATTTCACCATTAAATCAATTCTGATATGCTGACTCATTTATTGCAACCGTTGGCCCAACCCTAAATGTCTCAAAAGCCTAGAAAGAAAAAAACCTGATTGTAGTTGGTGTGTGTATGGTGTTCTCACTGTTGAATTTCTTTCCCTTTCCCTCCCAATTTCCCCTCTTCCAATGTGTGCTCCTAGCAATGTGCTGAATTTATTGTGGTCCATCTTGGTTATCTGAACTACACTCGCTATGAGATCACTGTCGCCTTTGAAAACCTTCCTCCAATCAAGCATTACAATTTCACAGTAAGTGAAGTAAAGGCAAACATAGAATGAAAGTGTACAGTGGTGCCTCGCAAGACGAAATTAATCCGTTCCGCGAGTGTCTTCGTCTAGCGGTTTTTTCGTCTTGCGAAGCAACCCTATTAGCGGCTTAACGGATTAGCGCTATTAGCGGTTTAGCGGCTATTAAAGGCTTATCGGCTTAGCGGATTAGCTGCTATAAGGCTATTAAAGGCTTAGCGTCTTAGATAAAGGGGGGGGAAAGCGGAAAAAAAATCTCAAGACTCGCAAGACATTTTCGTCTTGCGAAGCAAGCCCACAGGGAAATTCGTCCTGCGAAGCAACTCAAAAACGGAAAACCCTTTCGTCTAGCGGGTTTTCCGTCTTGCGAGGCATTCGTCTTGCAGGGCACCACTGTAGTTTTAACTGTAAATCTTTGCGTTGACTGTAATATTGAAGGGCACATTATTTCCCCTTGAAGTTTCAATGGCTTAGACCCACAAGAAATACTGGTTCCAGTGCTAAATCCAGAACATCACACTGATAAATAAATGAGTAATAAAATACTGAATATAAACTATTATGACTGATGCCATCTACATTCCTTTAGCTTTTTTGTTAATATTCTAATTCCTTTCTTTCAGTGGAAAACCTATAACTCAGCCTTCTCTCAAGTGGAAATCTGGTTCCGATTTGTCTTTGTGGTCCTTACTTTCATCGTCACAGTGAGTGTCGATTGTTCAGTTTTATTTTTGTATGAGATACGGATGTTGCTCTGGAAGGGAGAGTTCATTGCTAGAGGGATGGAAGGATAATGGCAAGAGACATAGGTGGGATACAAAAGAGGGAGTGCTACGGGATAAGAAAAGTGAAGTGAATACAAGGAGAAATATAAGACACTGAGGTCTTCTGGTATGTGATGCCTCCCCAACATGGTTTGAGGTGGTTCCTGTTCACTGGGGTTTTGGGGCACTGTTGTTCTCCTGGGGCTGCATCAGCCAACCTATTCTCTGAAGTGCAAGAAATCCTTGCGGAACTTGCTGCCTAATGTAGCCCATGTGCCGCAGCTTACATTCTGCCGCCATTCTTCCTTTTTTATCTGAAGACAAACGGGTACTGCATAATCTTCACTGATTTTTTTTTTTTATGTTCCTTTGCAGTGTCTCTTTGCACACTCCCTGCGCAAGTTCTCTATGCGAGATTGGGGAATAGAGCAGAAGTGGATGTCAATCCTTCTCCCCCTGCTGTTGCTTTATAATGGTATTTATATGTATTACATCATACTGTGTTTGGCTCCTGGGGCCATGCTTTATAAGGCAGATTCTCCCCCGCCCTCCTCACATAAGTGAGATTGGGGAGGAAAGGAAAAATAAATAAGTACAAGCCCCTTTCTTTTGAAATAAGCTTGGGGAAGAGCAGGATCCATGTGATGTCCTCTTCTCAAAGAAGGACTTTTCACCCCTCTTCAGTTTTTGCCAATTCCCTATGGTGGTCCCCCCAAAAAAACCTCCAGCAGTTGAATTTTGGGGGCACCGGATACTGCAGGGGGCTGGCAAAAATCACCCCCCTCTTCTGTTAGCAGAGGCATCTGCTGGTTAAAAAAGCCTTTTGTGTGAGTACAAGTGTACCAGTTGGATTGCACCCTGGGTCAGCATGGGAGAATTTCAGTTCTCACTGATTCTAGCTTTCAAAAATAACTATTTATCCTCCCTTTCCACAGTTAGGTGACCAAGGCAGCCAGCAAAGGGTGGGTTGGGAAATTATTATAAAAATAAAATAAAATACAATGGTTTAGAATGTATAAAACAAGTGGCTGAACAACAGGAGCAGATAAAAAATCAGCAGCTGGCTTTCGCCATCCACCATCACAGAGTTGCAGGAAAGCAATATCAGTTTGGCAAGCTAAAAACCTGTTTGAAAAAGCCAAAACTCTTTCCCTGCTGGTTAGAGTCCATATGAGAGGGAGCTAGACAGGACTCCTTAGGAGAGGATTTGCATAGTCTGGGTGCAGCCACTGAGAAGGCTCTGTTGAGTCGCAACTCTGACACACAGTTAGGCTGCAAAAGAGTGTCCAAGTGCAGAGTGGAACAACATTTTCCGTGGTTGTCTTGTGACGCTTTTTCTTTTGTTGCAGATCCATTTTTCCCCCTCTCATTCCTAATCAACAGTTGGTTTCCTGGAATGCTAGATGACCTCTTCCAGTCGCTGTTCTTATGTGCATTGCTGCTGTTTTGGCTCTGTGTCTACCATGGGATCAGAGTGCAGGTCAGGAGACGACACATATTTCAATGCTATCTACATTCTGCCTTTCACACTTATCTCTTGCTCTGTGCATATGTGTGTGCGCTTTACTGCTTTTTACTGGATAAACACTCATTAAGTCACCCATTAAAACCTATTCCAAATAAACAGTTTTGGAAAAATCTTAAACCAAAGGAATACATAACATTAATAAATGGTCTCACTTGTCAAAGAGCAAGTTAAACTTACTTTATTTGTAGCGTTTTTAATCCTTCCCTTCCTCCGCTGAACTCAGAAAGCTGTAGTTCAGCCTCTCTCCCCCTCTCCCAGCCAAGTAGATTAGAGAGAACCTACAAATACCCTATGAACTTTATGAATTATTTCCCCCCCCTTGCATGCATCCTCTGTGTGAGTTTCTCAAAATTAAACTATTTGTTGCTGCTGTCCCTCAGAAAAAAAGTACAGCAATATTTCACAGTATTGTAAATTAACTGATGTCTGAAAACCAAGTTTAATAATCTTAATTTATCCTTTTCTTTGTTAGGGCGAAAGGAGGTGCATAACATTCTATTTTCCTAAACTCCTTATTGTTGGTCTTTTGTGGCTGGCTTCTGTTACATTAGGAATATGGCAGACGTGAGTAACTTCTCTCTTTTCATCTTTCCTCTTTTCCCTTCTCTGATCACTAAATTCTCTGATCACTAAATAGCCTTGAACAAGAAAGCAGGATTTTTTAAAAATAGTTCCTATGTTTTGCTTTTCCTCTAGTAAAAGCAAAGACTAAGTCCACCATTTGGAGAGTGTAAAGCACATGTTGAAACTGCAGTAAATATTGGGAGATAGCTTTGTATCCTGAGATCTGACTAAAGTCTTCCTTAGCTGCATAGATTCAGTCTGTTAGCATATGATCAGAATATGAAGTCTTCCTACTACATAGAGGGAGCCCACTTTGCTCGTGGTTGAGGTACCCTCTGGAACAGATTGAGGGAGTCCAGGAACCTTCATGATAAGGAAGAATCACTGAAAATTCTCTCCCTCCCCTATTCCGCCGAGGAATTATTTTCTTCCATGGGTAAGCACTGCATTGGATACTCAAGAAGTGGCAAACGTTATTCAGCTCTGAGTAGTCATAGGATTTTTAAACATTTTCCTAGTGCTATGTGTATGTGTATTTGAATGTGTTAGTTCCAGCTTTTTCAGTTCTGCATAAATAGGAAACATAATTACAAACTCAAATTGGAATCAATTTTTTCTGGCTTTTTCTTGTAAACTGTTGGGAAGACTAATAGAGAGAGTCTAAATCTGTATCTTATTAAGATGAGGGGAAAGAAATGGTCAAATTTTTTAACATGTTAGTTTCTATGGACTTATTTTTAGTTTTATGATGCATACAAATTCTTACATTAAATGGTCTTGTGTTGTTGTTTTTTAGTGTCAATGAACTACATGACCCAACATACCAGTATGGGATTGACACAAACAACTTTCAGGTAAATTAGTGTGAACAATCCTTTCTGTTTATATAAGAAATGCTGTGTGGATTATCAGATTTTGAAAAACGCTGAGCTATTTTGATCCGTCTGTCCAGCTGATGTCCTATGCTGACACAACTGCAAAACAATAGGTAACAGGCTGTCACTTAAATATTGGTTGTAGCTTTGCTTACATTTAGTTTCTAGGGACTACTTTTGTGATCCCTGGAAGAACCTTCAGAAAAAGAATGGTGAGAACCCACTTAAATTCAGGGTTAGAAACTTGAAATTGTTACGTGTAAGACTCCTCTGATCACAACAAAAGCCTACCAGCTTTGCAAAAAACCATCTCACACAGATTCTTGTAATTAGGAGAATCTCACATGTAACAAAATCAAGTTTCTAAAGGGCTGTCACATGGAAGATGGAGCAAGCTTGTTCTCTCCCACTCCAGAGTATAAGACCTGAACCAATAGATTCAAGTTACAAAAAAGGAGATTCTGACTAAACATCAGGAATAATTTTTTGAGCTGCTTCGCACTGGAACAGACTCCTTCTAAATATGATGGACTCTCCTTCCTTTGAGGTTTTTAAGTAGAGGTGGATAGCCGTCTTCCAGGGATGCTTTAGTTGATATTCCTGCATTGCAGGCGTTGAAGTCCCTTCCAACTTCCCTTCTACAATTCTACGGTTCTATTATTCTAATTTTGTTGAAAGACTTTTGTTGCCCACTTTTGTAAACTATAACTCTTTGTTGGTCATCAGTTATATCTTTCATTTAGATTCTTAGAAGTCCAGTTGCTGTTTCTAAGATCACGTGAGGATGTCTTAATACAACACAATAAATATTGGGAGATAATTGTATTAAGAGAAAATGAAACAGAACAGGAAAAATGAAGTGACTTATAAAGTCACTGTTCTCAGCTTCTTTTAAAAACATGTGACCACCTGTGCATCAGGTATGCAAATCAGGGGAAACACATAGAGAAACAGGATTGATAGCACAACATACCTATGTTTAGCCTGACCAGCATTTTGGAAATCATGTAAAACTGTTCTTATCCGAGAAGCATATAGTGACTGGGATTACGTTTAGCCATGGTTATTCAAATGTAAAGGCTTTCATCTAAAGGCACTTTTGCCCGAGTGAAAGGCTGGATATGCACCTTTGACACTGGAGACATATATTTTAGGGCCCATCCCATTCTCATAGCTGTAATTTGTTTTAACTGTCTTTGATATTGTATTTTTACGTTCTTGTAAGCTGCCCTTGGACCTCATCATGAAGGATAGGAAAGAAATGTTGTTGTCATTATCGTCATCAGAATAATATTTTTAAAACTTTTGTATATATTTTTGTAACAGGGTATGAAAATCTTCTTCCTTGTGGTGGCAGCTGTGTACATTTTGTACCTTTTGTTCCTGATAATCAGGGCATGCTCAGAACTCCGTAACATGCCCTATGTCGGTAAGCTCTGTTCTGTGCCAGTCATGGTTGCTGCGTGGCAATGTTCTTCCAGCGAGATATTTGTGTTCACTTTCAGATAACCATTTTTCTTCTCCTTTCCTCAGATCTCAGGCTAAAATTCTTGACCGCATTGACATTTGTAGTTCTCGTCATTAGGTAAGATACTAATTCTTTTCTGAAAGGTGCTAGATACAGAAATCATTCTGCTGAGGTGCAGATTAACATCCTTCACATTTCTGATAAAGCACGTACAGTCAAACCTCGGATCTCTGTTTTGGAACATTTTGGCTCCCGAAAGACAAAAACCCAGAAGTCAATGCTCTGGTTTTCAAGTGTACAGTGGTATCTCGGGTTAAGAACTTAATTCGTTCTGGAAGTCTGTTCTTAACCTGAAACTGTTCTTAACCTGAGGTAACACTTTAGCTTATGGGGCCTCCTGCTGCCGCCGTGCCACCGCTGCGTGATTTCTGTTCTCAGCCTGAAGCAAAGTTATTAACCCGAGGTACTATTTCTGGGTTAGTGGAGTCTGTAACCTGAAACATCTGTAACCTGAGGTACCACTGTATTTCGGAAGCCGAATGCCCAACGCAGCTTCCGCTTGAGTGCAGGAAGCTCCTGCAACCAGTCAGAAGCCATGCCTAGGTTGTAAAACATTTCAGAAACCGAATGGGCTTCCAGAACGGATTACGTTTGACAACCGAGGTTTGACTATATTAGATGCCGATACATTATGCTTGTCATATATACATGTAATATTTTTTGGTTTTTACAAACCACTTAGACTGTTTTGGTATTGTGGTATATAAATATATGAAATAATAACTTCCATTGGCACAATTACCACATCCTTCCCACAACTCCATCCCCTCCCATGCACTCATTTTTTGAGAATCTGGATGTTCCTGTGCGTTGACAGTAGATTTAATTAGGAAGGCTAACATTTACCCTAAGGGACGCGGGTGGCGCTGTGGTCTAAACCACTGAGCCTAGGGTTTGTCGGCAGTTCGAATCCCCGTGACTGGGTGAGCTCCTCTTGTTCAGTCCCTGCTCCTGCCAATCTAGCAGTTGGAAAGCACACCAAAAAGTGCAAGTAGATAAATAGGTACCGCTCTGGCGGGAAGGTAAACGGCGTTTCCGTGTGCTGCTCTGGTTTCAGCAGAAGTGGCTTAGTCATGCTGGCCACATGACCCGGAAAAATTGTCTGCGGACAAACTTCGGCTCCCTCGGCCAGTAAAGCGAGATGAGCGCCGCAACCCCAGAGTTGTTCGTGACTGGACTTAACTGTCAGGGGTTTTTTACCTTTACCTTTTAACATTTGCCCCAGCACTAATTTAATGTTTCATTTAACTCTGGTTAGAAAGTAATTACAAAATGTTGAGTGGCTTTTTGGTTTCTTCTCCCTTAACTGCAGCATCGTTATACTTTATCTGCGTTTTGGAGCCCAGGTTCTGCAAGACAACTTTGTGGCTGAACTGTCGACCCATTATCATAATTATATCCTTTTCTTGTGACATCGTGGTACTGAGATGTTTCAGTCAAGCTGTCTATGTCAGGCTGTTTGAGGGATTAGCATACTGTAGTTCCCTATATAATGAAGGCCATCAAAGCGTAGGCAAGGCAAGCACGGCTGCGCAGGGTGTTGCAAAGCAATGGCACTTCCACAGAAAAGCCCCTCTCCTGCATCCCAAGCAAACATAGCTCAAATGTTGGTGGCATGTGAAGGAGAGCCTCTCTATGTGATCTTAGTAGACAGGCTGGCTTTTAGCTTTTTGTATGTTGGGGCAGCTTTGAACATTAGCACTGCTTTCGTCTGTGACACTACCTATAGGTGAGGCAGCTGTAAAGCAGATTTGATTTTTAAATCTGGAGATAACTTTTTCCTAGATGTTTTGCTAGGGTTTTGACGCTGTCCAGGTTAGCTGCCTACATATATGTGGAGAATGACATTTGTATGCTGCGAAGTGTGCATCTTGAATTGTTTTGCTTGATATCCTTGACTGTTACCACCTGCAGAATTCTTATCGTTCTACGGCTTATTGAACTTCTATTTATACACATTAGCCTTTGTATATTCACCATCAAAAAATGCCCTGTATGGTAAGTTGGCCTCAGTTCGGCTTTTGCTTTCCCCCCTCTTTTCCTTCCATATTCTATTCAATTGCAAAGAGGTTGCATGTCATACTATTGTGTAAAATATTCAGGTATTATCTCTATTTGGATTTAAGTCCTAGAGCAGGCATAAGAAACTTGTGGCTTTCCACATGTTGTCTTCAAGCTCCTATCTGTCACCACTCACTATGCTGGTAGAGTCTTGCTTCCCTCCATGGTGCTCCATAAGAAGACATATTCCCCTCCTCCCCAAAATGCTAGGCTTGTGGTCTCTCTTGAAAGACTCATCTTGACTATCGAAAGCTTTCTGAAAGTTCAAATAAGCTGAACTGAAAAGGTCCTATAATGGAGAGATATCTTGTTAAGTGAACTTTTCCTTTGCAAAACCTTTCAGAGTCTCAGCTGAAAGATAATCCTGCCTTCTCTATGCTGAACGACTCAGATGATGATGTGATCTATGGGTAAGTAGCGTAAGGCTTACAGTAGTAGTATTAATTTAATATTTTTTCTCATATTCTACAAAATATAAGCCATGGAGGTTTCCTTTTAAAAAGGACTGCCCTGTCCCTGGTGATAGTTGTATATTGGAAGCAAATGATGAAGAATCTAGTACTTGTGGTAGGAATAGTATGAGGTCAAACATTTTTAAAAAGCTTCCATTAGTTCCCTCATGGAACTTAAGTGGCATATGTGGTCCCTTGCCCCATTTATCCTCACGGCAACTTACCAAGGTAGGTTGGCCTGAGAGAGAGTGAAAGGCCAGTAGATCTCTTGTGAGCTTCATCGCTGAGCAGTGATTTGAACTCGCTCCCGCAGGAGGCAGAGATGGCCACCAACCTGCATGACTTTAAAAGAGGATGAGACAAATTCATGGAGAGGGCTATTGATGGCTATACTCTGTCTCCACAGTTGGAGGCAGTAATGCTTCTGGATACCAGTGACTGGAAACCATGCAAGGAGAGAGTGTTCTTGTGCTTGAATCCTGCTTGCTGGTTTCCCTCAGGCATCTGGTTGTCCCCTGTGAGAAGAGGATGCTTTCATTGGCATCCTGATGGGTCATTGACCTGGTCCAGCAGGCTCTTCTTCTGTTCTGGTCCCAGTGTGCTCACTTGCTCACATATGACCTAACATCTCTCTATAGCCTCTGTGACCGCAGAGTTTTATAGTCACAGAATTGGTTATAAGATGAGAGGGCTCCGTTCTAGGGAGCGAGGTCTGAATTTGTGAGATAAGCCACGTGAGTGAAATGTGTGTATGGCAGGGAAAGCAAGTGCTTATCCCCCACGGAGTTTTGCTTTTCTTTTCTGAGAAAAGCATGTGTCCCTGCTTGTTTCCTCATCTTTTGGTCCTGTCTCAAATTCAGCAGCAAGCAAGACAAGTGTACACTTCCAACTGAGCCATCAGTGTTACATTGAGGATGCCTTAAAAATTAGTGAATTGCTTTGAACACTAAAATTAAAGCAAGCTCCCTATACCAACCTTCCAATATGGTCATATTTTGAAGCCGTACTCTTTAGATATATTGGAAGGAAGCTAAAGAATACTGCTTTCATTCCTACCTGAAGAGGGTTCATGTTTGAAAGAATAACAAATCTTTTGAGATCATACTAATTTCGTCTACTTGCCCAGAATAAGTGTTGTTTTATGCTATTTATGTCTTAAGATGTTCTTGAATATCTCTTTTTTGGGGGGACAGGAGTGATTATGAAGAAATGCCACTTCAGAACGGTCAAGCCATCAGAGCCAAATTCAAGGAAGAATCGGACAGCGATTAAGTTTTCATAGAAGTGACCTGCTCTATGAGAACAAAAGCAATTTTGACACTCTTCCCCCCACCCACTTAAAAATCTTTTTCCCGAGTCTACTGTTAACTGTTCATAGACTTCTGTGGAAGGATTTCCTGTTTCTCCCTTTCTGTTTACAAACCTAAAACTGAAGTGGGAGAGGGGGGAGAATATAATTTTTAGGGAAGAGTTATTTTGTAAACTCAAAGTGTACCCCCCCCTTTTTAGAAAACAGTTGTGATGGGATGCTGCCAGACCAGATTGTTTGGGGAGCTTGTTGTGCACTGTCACAGCTAATACTTTGATTTCCTCATAGTTTCATAACTATTTACTTGGAATGTAATATTGAGATGCTTATTTTTTACTCCAAAATAATTTTATTTTGACATTTGCAAACCGTGTTTGCAGAGAAGGGGAGAGAGGAAATGCCCCAGCTCCCAACGACATTCAACCCCAAACCTACTCTGACTGGAATCTGCTTGGCACTTCCAACACCTTGAGAAACCTCAGTTTCTGTTCTCCTATTTCAGGGGTTGAAAGGTGGTGGGTAGGAATTGCAATTGTGATTCAGCGCTGTATGTGACTTGAATTAAATGAAGGAGTTTTTTTCAGTTATCTGATTTTGTGATTGCGATTAAGCACACCAGTTCAGCTTCTTCTGAGACCGACATAATTCTATATAATTGTATTGGAAGAGCAAAATAATTTGAGAAATAAGGTGTTCTAAGGCTGTTTTATCTTAAAACAACAGTCACATTCGGTGAAAAGCACAGCCTTGCACCTGAGCGTCTTCTTCCTGTGTAAATGATGACTGAATGCTGCTTGCTGCTGTTAATTAAGAGGGAACAATATATAATTTTAACACACATTCCCTTAAATTCTGTAAATGTTTTCCCCCTCCCCCCAAATAAGGGTGTTTGGTATTTCATAACCAGTAGTATAGAAACGCAAACACATTATGTGTTGGATGTGAACCTAGGTGGGCTCTTGGAGATATTTGGGTAGGAAATTCTCTTCATTTAACTGAGCACGATCCAAAATGGTGGTTGATCCATTTTGTTGAACCAACTGTATAAACCAGCAAGGTAAATTGGAGCCTTCAAATTGCAGAGAAGTCTTCAGATTTCAGAGTTCTGCAATAATTGTTGGAACGTGACGGTATGTTATGACCATGTGGAGGCCACTTGAACAGCCTTTGTACGATGCCTGCCACATATGCAGAAGACAATGGCTAACATGGAATGAATCATCCTCATTGCATGCATACAATGGGACCAAGCCACTATACACATTGTAGCAATGGCGTGGTGAAGCCTCCATGTTGTGGTTGTGATGTGTGTACTTGACTGTAGTTGGTTCAATGAAAGGTATGATCTGAGCCATTTTGTGTTCTGTTTTACGATAGGCATTTCTTTTAGCTCATCTTCAGACACACCTAAAATGGCAGCTTTCGTGTGTTCCATTCTTACCCATGCTGGAAATGTGCACTACTGAAGTTGATACAGTTTAGCAGAATGGTGCTTCCAATCACACTTTGTTGAGAAATGCCTCTTTACTCTCCCACCCTGGTAGTTTTGGTTCTGAATGGATTTATTAAAATAGTATGATGGGAAAATCGTGGGTAGCCCTCCTACCTCACAGAAGCTGTCAGTATTTTCATGTGCTTTTTCAAGCCCATGTTCCTGCCTATAAATAACTCCAGTAGGTTCCTTTTGCAGAAACACTTTGTTATATCACTGACCAAAACAAAAATGACCAATATGCAAGGACTGAAGACCTTTTTTGAGTTGAATGTAAAAGTTCAGTGCATTTCTGCTGGTCACACTTGAATTGCTATTTGCATCTCTTGCTTGGCAAACCTTGTCCTAACATAATTCAAGCTGCAGAAACAGTCTACAGGTAACTTGCATCTTATGCAGGGGTCGCGTTCCTGGCCATCGCGGGGATAAGCAAAATTGTGTAAAGCCCCAAAAGACCCCTAGCAAGCCATTCAACAACCATTTTTAAAATCACTGCACTTAACTGGTGAGGGACGAATGCGGCTCTTCGTCTTCTGCATCCTTTCCCTTGCTGGATGTTGCTGCAGATGATACGAAGACCCTGGGGAGTTGACTGGTAGCCAGAAGAAGTGCTTGGCTGTGGTTCAGATCCAGAGGTGGGTTGCCTGGGCACATCTGCTGTTGCTAGTTTCTTTGTGAGGAACACAGTGATTGATAGGTGCTGCTGTTGTCTCTTGGGCTCATCAAACATTTCCTTGCATGGTCTCAGAATGTCTGTATTCCCACAGATGATCTTGAGGATGCATTCCATGGAGGGGTCAGATCATATGCGCAGAAAAGTTGAGAAAATTTCTGCAGGCTCCAACTTGCTGGCCCATGCTCTCCATCCTCATCCTCGCATACTGAACTTGAGCTGACCAATTCCTTTAGCAATTCAGCAGTCAATACCTGTTTGACCCTCAGTTAGCTCTGCAGTCTGAAGTTTCTCCACACCCTTTAGTTGTCTCTCCAAACCCCTCCACCTCTGATCACCCTCTGCAACCACCCCTTCTATGCTGAAACACTCTTACGAAGGCTGCTGGCTCTTTCTCCTTGCTCTCATGCCCCCTCTTTCCCCCTTGCATACCATTTTCTTATTTTTCCCCTGTGCATGCCATTTTTGCACCACTTTTGGGCAACGTGCATAATGCTGAGAGTGTGACTGTTAAATAAGTGTCAGATGCGAGTTACCTGTAGTTACCTGTTCATTCTGCTGTTACCGTTTTCTAGGAAAATAGGCTGGGATAATAAGAACCTTGTGCATTAGTGGAAAGGACTTTCCTCTGTGGGTATATGAGAGAGTTGATGTGTGTGTGTGAGGGGGGGACTTTCTCAGTATTGGCTCTTCAGTATGTGCAAGGAGTTACTCTGGGAAAGGGTTAGTACTTGCAAAAAAACACAGCGCTTTGAATCCTGGCCATAGACAAGTATATGGTGATTGATACCTCAAGGCTACGAATAAACTGACCCAGTTTGCACATCATACTGAGCCAAACCATGGCTTAGTGCATACATACAATCTCCTGAGGAGAGCTTTGCTACCCCCATCATTTTGCTGCTGCGGCTGAACTAAGCCATGGTTTGCCTTACTTCATATTCTGAACCATGACCTCTGGGTTGAACAACACGATAAGGCAAACCATGGCTTAGCTCAGCAGCAAAATGAGCAGTGACAAGCAAAGCAGCTGTGATCCCCATTCTGGGAGCTTGTTGGTCCTAAACCACAGTTTGGCTTAGTGTGACATGTGAATTTACGGCACTGTGAAGGATTTGTTCGGCTATTTTTGCAAGTAAATATCTACACTGATAATAAAGCTATGAAAGAGTGTCATGCACTTTGCATATCAAAAGTACAAGACATAATATTAGTATAATCATCTAAATGTAATAGTTTGCTTTGGTAGGTTTCTGATAAACCATTTCAGATGTTTTGTTCTGTGGCAATCAGCAAGTTAGAGTGCTAATATGTATTTAGTAAAATGTTGTTGTTTTTAACAGCAAATTAAAACCAAGGCATGGAGTATATTCTATGGATAATATCCAATGTTAGTCATACTCAGAATAGACCCATTTGAATCAATGGATTTCAGTAACTTGTTCATTGATTTCAGTGGATCTGAGTATGACTTCGCCTAAAATACATTGTAAAACTTGGGAAACTAGATGTGTATTTTTCCTAATATTTTATATTGCTTGATATTGACCCCTAGTAATCATGTGGAAAAATTGTACTACTTGTCTTTTGATGTATATATTCTTTTAAATTATTGTTGGTTTCTCTTCTACATTTTAAATACCTAGGGTGATATTCAATTAATGAGTCCTGTCAGCCCTGTGTGAGGACTTCTGCTTGCAGAACAGTATTCAGGGGGACAAGGGGGGGGGCGGTCATTACAAAGTCTGAATGCTTGCCCTCACAGAGTGATCACTCAGTTTTACTTAAGCTCCCAAGTTACCTTTTCCCTTAATTCTGGAGAAAATAAATGAATTCCTGAGTTAATTTCTTAATTAAATGTCCTTGAAGTTCATTGAACTTTAGGAATTGAAGGCTACTATTGCATTTGTCTCCACTAATCTCACTCATCTGACAAGTCCCAGGAACAAGCATTCAGCTGTGTTTCCCATTACAATTTTTAGTGCCATTTGTTCTTTTGTCACATCGCAACTTGTTTAAAATGCTCAGTGTTAAACACTCAGAACACTTAAAGTTGTCATATTGCAAACTGGGGAAAACACAAGGTAGTAGTAGAGATTATTTTCAGGTTTATTAATTGGAATTCTTTTGCACAGATATGATAATTGAGCACGGTATGTTGTATTTTTATTTTTTGCTAAGGGGTTCCCTATGAATAGGAGAGTCGCTGGGAAAGCTGTTGTTTTCCTTTTAGCAGGGCTTCATAGACTCTGTTCCATGGACCACAAGCTTCATTCAGGTAGTTTGCAGTGAATCTGTAAAAATGCAGTTTAAAAGCATCCAGCAATGTAGTACTGCACCTTACAATTGCTACAAGCAGAAAAACCATTTAGAGGTCTGCCAAAAACCTCAGCAATTTTCAAGTGATCCATGGGGGGAAACATTTGGGAATCACTGCCCTGCAGCCGGATGAGGAAGCTGTTAGTGAAAGTGCCTTTGGATATGGTGTTTAGTTGGCTTCCACAAGGATCAGTTGCCAAGCAATTTTGCTTCAGCTGGGCTTTTGAGTGAGCATGACCTAGATCCCCTCATCAAATAAAATAATAAAGTAATTCTGCTACAGTGGGAGAACATCGCCTACTACAAAGCATATTTTGTTTCATTGTGGGTTTTCTTTTTTTAAAAAAATGTGTCCCATCTTTTTTGTTGGCAGAAGTTGCTGCTTTTGAAATGGCTTCTGTAGTGTGTGTAAAAAGGCTTGCTGATGCCCACTGTTGGTGAAAAACATCTCTAAAGAAAATATGAGCATTGCCCTCCGTGCCCCACATATGGTGTAGCCTCCCCAAAAGTGCTTGTAGTTTTCGCCTACTTTGTCTTTGCCCTTGTTTAACATGGATCACTTTTGCCTTAGCAGTTGTGATTGTCAGTTGCAGCGCTGTTTAGGTAAATACGCAGTTTGTACACACTGGCTTTTATGGTTAAAATTTCGATGTGCCAGTAAAGCTAGGAGGCAGTAATGTAACTAGGACTGTGTTCAACGTTCAGACAAGCTATAATCTTGTGTTTTGTCTGCTGCAAACTTCAGTTTCCGCCTTCAGGGAAAGTAGCCTGTAGTGTTCTCAAATTTTTAAATAGAAACTAGTGATTTTGGTGGTGGGATTCCCTGCTGCTGCTTTAGCATCTTTCCACACACCCACCACTTCTTTCTTCCACTTCCACATAAGTGATCATCTACCAGCCAGAGATAGTGAAGGAGGAAGATGCTATATTGTCTTGTAGCCAATCAGATGTGGCTGTGTTATAATATTGCTGAGGTTGAGGGGCGGCAAGTTTAAATAAGCAAAGATTTCTACAGATTACACACAAAAAAGCACTGACCAAAGGGTCACGGAAAACAATTTTTTTCTGAGTAATCTTGGCTCAGCCAGAAGTGTAAACCCAGTAGAATCATGCCAAAGAACAAGAAATCTGTGTTTATATAAAGGTACATTGAAAGAAGTTTGTTTAGCAAGAAATTTGCAGCCTGATCCTGTGCGTGCTTACTCAGAAGCAAGTCCAAGTTGGTTCGATCAGACTTACTCCCACATGAGGTACAAAGCCTTACTTACAATGAGAGTTACTTCTAAACAGTGCCCAAGGCCATTACTGCATTTAAATGATGTAGTCACATCTGTTGCATTTTTAGCCATATGTTCCAATTGTGCCAGTAATTGATATGAAAAGCTCCTTATGCTACTGTACAACTGAACTCAACATTTGTAAATAGATGTAAAATGAAATAAACCTCTAGAAAATATTTTCTACCAAAACATGGCTAGAACCTTTTCATAGTATATGTTTACGTTAATGAAAAGTTGTAACTATAATTTTGCTTTTGGAAGGGTATGCATGGGGTACCTCAATGTGTCATCTTCATGCTTCAGGGTAGATGCTATTTGTTATTATGAGGCACTAGCAACATTGGTGATAACTTTCCCTGAGCAGGAATTTAAGAGTCAGTTTACTTTCAGTAAAATACTGGGCGCAGAGATGCTTTGGAGACTGTGCATAGTAAAATTACGTTCCAATCCAATGCATTCACAATAAAGTTTTATATAGAACCTTTGTGCCTATCTCAGTATTGTTCCTCCCCATACACAATAAATGGTGGCATGTTTATTTCCATGTGTGCATATGGAAATTCATTTGGTGGCATGTAATAGATAAGCTAAAACTGCTCTGGCTTCAGGATGAAAACTTTCAATTTCACTGTCTTTTCATTGACCTGAATTTGATGGAAATAGATATAAATGCATCTGAGGAAAACAAAATTGGTTGTCTATATTTGGGGAAAAAAGTGACATCAAATGATGACACAGCTCAAAATAATGACATCTAACTCTAAATATCTTCAGGAAGCATGGTGGACAACCAGCCAAAATTCCAGGGGGACAAGCAGAAGCCCCTTGATGCTACTTGATGGAACTGAGGTATGAGCAGGCACAGTACTGGAACCTCACTTGCATGCGCACCAAACTCTGCCAAGTGCTCAAGGACAATAAATGGGGGTGCACGCCCCCTTTCTCTTTCCCGGCGAAGATAATTGGCAAACAATCTTTCTTGAAGTGCATGCTGTTGAACTGCCACCAGCTTTGCAACTGGATGATAGATGCTGCAGTTGTCAGGGTCCAGTCTCACCACTGCCTTTCCCCCAGAAACTGCCGCAGTGAGAGCACTGCCATTGAGCATGAGTTTATAAAGAAAGAAACACGTCAGTTTGCCGATATGGATTTGCAGGGCCTATGTTGGCCCTGGAGTAGGGGTGGGGAGAATTCTCTCATCCACCTGCGAACACCTGTGTGCTTGAATTTTTCAGATAAGCTTGCTATTTTAATGGAAAAGCAGTATGTTTTGTTCTTAGGCTTTTAAATGCCCTGTGGTTTCAGAAACTCTGGAGCACAATGAGGCCATAAATACTAAACAATTATTTTAGTAACATGCTATTTAACATTAGTCTGTCCTACTTAGTTTTCCCAGGGGTCCCAACTGAACAAATTATGCTTCTTTATACTGTATCACACAATTGTTCTCCTCCATCTAGTCTCAGCCAGAGGACTTTCCCAGCCCTGCCAACCCAAGAAGTACTGAATGAGTGATGCCAGGGATTGAAGCTACATGAAAAGCATGCACCTCTCCCACTGTGCTATGGTCCATTCACAAACGCTAGCAACAATCCCACTAGTTGGAAACTGCAGTTCATGTTTTTGACCACTTAATTATACAGACACTTAAGCAGAGTGCAGCCACACAGTCAAATTCACTTTACAGTAAAACAGCTAACTCATTCTGGAGTGTTCTGAAAAACACTTTGATGAAAAATATTGCATTCTGGCAATTCTTTGGGGTGTGTGGAATACTTATTATGTGGCTATTTTAAATACCATTTAGCCCAATTTACTGTTCCAGGAGAACTTACAGTGAAGTGGATTTCTGATTGGTTGGTACAAGTCTACCATCTCAGTAAGAGGCTCTCAAATGTCAGTTCACTCCTTAAGTGACAGCTTCTGTGTACTAAGAAACAGGGTCTTTATCCTACTTTGAGATCCCCGAGATGGAGCCTTGGATCTTTTACGTTCAAAGGATGTGCCCTGTGCTATGGCAAGCATGGATCAACATTCTGCTGCTTCTTGCCACTGTTCTGTGAGGTGTGCTGGTCTCCCATTTTGAGAATGGAGTAAAATAAGGAGTACTTTCTCTACAATCAATTAACTTGGGGCCACTCCTACTTATATGTTTGGTCAGGGAGCAAAGAGCCATCTAAATTGATTTTTTAAAAAAAATAAAACTCAATTTTACTTTAAAGAGAACTATGCACCTTGGAGCAATTAGCTGTTAGCCCCTCCAAGCACCTAAAGGTTTTGGCTGCCATTAAAACTGGAGTTACTTTATATGGGAATGTTTAAAATACCTACAGTTGTCTAGTGTAAACAACTGGAGCTTTGGTGGCTCTATTGGGAGTTTTAGGGTACCACAGAAGCCCCCAAAAGGACTAAGCAGCTGAGCGAGTGCTTAAGGAATAACTGCACCCCCATTACTTCACAATGATCCATTAGGGCCAAGCTGTTAAAGGCATGTGAGGTTAACCTCACGCTTGTGGAATGTACAGCTTTTATGAATGCACATACACAAGTTCAGAACTTCAATAATTTAATAACAAACAAAAGCATTGTGTGAAATTAGTCTTATTCAAACCAGTTGCAATAAAGCTGAAGAAGTGCAGCATGTTTCAGGTTTTAGCACCTTGAGAAAAGAGTCCTTAAAGTGTTAAGACAGGAAGTGATTTGATATGGATAAGAGGTGATGTGTTTATGTAACAGCATAGAAATTGCTTCCCCATTTTCTCACAGGAAGAAGACAGAAGTTCTTTAAAAAGAAAGTTGTTCACTGAATTCACAGTTTTAGTGGATATATGAAATGGAAGGGATGACACAAAGGCTGAAGAATTCCAAGGCAATTATATTGCGAGTCCAAAGGCACTGACAATACAGTACATAGTCTTGTTCTCCCATCTCACAGTGCAGGTTCCTACAAAAAGAGAAGTCAGTCAATCAGGTGGCCATACTATATACAGAAGAACTACATCAGATCATAAAATTCATAGCTTTCAATTTAAAGAACACATAGAACAGATCTATTGCATCTTAAGCCACACTTGCTAAGTTTAAGCCTCAGCCAACTCCGTACCACATAGGCAACATCCCATCATTTGGAGCAGTGGAACCTAAAATTATTGAACCACATTACACCAACATTCAGTCACACTTTATTCTTCCACAGGAAGCATATATGTTTATTCACTGGTGATGATGATTCTTCCAACTAAGTATCAGGAAGAACTTTCTGACAGTAAGAGCTGTTCGACAGTGGAAGATGGTGGACTCTCATTCCTTGGAGGTTTTAAAGCAGAGGTTGAATGGTCATCTGTCATGGATGCTTTAGCCGAGATTCCTGCATTACAGGAGGTTGGAAGAGGCAACTCTTCGGGGCTCCTTCCAACTCTACAATCCTTCAATTTTAAAGCAGAGATGCTCTACTAGCTACCCTAGGGAAATAAGGGAATAAGGCACTTCTAACAAGAACAACTTGCCCCATGTTCACTTGTAACTTCTAGTATTAGAAGTTTATTACCACAGAACAGGTGTATGTTGATTTTTCTCTTCTGGAGTCACACAAATATCTTGTGAAACATTTCAATGGAGAAACTAAGACAAAGTATTAAAACATTCTTGTTACCATCAGCAGAGTTGTCCCAGAAGCAAGAGCTTGCAGTATGAAGTCCAGCACCATTCTTTTGCATAATCACACATGTCACTGTAAATTGAAGATATAGTATTGTTAGAAAATGGAATGTTTCCATGGCATAAGCTACACAGTTACATCCACATCTGTTTTTAGCCTTAAACGCCTATGTAAACATCTCTTATCTTAAATGACCTTTTAGGGTCACAGCAGTTATTAAACTAATCACCGAGAGTTTTTGCCCCCTCACCTGCAATTTCCATTTTAGAGTTTAATTTTCGGTTTTACTCAAAACCATTTGTCAAAACAATAATACAATGAGCACAGAAACCCATTCACTTACCAACATATTTGAAAGGTTTCCCCAGCTTTGTGAGATGACTCAGAATTTGCTCTACAACACTTGTAGTCCATTGATTCACTTTGCTGTGCAGATATGCATTGCCACCTATTGTTCCTTCTATGGCCTGCAAACAAAGAGAGGTTCAAATTACCACCAGGCTGCTATGGAATTTTAATTTTTTAAAAAGCATGCATTGATTTCAAAAGCTAGAATAAATATGTCAATGTTTTTTCCAAGCAACACAGATCACACCATCAAACACAGATCACACCATCAAACAAGAAGGAAAACCCAGAACCAATTAACAGCCATACTGATAAGCAATGATCACTGAAATGCTAGCTTGAGCTGCCATCTGTGAGGTGGTGGATCAATCTCAAGAGTTCCAAACACACACAGACACCCCCCCACCTTTGCAAGAATGATTTGGGCAGGTAACCAACAATATGGCGCCTCATATTTATTCTGAGGCAACTGCAATCCTAATTACAGTGGAGCAGACACACTTCTCTGCCAGTGGGAGACAATGTCCACTGCGAAGGCCATGCATGTAAAAAGCTCTGTGGGCAGTAACTGCACTGTTGGTGTTCTGGGAGTGCAGCAGGGGTGGGATTGAGGCAACCTAGGATCCAAGCAGTGTGCCAACCTCACCCCTCATGGTGAGCTGCAGTGCCACCAGTGATGGTGTTCAGGTGAGCACAGGCACCTGTTGAACAGTAACACATCTCTTATGTGCTGTGTTTGACAGATTGTAAGCATGGAGGCAGGGACTGTGTTGCTTTTCGGTCTTTCCCCAGTACCTAAAAAATATTAGGAACGTTATGAACAACATTTAATGTATCACCAGAAACACATAGAGGGAGAAAGACGTCTTCCACTTCTGAAGCTACAGAGGGAGTGACAATGAGATCTTGCAACAAGAGGCTAAACAGCCCAAATCAATACCCTCTGTAATAAATGGGTGTCTGGCTTACTCAGTCTTATCCTGCGGTTGTAGGCATAGATTTCACACTCTGTAAAGCATTAGTGCCAAGACTGAGAACAAGGGAGTGGCTGTTCATTGAATGTCACTAAGTTGTGGTCCTTTCATGCTTTTTCGTGCAGATTCTATATTTGCAAACATTACTGTAGCAGAGTGTACTAGCATCTAATAGCCCTATTATTTTAAATTGTTTTTAATGTTTTTAATGCTGTAACCTGCCTTGGGGCTTTAGGGTGAAAAGTGAGTAATAAACACCAGCACCACCACCACCACAAAACATGCAAGGGAGGCATGCAGGTTTTTTACACAGATGAGTTGTACATACTTGATAAGTTACCAATTATATATTTGCTTAACAAAGAATGGCATGTACAACATATTTAGCTTGTGCTCCTAAGCCTTCACTAATCGCCAGGAAGGTTGCCACAACAGACGATTAGCAAACAAGACACTGGTACCCAGGTAACACATAACTAGAGTAAATTTGCTCTACATCTACTAACTATATTAATTCTATAGCTGCAAGTAACCAAAAGATTATTCCTGAAGTTGGAATCTCATGAAATAGAACAGTCCACTCCATTTAAGCCAAGGTACATACATTAAATACTGATGTCACCACGGTGATTCAAGTAGATTTAACTAGCTTGCAGATTAGGCCAGAAGTCAGTTCATATTACAAGACGAAGTCCTAAATTTGATATGCTTAATCGTTTAAAAAGAGAGGTAAAAACCTTTATGAATGCAATTCTATGAGGATATCAAAATAGGATTGTTTCTTCTATACAGGCTGGCTGGGATTAAAAGTATGACATAAGGCCAACGAGCCTCTACTCCTCTTCCCACTGCAGCTCTTGATACTCCCAGAAAAATCATCCCTGCAGATCAGGAGTCACCTCCAGAGTGAATTCAACATAGCATGAGGGACTATAAAGTAAAGTTGGGGGAGTGGGTTTTTCCCCTCGGAGAGACAATCTGCATATGCAGAAATGTTTTCTATGTATTCAAGAGATTCTGGTCCTCCCTCCCATCCCTTTCACTTGTGGGAACTGCCCTGCTTTGCCGCTTTCATACTTTTAAGACACTATATCACTAGCTGGAGAGGTGAAATGTTCACAAAACAGAGCCAGCGAGTCACAATCCCCTAGAAATGTTTCAAATGAAATAATATGTATCTGTATGTAATTGTACAAAATGTATACACCAATAACAAAATTATGAGCACACAGACCCACACATATTTCGGAGCAAAATTTAAATAATTCACATTGCAATGTGTGTTAAGAGGCTGTTTACATAGCTCATGTTGCCACTTTAAATGTGGGCTTACAACACAAACTTAGGCATGTCTACTCACAAGTACCACTGAGTTCAATGAGACCTATTCCTAGGTAAGTGTGAGTGATTGCAGCCTTACAATTCAGTGCAATGTGTATTTTCCACAATGCAGCAGTGATATATTTATCTTTTTAAAGGGAGTTACGGGGTGCAGTGGAAATATAGCAGATGCTGTGGAATGAGGATATATGTAGCATAAACACCATCCTACCTCTTTTATAATGTTGCTTACTTCATCCACAATAAACGCAGTCTTGCAGGGGGAAAGAAGAGAAAAAGAAGCCAGAGATAACATTTAAACCAAGTAAGCAATTTGCAGTACTGACACAAATGTAGTTTTAACAAACAGGCTAATGCTTCAAACATTAATCAGATTTGATTTATTTCCCTAAGCATCTAACGCTGTGTTTCTACTTCACCAGACATAGAATCCTGCCATCGCAAAGTGTGCCAAGCGATTCCTTAATGCTTATAACTGCAGCAAATGAACTTCTTAAGCAGTCACATAAAAGCATATGTTTAACATCCCTTCAAACACTTATAGAATAGAGGTGGTAGGCATATATAATGGCCAGGGAACACATAAAAGGCCACAACTACTCCCCTTTTAGGGACACGGGTGGCGCTAAACCACAGAGCCTCTTGGGCTTGCCAATCAGAAGGTTGGCAGTTCAAATCCCCGCGACGGGGTGAGCTCCCGTTGCTCGGTCCCTGCTCCTGCCACCCTAGCAGTTGGAAAGCACATCAGAGTGCAAGTAGATAAATAGGTACCGCTCTGGCAGGAAGGTAAACGGCGTTTCCGTGCACTGCTGTGGTTCGCCAGAAGCAGCTTAGTCATGCTGGCCACTTGACCTGGAAGCTGTCCGCAGACAAACGCCGGCTCCCTCAGCCAGTAAAGCGAGATGAGCGCCACAACCCAATAGTCGTCCGCGACTGGACCTAATGGTCAGGGGTCCCTTTACCTTTACTCCCCTTTTACAATCTATTCATAAATATGTGGAGGCCTTTCTGGCACTCATGCATCAAGGCAACTCTTATCTTCCCCCCTTTTTTCTTTTATATTTTTATTATCATATATAATAAACATTACTATAAATGATAATAAAGGTTTTGAGGTGTCGGTGGTTTTTTGTTTTTCAATCCTCGTATATAAATTTTATGAAATACATGTTTATGACTCACTGAGACACATATCTCATCTGCAGAGAGGAGTACATGAGGCTCCATCTCACCTTTGACCCTGGGCCACGTTTACTACCTGATCATGATTAGGGTTAGGACATTCAGTTGAACACTGAAAGAATATCTGAGGATCTCTTTTCTATAGCCACATAACCATGGATTTGATGGAACAGTAACTTCTGAATGCCAAAAGGAGATCCCGCCACACCCCAGATGAAACCTGCCAGTTTCCTTCTCTTCTTCTTTAAGAGGGGCAAATTCCCTTCCCTCTTCGATTTTGCGAAGTTTCCCTTAGGACAAGAACCTGGGCCATTAGACCAGCCGGCAAGAGATTTATTTCTTCGGCTTGCTGCACGCGCACCTCCCAAATGCGTGTACGAAGAGCGGCGCTTTCTGGCCCAAGCCATCCCTACCACGGGGGGAGCGGGGAGATGCAGCACCGCCAGCAGGAAAAGTACCCCGGGGCTTGTAAGGCAGCCTGGCGGCGGCATCTCTCCTCTCAGCCCAAGGGCTGGAAGCGGCGGGAGCGCCGGGGCTGGCAAGAGAGGAGGGCCAGGCGACCTTCCAGGAACGGGAACGTGGCCGACAATGGGCAAAGGGGCGGACCCCGCCATCGCCACCGCCCTCCCCACGGAGGTCCCCGCAGCTACGGAAGAAAGGGGCGCGCCGTCCCTTCCTTCCACGGCCGCCCGCCCGCCCGCCAAGAGGAGGAGGAGGAGGAGGGACGCCGCTGCCCTTAGGAACCGTTACCTCCTCTGCAGACTGAAGCTCGTCCATCTTCTTCTTCAGCAATCCAGCCTAGCGTCTCCCACGCGGCGCATGCGCAACCGACTCTTCGCCGGTCGCAGACAGCAGCACTTTTCTTTCTTTCTTTCTTTTCTCTCTCGCTCGAGCTACGCGGCTGCGCAGTGCGCTCCTGTGCTTTCCCAACCAATCACCCGACGCTGGCAAATGTACCGGAAGCGTTGCTGAGCTACGCTCTCTCTTTATTCCCCCCCTCTCTCTCGCGCGCGGTTTCCGTTGTTTAATAAGAGGTGTGGAAAATGCCCCCCCCATCGCCCTTTCTGGGGGTTTTTGCGTGTGGTTCGCGCTGAGCTGAGGAGCCTGCGCTTAAGCGACCGTAGGGAAGGGAGGATTGGCACACATTCGTCGCTTATTTTACTTTATTTAGAAGATAGGGGTGGCTCTCCCTCCTCCAGAACTCTCCGTCTTCCATGCTGACTGGGCCTTCAGGTGCTTGAAGAGGATAGGTCGCCTCTTAATAGCCTTTTCTGCAGGCCCACTATATCCAGCTCCTTCAGTCTCGGAATTGTAGAGTTAGGAACCCAAAGGGACATCTAGTCTGACCCTCTGGAGTGCAGTCTTTGGCTCAGGGTTCCTCATCTCCGACCGTCACCCTCCTCTGGATGCATTCTATTTTGTCAGTAACCTTAAAATGAAGGGTGCAGAAGGGAGGTCTGACCAAAGTTAATTTATAGATAATTTTTAAAAAAATGAAATAGAAATCCTTAACAAAAATGGAAGCAACCAGTGAAATTGTATAATGGGGAATAAAGAGACTTCTGCTGAGCAGTGAACTGAGTAGGAGGTCCCAAAGCCCTTATCCAAGGGTGTCACCTGGAGACTTCAAGGTCCGTACCATGGAGGGGAGTCATTGCTGTCTGGCCAACAGTAACCAACACACACCACTGAGATGTAGCAGCTCCCATGCATCTGTTGTCTTGCAACATCCAGGGCTTTTTTTCAACCATAACTCAGTTCCAGCACCTCTCAGGTGGGCACCATTGCCTTTATAAGAGAACAAGGGAGGCGTTCACAGTGAGTTCCAGCCCTTCTTTTTCTAGAAAAACACTAGCAACATCCATTTGTAAATGTAGGGCCCTCGTCACCTCTTTCACTGCTTAGTATTGAAGGCTTTTTATCTGCCACAATAGTGTATCACTTGACTGGCTACCACAGCAAAAAACAAAAAATGGATTTCAGGAGACACCATGTTAGAAGAGGCATTTTTTTTTTTTTAACAGAAGGAAGTGTCATCTTGTAAAATGGGACCTTGTGCAATAATGCAGCACTGTGGAGAACCTGCATGGTGTTGGATGACAACTCTCAGGATCACCCCAGGCAATATGGCCAATGAATTGAGAGTTACAGTTCAACAATATTTTGGGAGCTGCAAATTCCCAATTCAGAATCCAAAAACAAAGCTTTCCACCCTTCAAACTATTTCCCCCATATATATTTATTAAATCACATTTATGCTTATTGATGAACAAATAACTAAAAGTTATACTGTACATAAAATTGGTTTTTCCCCTTCCTATCATGCTATCTTGGCAAAAGAGTTTGAAGCGTTTCATTTGCCAGGATGCGTAGCTCACCCCCTCAGAGAGGGTAGATTACTATCTTGGCTTTGCTTCTCAAATGCTTCAACAGAACTCTCCTCAAATGCTTCAAAAGAATTGCATTACTTCTCAAGAATCACAGGCCAGATGACAGTTCTTAATCCCTCCCATTTACATTCCTATTATTAATTAAATTTGTGCATTTATGCATACTCTGCATTTATGCATTTACTCTGCCTGAATAATTTGCAGGTTTTATAACTGAGGGCACCATCAACTGCTTTTCACAGATGACATTAAGCTTGCTTTTTTCTTCACTCTTACCTTCTTTCAGCCCTTTTAATTTCTTCCCTTTCCAACCCACAGCAGTTGGTGAGGGCAGTTTCTGCTCTTAGGCAACACTGCATTGTCAACATCTTCCAGAACTTAGCGCCTACCTAGCCCAAATTCTACAATGCAGGATTTAGTCAATGGCTGTGGAGAGATGCATACTCACTGTTAGGACACTGGAAGCTCCCTTCTCAGGTAATCTTTTATATATAGATAGATATAGATAATGCTGTTAATTGTTTTATTAAAAGCATACACATAAACAATCATAGTGCATATGTGCATGTTTTCCAAATAATTCAAATTCAGTATACAGCAAGCAAATTATACTCATTACTATGGGTTTTCCTGATGTAAACATGGGGGAAGAAGTTTCCAAAAGGCTCTATTGAAGCTCAGGTGGTCTTCCTCCTTCTGACAAAGGGAAGCCAATTGTCAACAAAATGGTCTGTCTGTGCCACTCTCTGTGGAACTCTGTCTTGGTGCATCAGTTTTTATGGTAGTGCAAGCTGCCATACTTTATTTAAGCTGGCTTTTCTTCATGCTGGCTGGGACTGATGGAAGTTGTAGATCAAAACATCTGGAAGATAGCAGGTTGGCAAAGGCTCTCTTAGTGGAAGGGCATTTGCATGTCTCTCTCCCAGGTTAAAACTAGGTTCCCCAAATACAGACTTTGACTAGTACTTAACTTCCTGATCTTTACCACCCGTACCAGCAAAGTGCTTGAGGAAGAGGGGAACAGACTTGGAGATGTCTGAAACATTCCCCTCCTTCCACATCCTTCCAACATTCAAGCACTTCAGTAGCCTAGGTAAGACTGAGGACAATATCAGAGGCAAAATGTGAGGAATGAGAAGGTGGTGTGGGAAGCTAACCTTGCCTGTGGGCAAGATAAATCAATGAGTCAATGGCTATTGGTCATTACGACTTCCAGATTCAGAGGCAGTATGCTTCTTGTTGGTTGCTGTGGAAAACAGAATGTTTGGCTATGGTTATTACAGATGTTTCTACAATCAAACACAAAGAAACACATCCAAAACAGATAACAAAAAAAGCCGAGCTTGGCCTGGAATATGAATATTCTCTTTAAAAATGGAAAAGGTTTCTACACACATGAATATTTGGCTATTAAACTTCTGAAGCATATGTAATAAGATGAAATGGAACCTCCAATTCAGATATTTCTAGATTTGGGTTTGGATTGATTTGTACGTAATATTACTTGAAAAATAGGTGAATAAAGCCTTCCCTTTGATAGCTTAAAAGCATTGGGGATTTTAAAATGTGCGTACTATTTATGTTGCTATTACTGGTACTGTATTTGTATTATTCATATTAATACCAGCAATACGTATTAATTATCATGCATTCCACAGCCCCTTGAGATAGCTAAGCGGTCAGGGGGGATCTGTCATTTCTAGTAAATGCTCGCTCTGAATCTTGCGGAAGTTGAGGTTTGCAGTGTTGCACACATCTAACATAAGCGAGTGACACAGAGAGAAACCACATGAAAGTATCATACTTAATGGCCACTACTCTTCCTGTTAGCTTAGGGGTTTCATGTACACTTTAAGAAAAAGCATTGTCTTTTCTCGCAGTCAACTGTTTCCTCCCAGACCACTAAGGCATTATTTAAAGCCTCTCTTTGATAGCAGACTGCATTGGTGGCAGTTACTTCCAATGCAGAGGGCTGTAGGATCATACGATGATGTGCACTGAAGTATTCGGTGTCAAACTTCAGTCCAGGAAGAAGGAAACGGAGAGAAAGAAGATATCATTTTTTCTTCAGTAAAACTAGCATCCTGCATTTCTTCTATGAAAGTAAAAGGTAAGTCAGTGTTTGCTAAAGGTAGGCATAAAAAAATGTTAAAATGTTTGCAAGGCAAGTGCCTTGCATTCCTCTCTTATTTGTGATTATTTGCTGTGTTTCGTTCCCCTAGCAGATAGGACACATTGATCTTTAGGGGTTATTGAATTGGAAAACACCTTATCTCAAATTATTTTAGACATTTCTATTGCTTTAACATTCAAAAACTGGTGAATGCAAATAAATAAGTTCTACTATTGCTGTGTATCTGTTTCTCAAAGCTATGTAAATATGTAAAAGATGCCTCTGAATTTCTGCCGTTAAAAGATGGAGATTTATTTCCTCGTGGTAGCATAGCATGGACTAATGTATTGTGCAACTTTGATTCCTTCCTCTGTGCTGTATATTTAGCTCTCTAACACTGCACACCCCAAACCTTGTACCCCAAATGAGTAACCCCGTTCATGTGTATGTGTCTATAGTAAGTAGCTTATTGTTCCACACTGTATCTTCTGGTGTGTCCAAGATAGGCAATTTTTCTGTGTTAAGCCCGATAAACATCTCAGAGAAGGATATATGACACTGGGATCTTTCATGAAGGCCATGCTTTCTAAATGCTAAGTTTTTGGATTTGTAGTATGTCGTCTTATAATAAGCTGTGCATAGGATCAATGTGTGTAATGCGTTCTGAACTTTTTAATGATCCTTTGAACAGCTTATTTATTATATAAAATCATACTACAACTATAATTCCAGTGACTTTACATTTAGGTGTAATTAGACAGAGACACAATTCCATCAGAGTTAGTCCTTCACCAACTTTTCATCTTATGTTGTGTGTGAATGTCTTGCTTGCTTACACAGTAATTGCAATACATTGTCATGGTTAAGCATGTGGTCCTGAACCCAATTGTTTTTGATGGTGCAGCAAATGGTAGAATATTTGCTTAATTTTGCAACATGTTTTAATATGCTTTTTTGACATTGGGAGTAAACTGATATCCCCCTCCCAACTGCAGAAAGTAAGTGATCTGCCTTGTTTGGTCCTCAGTGCCAGCATCAGTCAAGGCATGGAACTATCTAGTTTAAATTAACTTGCATGGAGGCAGGGCCATAATCTGCTTTTGTCAGACTCAATGCACCTGAACCCTCCCACATCCTACCCCTAAATTCTTGTGCCTCCTCTGACTTTTTAAGGAAGAACTCCCTACAAAGACCTTAAACAATAGCAGAACATCAGGTGAGTGGCCTTTCAGTCAGTTGCAATCTATTTTTCACTCATTTGGGGCAGGTGAGAGTGGGGCACAGGCTCTCCAAAATCCATTCACAACTGCCTTAGGCTCTTGTTTAAAGTCCTTCTGGTTTTTGATTGTGTCATCTATATGTCCATATGAGTTTTCCTGTTCATTTTGTGTCTGCACAAAGTGAAACCATAAGCTGGTATTGGTGCATAATGCCTGAAACATCTTCTAGATTTGTGAGGGATGTGTGTTGTCTCAGTGATAAACCACACTGTTTTTTGCAAGACCTTTTTATCTGCCTCAACAGACACAAACTAGACATGATTCAAATGGCAGGCCCATTAGCTATTAAAGCCTATAAATATTTGATTCATAGTAAAGACTTACTTTAGAACATCTCGCCTTCACACCATACTAGTTTTACTTCCATGGGATAAAAGGTTCAACAGCTAGCAGACAGAGGGCATCGTATTCCAATTAAGGCACATTTATCTTTGTGGTTGACTAGGAGGCAATCAACTGAATTTTTTCATGACACCTTTTATTATTTGGATTATTGTTATTCTAATTTTTCATTATCTTTTGCACAATCCACATAAGCAAAATAGCTTTTACACAGGCCTTTTTACACCAGGGTAAGTAACATGCTGATGGGCAATGGTGCTTATTGTAATGAGGCTGTTTGAAAGATGATGAATCATATTTCATAGCTCAACTGTGGCTCAAGCATACAATGAAATGATATGCTGACAGGATGTGGCTTTTTTTTTTCAGGAAAAGTAGGAGATAGTGATCTACTGCAGAATAAGAAAGGAGAAGTACCGTAGGTTGTTCTTTTTTCTGCATTCCTAAGAAATGCAATCCTAATTTCCTAATAGGAAATTTGTGAATTTAAAGCAATGGAGGTGGAGTTTCTCCCCCTTATACTTGCTGCTGCCTATCAGCTTGAATCATACCCCAATTTTCTTTGCAGAATGGTGGATCTAAGCCAAACCTCTCTCGTTGTTATCAGTTTAGAAACTACCAGCAGCAAATTGGGAGCCTGAAGTCATTTTATTTATACAAGACGATAAACTGCCTTCATCCAGCAAAGAAAGTGCCTTCAGCAGGTGATGAGACTGAAAATTATGGTGTATATGGAAAAGGATTCTTTTCCTCTCCCTTCCACCTTATGACACAATTCAATTGTATCTCTGATGAAAGATGTATGCAAGCAGTTAAAGGGACTCATAGATCTTTTGGCTGCTGAACCCTGCCCCTAGCTTTAAGCTTCAACTTTCCTTGGTGGGGGTGCTGAAGAAGATTAAAATTCTTTAAAAAACAAAACAAACAGACAGACAGACAAACAAACAAAAACCTTCTAAGAATCAGAAGAGAAAATGACTCAGGAACTTGACCTCAGTGTACTAAAGGGATTGGAAAGACAAGTTGTTTTAGATGTCCTGAACCGTGATCAGATGTTGAGGAAGGTGGACGAAGAACGAATAAGGTATGTGGCCATTTTGGAATACAGCGTGCCATTGCATCTCCCTGTTTTATTTACTTCTTTTCATCTATTCTTTGCTAAAGTCTTTTTCTCAGCTTCTTTGTTAGACCATTATGGTGATTAACTTCTAGATTACAGTAAATACTTTGCAGGAAGAAATTTATTGAATGGCTTTGTCATGACTATTCTTAGAATAGTTTTGTATATTCCCTACTCCTTGCACTAAGGGTGTTTTCAGATGGGTGATTATTGTGCATACTCCTCATGCATGCAGCTCCGCCCCCCCCCCCCCCAGCATTCATATGATGTTGGCATTAAAATGTGAGCCTATATTCCAGTCTAATCCAGATGTATCTTTTACAGCAAGCACATAAAGTCGACCTGCTAGAGTTTTTCCAAGTTCCTGCCAAGGGCTCTTAGCAAGATTTGTAAAGCAATTATGATGTTTCAGTATGGTAGGAAGGTTCACTAGTAAATTCCTCCAACCCCCTTTTTAAAATTAAGGTGGTTATCTAGGAAAGCAACACAGAAGGAAGTCCCACTCATTCATCTCCATAGGTCAGCCAGTTATTTCAGCATGGTATTATATTGTTTAAATGTGGTAGAAGGTGAAATTACAGTTAACCTCTTGTTTTTGGTTTACATTGGCTATTCGAATTAAGCGTATTATTAATGAAAGTGAATTCATCCAGCTACTTAGAGACTGCAGTGTGAATAATTGTTCATTTTTTTCACTCCCACCTGATAAAACGTTTGCATATTCATTTATTTTTTTCTGGCTGAGAACAGGAAACTGAAGCTGCAGCTGCAGGAACTTCGATGGAAAGGGACAAAAAACACAAACCTGGAATATAAGTCTTGTGCCCGCTGTCAGAAACCTCTTGGGGTGCTAATCAACAGAGGTGCAGTGTGCAATGGGTGCAGTCACCAAGTATGCTCCAGATGTCGCATCACTTTGAATCGCTACCTGTGGAAATGCACTGTCTGCTACGCTCATGAGTGAGAAATTCTAGAGAAATTGCTCAGTAATATTTGCATTGTGGGTGTTTATGCCTTAGTTGCATTGGTCATGAGGATCAGGTCTGTAGGAATTTCACAGCAGCCCTCTGCTGTCAATGAAGAAGGAGACAGAGGCAGCATATACTTTGGTGGGGAGTAGGACAGTGTGGTCCAATGCCCGGCCAGAGGACCACATGCAGCCCTCAAGGGCTTTTTTGGAGGCCCTTGGCAACATTTCACACACACACACACACACTCACACACACCACAGCAGCCCTCCCACTACCTTCCAAAAGCTGGGTAAGCAAAGTGCTGGGCTTTGGGAAGGAGACCTGAGGGCTCTGTCAGGGTCCTAGAGCCCTCTCTCCACCTTCCCAAAGCTTAGTTAGCGCTTCCCCAGCTTTGGGAAGGAGGCGGGAGGGCTTTAGAACTCTGCCAGAGTCTTATATCCTTCCCAAAGCCCGGCCCCAGCACCTCACTTATCCAGGTTTGGGAAGGTAGTGGAAGGGCTAGGTAGGGGGGCATCAAATTTTGGGCTCACCTCCCCCCTCCGTGCGACAAGGCAGTGTCTAAGGAGGTTCACACAGCGGGCACACTGGCAATATTGCTGTGGAATTAACACACAACACTTGGTAGTCAGAGCCATGGGACTCCTTTGCATGCACCTTCAGTAGGATGGGAGTTTCTTTCCTGTAATGTAGTGTATATTTGAAGACTTAATTAAAAAATGAAATGAAAATGAAAGCTAAGATTCTCAGGAAGTTGAATTCTATGCCCAGTACCAAATTCTATGGGTTTTCTATTCTTGTGCATAGTCTGGAATGTCCTTCTGGGTTATGTAACAGTTGAGGTTCCAACGCGGTAATGATGGAGTTTTTGTGATAAACCTACAGGTGATTTTCAAAATCCTTCAGTAAAAGGTTCAAATATTTGTTTTGCAGGGAACTTAAAGTGAAAGCAGGCGAGTGGTTCTTTGAGCAGCGATCAAAGAAATTTCCAGTTGAAGGTAATGCTTTTAAAAAGTAGCAGGAAGCTACACTATTAAATGCAAGATAAATTGACGGTCTGTTATTTTTATTTCACATTTTGTTCTCTTAGCAAGATCTGTATAATCTGAAATAAGTAATAGTAAGTAAGTAAATAAATAAGTAAGTTAAAATATGAGCACATAACAGTAACCTTTGGCTACAATGTAGAAGTATTTAGGTGCTAGGCATTAATGTTCCTCTTCAACCAGGCCTGAGGCTGATTAGCATCTGATACCCTTTTAGATGTGTTGTGGGAGTGAAGGGGTTATTTATTATGTATTTTGTGTTTTTTATCTTGTATTTTTGTGTTGTGAACTGCCTTGGGCTCTATGGATGAAGGGCATTATACAAATTTAATATAAAAATAATTTTAACTAAGTACAATGCACTCTAGGCAAAGGACCCCTGACCATTAAGTCCAGTCGTGACTGACTCAGGGGTTGCAGCACTCATCTTGCTTTATTGACCGAGGGAGCCGGCGTACAGCTTCCAGGTCATGTGGCCAGCATGACTAAGCCACTTCTGGTGAACCAGAGCAGCACATGGAAATGCCGTTTACCTTCCTGCCGGAGCAGTACCTATTTATCTACTTGCACTTGACGTGCTTTCAGACTGCTAGGTTGGCAGGAGCAGGGACCGAGCAACAGGAGCTCACCCCGTCGCACGGATTCGAACCGCCGACCTTCTGATTGGCAAGTCCTAGGCTCTGTGGTTTAACCCACAGCGCCACCCGCGTCCCTTACAATGCACTCTACCCTGGCTGTAAACTCTTACTAAGAATAACTGTTTCTTTTGAACTGATACTGATGCTGTGTTAAATTACAGATTCAGATACTACTCCCTCTTGGTTTTTTGTTGTATTAATGAGTCCTGAAGCGGTTAATTATTATATTTATTATTAGTGCCATTTTAAAAATGATTTGTTATGGACTTACAACAGAAAGTTCATCTGCCCATATGTCAACATTTTGTAGAATTCAAATGAAACCGTTAAACAGCCTCACCAATAGTTTTGCACAGAGAGATGTTGCTTTCTTTGCCCTAGACTAGAGAATGAGACAGAAATGTATAGAAAAGAAAATATGAGATCATTTTACTGGAATTTTTTTCTATTGGTGAAAGACAGTCTGAGTGCTTGGCTGGTAACTATAATTTGAAAGCATGCTGAAGCTGATCCAGTTAAAATCTGCAGTCCTGCACATGCTTGGGTTGCATAAATCAATAGAAGTCAGTGGAATTCAAACTGGCTTGTTTGGGTGCAGGATTACAGCCAAAGGAATAAATGTTCCCATTTTGTGACTCTCTTGGAGCAGGAATAAATTAACAGTGATGAACCAAAATTATAGCTGTTGTTCTCTGTTAATTGCCTCTGTGACCAACCAGTCCATGGTAATTCCTTCAAAGACAACACAAACTTATGACATAAGTGGCACAATATTTCAACAGGAAACTTTAGAAACTAGTACTGTCAGTTAGACGTTGTTGTTGACTGAATTGGATGTGGGATCTTCTGCACACAAAGCATGCAGCCCCTCAATCTGCTTTGGAGGGTCTCTCAATTATATGGAACAGATTTTGAGTTAGTGGGGGCTACAGAGGAGAGGAGTGGGAAGTTCATTTGCACAAGTGGAACAGATCAGCACTGGGTACAACCTGTAAGAACACGTGCACAGTCTGCTTGTTTCTCATTTCATTTCTTTAATGGCCTCCAACCTATGCTGGCACATGAGGAAGGGCAGGAAGTGGCCTTTAGACATAAGATAGTGAATTAAGAGCAGCGGCATGCTTGCAACAGGGTTCTTGTAAAATATGCAACCACTTCCCTATTTGCTGGCATAACGTGGCCTGAAATATCAGGCAGTCATTGTGAGAAAATATTTTTTATCAACAATTTTGTTGATTGAGCCAGAGACTTACTTTCTACAGTGTTAATAATTGATCTATTGCAGAATTATTATCTTTGTAAGTAGCTGTAAAAGCATATTGAGATTAATGCATATTGAGATTAATGAGATTAATATTATATATATATATATATATATATATATATATATATATATATATATGCACACAGGGCATTGATATATATATATATATATTGCTCTGTGCAATTCATCATTTGTTACATGTGATTGATGACAGAAGGATTGCTTGCTCTTAGTTGATTGTCCACCATTTTATAAGCAGAAAGATTATTTTGGTACTTAGTTATACAGGTTGGGTGATAGCCAATGAAGTCATACTCTTAGTAGATTGATTAAAATCAACAAACCTAAGCCCGTTTATTTCAACAGGCCTACATGTCCCTCCCCCCCTTATGTGGGAGTTACGTTGCTGCACACAAATGAAATTGTATAATGACAGGACGTTTTCAGAGGTGCTTCCCTGTTTGTGGCATACGCTCCCTAGTGAGGTGCATCTTTTTCTGTCAGTGTTAGCTTTCAGGAGGAATTTGAAGACATTCTTGTTTACTCAGGCATTTTGCAGGTGAAGAATACTGTTTCTGGCAACCCAGAGATCATTGAATGAAATAATAATTTTAATTGCAACTATTTTAGAATGATTTCCCTGTTTTAGAATCCTTTTTTAAAATTGCAGATGTGTTTGCCACCCTGGGCTCCTTTGGGAGGAAGGGTGGAATGTAAATTCAATGAATCAATTAAATTTTAAAAATATTGTTGTGCTGCTTGTATTACTGAACTTTTCAGCTGTAATTTAAGTTTCTACCATCCGTTATTGTACATTGCTTGAATCAATACCAATAACTAAATGTAAAACGACATTTTTCTAAATGGTCACAGAATCTCTTGAGCACTTTTAAGGGTTGTCGAAACTGAAGTATATTGGCAACAATAAATGACAGAAAATTGTGACAAAGAACTGGTTTGTGAATAGAATATTATTGCTAGCAAATGACCTTGATGGGGTTTTCCCCCCTCTTGCTTCACAGGTAGATATGAAACTGCTGGGGCAAAGCTCTTGGACTCTTATCAAGCACTACTAAGGTAAGGACAAGAAGGTGAGCTTGTCCTAGAGAGGTGGATGCAGTACAAGGAGTGTATTGTGCAGTACAGAATAATCTGCCCCCTGAAGCTACCTGCAGATGCCAAGGTTTAATTTTAAAAGCTTGCAATAGAACAAGCAGAAATCTAAAACTTATTTTGGTGCTTTTGCTGTGCTTTTAAAACAAGTTAGCATAGTACAAAACCTAGTAGGGACTGAGTATTGTAGTGGTTAGTGTATTGGATTAGGACCTGGTAAGCCAAGGTTCAAATCCCCATTCAGCCATGGATCTCGCTGTGTGACCTTAGGGCAGTCACAGTCTCTCAACCTAGCCTACCTCACAGAGTTGTTGTGAAGATAAAATGGGGAGTGGAAGGACTATGAATGTCTTCTTGGAAGAAAAGTCGGGTATAAAAGTAATAATATAATAACAGCAAGACTGTCACCAAAAATGACATTCCCATGTCAAGTTAGTTACTTAGTTGGTCTCTAAGGTGCTACTGGAAGGAATTTTATTTATTTATTTTATTTTATTTTATTCCCATGTCAAGTTCTCTACCTGCTGCCTGTAATGTCTCATACAACTTATCCCGTGTTTTGTTGTCATTACTTGGTTTGTTTCCCTGCCACTCTCATTAGTAGGCAATTATGCGGCAGAATCACTTGTTTCTGTTAGGTCATATAAGGCAAGTTGCACTAGATGTTATGGAGGAAGAAGAGGGATCTTAGTGCAGGGCTGCCATTTTCGGTGGTAGCCCCCATGTTTTTCGTAGCATGTAGTTCCACACTTCAGATCAGTCAGCTTGTGCTCCATTTGGGTGTATGTTCATCAAAGTCCCACTGTACAAGCAAGCCAAGTACTGTCATGGAGGCTGTGATATTTATTGAGATGCTAGTGGAGCAGCAGTCAGTTTTTCGATAGGTAGCAAAGGATCTCTTGCAGCATCTCAGAAGATATGTGACGGAAGGCCCAGATCACGAGCAGCCGCTGACAATTCAAAACTTGTGTGCAACACTGCAAAGATTATGGGAGGCATCTATTGGATCACACACCAGTGGTTTGGGACAGCAAAATGTCCTGGTTACATTCTCATTGCTTTCTATGATTTTTTTTAGGGGGTCTCAGAGTGAGAGTTTTGTTCAGTGGGACAGGCAAGCCTGTTATATGGGATCTCTTTAGCTACAGTGGTGTAGTCAATCCTGTATCTAATATAGCAGGCCTGTCCAACCGGTTAATTGCGATCTACCAGTCGATCACGGGCTGTCCCTGGTTGAACCTTATTGATCGCGTGATCTCCAGCGATTGACCAAAAAAACCCCAACTCAACAACTCTGATCTCTCTCCCTAAATCCTGGGGAAGACCAGCATGGAATTATGCCAGCTTTCCTTTGATCCTGGTAGGCTTGTGAGAAAATTACATCCATGCCCATCCAAAGCTCTGCCTCCCTCAATATTGCAGTACAGCCAGATACCGCTATGTGGCACTGTGGTGTGGTTTTTGGGGTGATCACATGGGGAACTGCAGTGCTCACAGTATGGTGGAGCAGGGATTCCCACCCCCACCTGCGCTGCTAGCTGTGACCTCACACATTAGTATGGTGGCCCTTAACCCTGAGACAGATTAAGTGGTTTGTTAATTTTCAGTAAAATCTTGCTCAATGCCTTGCTCTGCTGAAAGAGTAAAGGTTAAAAGTAAATACCAAGACTGTCGGGAATGTGACAGACAAGCAGCAAATATGTTGTAGGGGGAATGCTTATTGAATGTTTTAAGTTAAGCATTAAGGCTGAAAAGTCACTTCTCAGCAAAATGCTTAACTCTGCATGTAACTTAGGCCCTTAGTTGATGGTAAATATCACAGGATCTGCCTTAGTTCTCCTGAAGAAATATTTGGTAGATTCCCTTTCCCACTATTTTCAAAAGATTTCATGATACAACATAAAGCAAAACCTTTTTTTATTATTCAATGTAATACAAAATAATCAAAAGAGTAATCGGTATTACAGTTAGTAATAGCACAATAACAGAAGAATAAAGTGGCTTAAATGTTTATTTGCACCATTTTTTCCCTTATAGAGTAAAATAAAATTCTTACTTACATTTTAGTACACTGTTGTACAATGTCAACATATTCTACAGCAACATATAATTTATCTGACTTCCCAATATCCTTGATTTTCTTGTAAAGTAATAAGACATTGGATTCTATCTGTATAATATTTCAGGGTATTTTTCCTTATTTTTCAATGTTGTTAATCTCAGAATGTTAGTTGTTCCCACAACTTCCTAATAAAATTTGCTTTGCTCAGTTTTGGGGTATTTTTCCATGACTTAGCCTACAGAATTCGTTCCAATGTCAAAATATACAGAACCTGCATCCAATACTGTGATGGTATACTTCATTTCACAGTCAATAGATGCAGCAGATTATCTAACGGATCTTATCTGTTTTGGAGGTTAAGCTGAGAGGGATTTGTAGTATGACAAGTTTTGTCACCTCCGATGTGAAATTCATTTTCTAGGAATGTCTGCCATTCCCCTGCTTATTTTCCTTTCATATTTAATCTCTACAATTATTTATTACCATGGTTTTTATTATTATATTAAATGATCAACACAATAAAGGGAATGATAAGATAGTGTGCTTACAAATTCGAGTTACTGTCCTTTCATATTCCACCTAATTTATAAATAAATATATTCCAGCATTATTAAATATAAACCATAAACCATATAAGTATAAATTTAAATGCCAATAAGTATTGTTTAAACATTGTTAAAGAAATACTACTGTTACCTACTGTAGTAACCTTTAAAGCATCCAATTACTTCTAACATAATCTGCTTTCTGTTTTATACATGTAAACAATTGATTAATTTTGCAGCCATCTCTGTTCCCTAAAATAAACTTATTTACCCTTTACATTAAATATAACATTGTTGGTCTCTAATGTCTAGTGCTGTTCTGCTTTGATTGATTTTTGTGATTATTTTTATGCTATTATATTTTTATTGATTTTTTGGGGTGATTGATCTCTTTGAAATGGTGGTTGATTGGTTTTAAAATGGAGTATAGGAGATATAGCGAATACAGTATGTCAGAAATGAACTTACATCTTTATGGTAAAATTCTGTTCTCCTTAAATTCTCAGTAACATATCAGTGGTTCCTCCAACTCCCCCTCCATTTGCTGAATCCACAAGCGAACATAATACAGTGGTAATGTATACTTCTATCTTTCAATTCAATGTGGCATCACATCTTTTAGCACAATTATTCCCTTTTAGCACATTTTCTTTTAATTTTTGTTTTCCTGACAGACTTGTGCCATTGAGTGCATTTTATGTTTTCAGAGTGCAGTCTTAAACGCACTTACCTAGCAGTAAGCGCCACTGAACTCGTTTGTTAGTTTAATAGATAAATATGAATGTTTTTGAAATAGGGATGATTGAAGAAGGTTGACTCGGTCCTATTGTATACCAGTGGCAAGGAGCAGAAGACTGGCAGAATGGCTGTTAAGGCTGCAATCCTATATTGTCTCACTTGGACCTAAACACCATTGAATTCAGTGGGACTTGTTTTTTAATGGGCACATATAGGATTGCAATACAGATTACTTTTGTTTCTTTATAAGCCACCAGGATGCATCTTGCACCAGAGTGCATACCTTTCAGCAACTGGTAAAGATATACTTCTTTACCCAGGCATTTGGGTGGGTGCATTGTTTTTCCCCTCCTGCTGTATTGCTGTTTTTGCCATTCAGGGGATTATGTCAGTTTTGTGGTCCTTTAATTTACTGATTTTAACGAAAGCTGTATATTGTTTTAAAATGTGGTATCTTATGTAATTTGCCATGGGACCATTCAGTGAAGGGCAGGCTATATGTACAAATAAGTAAATATATCAATAAATTAGTGCCCCAGCAATCAGAGTAGAAGTTCAATCAGTGTCAAAGAATATCTTCTCAGGGTTTCCCATACTGAATCTTGGACCTTCTGCGTGCAAAGCAGATGATCTACCACAGAGCTGCAGCTCTTCACCTAAATATGTTCCATTTGATAAGCTACTTGCTTTTATTTGTAACATCATTACAGCATATTTGTGCTGTGGTAGATAGAAAAGGATTGAACTGACCTGTGTGTCCTTTTTGCAAACACAGACAGCTCAAGTCATGCCAAAACATTTCCCTGAATTGCTTAGCTACGGATATGATAGCTCTATTTGCACACATGCACTTTTTTTTTTGGTAGGCTTCTAAGAGCATGTGACTTGAGAAGCCTTGAAAACACAACTCCTTCTTTTATCACTTTTATCTTTTTATTTTCACCCTGTATTGCAGGAACTTGACCAGACTAAAAGTTTCCACAGGTCTATGGAAAATCTGTTTCTGACATTTACATCACATATAAAAAGTAAGTGTTCTTAAGGACTTTGGTATTCTAAAGCAAGCAGCAGAATGTTTCAACTTGAGAGGATGGGTCAGGCCGTTTAATGGAAAGCAGAGGGGAGAATTCAACCTCTTCTAAGTAGAGGGGTTGGTGGTTTTTTCTTCAGGGTCCACGAAGGGAAGCAGCTCCCCATGTCAAAATTTTGAAAATAACAGGCACACTTGCTTCTGATTCCAGTACTACTTTTTAGTCTTACATTGTGATCCTCCCACATTGTGTTTGGAACATGCTGGCTTTTTTTTAATTGCTTAAGGTGCAGCTTGTTTATTTATGCTCTGAAGTATTCATTCAGCACCATAATTTTAGTGAAAATAACAATGAGGTTTTCAAAAGTTGAAAACTGTTCCAGGGAACATTATTTGGCGTCAGCATGGAAGCCAGTCAATTGCTACTGTATATAGCCAGCTTCTGCTGCAAGCCGGCAAAAGTGATTTACTTGAGTTCAGTCCTCAAGAATAGATTGCACATCTGACCCAAATACTCAGTTGATTTCAACTTCACTAGTAGAGCTAGTGAAGTGGTAAGCCTGTACCTTAAGTGTACGACATAATGTTGCAAGTTGGAGGCTGACATGATTTAATTCCTCTCCATAATTGAAACCCCCCCCCCAAAAAAAAATGTATGCAGAAAGCTAAATACTGGGGAAATGGGTTCTTTCCTAGATTTCTTCCTGGCTATTAACATGATGGCTGCATGGAATTTCCAGATTCAGAGGAACTATAGCTTGGAATACCAGTTTGTGGGGAGCAACAGCCAGAAAGAACTGTTGTTCTTAAACCCTGCATGTGAACTTACAAGAGGCATGTGGCCAGCAGGGTACTTCATTAGATGGGCCTGTGATTTGATCCAGCAGAGTTCTTTTGGTCCTGAAATGACATTTTTCTATGTATGTATGTGTACCCGCAAACACACACACACTGGAGGAGCATTTAATCACAATGTGAGAACTGGGCCTTAGTTGTGCCTAGTTATTGCTAGATTGCATACCAAGGCCACCACGGTTTTGGCTTAGTTTTAGCAGTTTGAAAGCATACCAGCGAGAGTAGATAAATAGGTACTGCTGTGTCGGGAAGGTAAACAGTGTTTCCGTGCACTCTGGCTTCCATCATGGTGTCCTGTTGTGCCAGAAGCGGTTTAGTCATGCTGGCCACATGACCTGAAAAAGCTGTCTGCAGACAAACGCTGGCTCCCTCTGCCTGAAAGCAGAGATGAGTGCCACACCCCAAGGTCAAATTTGACTGGACTTAACAGTTTACCTTTACCTTACATTGCCTTTTGTACCTGGAAAGCTTTGTCCCACTTCATTTTCAGAAAAAATAAATAAATGGCCTTGTGCATACTCAGGAATAGGTGTGCAGGTACTGTACAACACACACACGCTTTGCATAAACCAAGAGGACCAGCTAGAACTCGGCCAACCCTTTCTGTTGCTGCATCTCTTACATGATAATGAAAAATTGATAATGAAGGACAAGCTGTTTTTCTTGGTGTGGGGTTTTGGGGTTTATTTTTTATTTATTGGTCAAGTAATCCAAGATAAACTTCTGGGGAACCCCAGGCTCTGTGGAACACAGGTTGAAAACCACTATGCAATGTGACCAGTGCTTTTTTCTGGGGGGACACAGGGGTACGCATACCCCTAAACATTTTGTGAATCTAGGTTTGGCCTCATTGAGGGGCAATATTTCAATATGAGTAGGAAAATGAGAGTACCCCTAAACATTTTTTTTAGAAAAACACTGAATGTGACCCATATGTATAACTACCCTATGTGTAACTTGAAAACTTACAGTAGGTACTACTGCAGTGTAATGACAGTTAGCATTATTCCTGTTTTCAGTACTCCAGACTTGTTGTGCATCAAAGTTGTCAGTAACAGAGAACCCCTTTCTTGGAAGGACTGGGTTCCACTGAAATGGGACTAACTTCTAGCTGTGTTGTGTTCAAAGCTGAGGTGACCTAATGTGATGTGTTCCAGCCAGTTTCTTCAAATGTAAATTCCAATGCTGTCCTGTAAATTAAGATTGCATATATGCCTCTCTAAGGCTGCATATATCCTGTATCTTAGCACATTCAAAGCCCATTTTTCTTCTCAAAGAATTCTGGACACTGTAAACTCACAGAATTACAATTCCCAGCAACCTTTCACAAACTACAGTGTCCAAAATTCTTTGAGGGGGGAAATGTGCCTTGAATGTGCTTGAAAGGTATAGCGCATACACAGCCTAAGAGCATGTCTGGAATAAGATTTCCCCTCCCTGCAATTTACATTTTTATTCATTGTTATAACAAATACAGGAGCTTGCTGTAGAAAACAGATTGTTGGACATAATACACTTTCTGCTTTTACACTCATTGGTTTAGTTCTGTAATCAATTCTGCATTTTGTACTTCAGTATGTTTAAGCTCTTTTCCAGTATCACCCATGTTGGAAATGTCAACAGAGCATCAAACAATATCTGACCTTGTGTTTTTGTGGAGAGGCTCTAAGCAGAAGCTTTTATATGCTGCTCCACCAGCAGCTGCCCCTCAGCTTCAACCCACCTTATGGGCACAGACAGTGAATAATAACTAAACAGACATGTTTCATTTCCTACAGGAGATGATCAGATTTGATTTAACTGTTTGTGCGTCTCATGGGCCATTTACTGCAAGCAATGGGTAAACAAATATTGATTGTTATAAAGGGTAATGATGGAATGGTTTCATAAGTCAGACATGACTCAGAATTTCCTTTCTTTTGTGGACTTAAAAGTGCTCAAGGCCCTGTCTTCTGGTATCAAAATGGCATGCAGTCTCTGAGATTCTTTGTGACAAGGACAGTATTATATACAATGAAATAATGTTATTCACCAATATGGGTCTAATCCTAGGGGAAATACGGGTATTGTACATTCCCAGTTTATGGCAATACTTTGATTTCTTTATTAGTAGGTTTATATCAGGTCTTGAAAACTTGACCCTTCCTTCACACCTCAATTTTGTGTGTGCATTGTATCATAAATATCAGCCATGCTTTCAGTTATGAATCTAATATTATCTTTTGCATAGTACAAAGTAGTGTACAAGACAATAGATGAACTTCATAAACAAACTGAGTATGTTTGATGGGGTTTTTTATTTTTTTAATTCTCCTTTTATTAATTCTAGAAATATCAAAGTCCCAGAATGATATGACAGCCGAGAAAGGGTTGCTAACAACAGATTATGGGCAAGCAATGGATCCAAAGAAGGAGAGGAGAAGCCTGTCTGACACTGCCATTGATATTTCATCCAGGGTATTCAGTTGGATATACATTCAGTATATTTTAAAGGACTGTTTACAAGCAATATACACACAGGGCTTAGCTTTCTGCACTTGAAAGTAAACTCCAAATTCTGCTCCCGTAAAACACAAAAGATTCTTTGAATGGAATAAAATACACATAGTTTCTCCTTTCTTGATTGTGATGATTTTCTGTTTTTAGTTCCATAAGCACATTTTTTGTATAATTGGGAATTACTTGTTTTACTTCCCTTCCCACCAATTCCCCCAAAGCTAGTGAATGTAAATCAGAAGAAATGTCCATGTGAACTGCAAGTTGCCCTATGAACTTTAATGGAGGGGTAACCATGGTTGTAAATGAATATCTTTGCAAATCTGTGTTCCTCCATTGAAGTGCATGGGGAAATCCTTTGAAATGGGAGAATACACTGCATGTGTGCATGTCTTGTACCTGCTGCAATTTGCTGGAGTGGGCAGCTATTTTCAGAGAACAGTTAATTGAGGAAGGTAATAGAAACCCATTAGTACATCTCTCTACAGGTAAATGATGCCCCAAGTCTTCAGCAGCTCGTAAGTGAAGATCAAGGTGTCAATGGAGTTGCTGCCAAAAGGAAATCCAGTGAAGAGCTAATTCCATCCAGTGCCATAAGTGACCTATTTTCTTCAGGAAAACTAAGTGTAAGTAGTGATCCTTTTTTCATCCTATGTTCACTACGGAAGGAAATATGCAAACAGCTTAAGGGAAAAGTAACTCTTAACCAAAAACTCTGTGACCAAAAAACTCAGTTAAGGGGGGAAATTATAGAAAAAGAATTTAAGAAAGTTATAGATATTACACACACACACACACACACACACACACTTCTTCCTTAACTCAGTTTTTTTGTCACTGTGTTAGATTGTAGAAGCTTAGCAATTCACTGCTTGTAATCTAACAGTGGAAAATTCACAGAGGAATGCAGTGATGTTCTATATTGGACAACATATTGCTTATCTTTGGGGAATTCCAGAAACACGAGGAATCTTATGATAAAGATGGCAGATGGATGGGGTACACATATAATAACAATAATAATAGTTGTTGTTATTAAAGAAATGAAGATGGTTGTAATATTTCAAGGCTCTTACAGTATCATGCACCGCCGTTAAGCCTATAGAGCAAGCGATTATGTATTTTTACATTGTATTAATTCATTTTCTTCATTACAGGGTAGTTTATTCAGCATTAACAGCACTTGCACTGAGGCTGGCAACTTTGAGCAAGCTGATGTCAGCGGTGAGATAGAAGTTGCCATCAGATATCTCTTCAAATCTGGCATTTTAGAGGTATATATCAGAGCCTGCAAGAACTTGGCTTATGGAGAGGAGAAAAAGAAAAAATGCAATCCGTAAGTTTGTCTAGGCGTATCTTTCCAAAGCCTATGGCATGAAATTCTGATACAAGTAAAATTGGGGCTTGAAGCTTTGACTCCTGCAAACATCCCTCCCTCCTCCTTAGAGTGGTTTTCAGTTTTCATCTAAATGACTACCAAAAAGATGAGGTGGAATGACTGATAACTAAAGACTGTATGAAGGACAAGAGACAAAGTGGGTCATGTTTCAACCAAGAATATTTATGTTGGATGTTCAAACTTAAAAACTGCATTGGACAATGGAACCAGTCTGGGGAAATTGTTTGGTATAGACTTTTGTTGTGTGTTATGGCCATGTGTAAATTAAAAGAAAATAGGTAGATTATTTATATAGTTTACATAAAAGGGACACCATCTCGCTTTATTGGCTGAGGGAGCCAGCGTACAGCTTCCTTCTGGTGAACCAGAGCAGCGCACGGAAACGCCATTTACCTTCCCGCCGGAGCGGTACCTATTTATCTAATTGCACTTTGACGTGCTTTCGAATTGCTAGGTGGGCAGGAGCTGGAACTGAGCAACAGGAGTTCACCCCGTCATGGTGATTTGAACTGCCAACCTTCTGATCGGCAAGCCCTATTCTCTGTGGTTTAGACCACAGTGCCACACGTGTGCCTCACAGTTTACATACATACGTACATACATTCATCAAGCAAAAGGGAAAAACTATTTCCCCTGCTTCTTCAGAAACCAGAGAGGTTACGGTTCAATGCAGATATTTTAGTCACTTCTAGGTATGCTTGGATGTAGTTGCAGAAGTTTATTTCACTGCAGACTCTTACTGACCATCAGGGGGCTACAGGCTGTTGTAATGATTTTAAGAAGTGAAACTGTAGCGATTACTTCCAGGAAAATGGGTTTTTATCAGGTAGAGTCTAGCCTGGACAAGTATCTTTGTGAGGATTGTTTAAGCCCAGAGAGCTTGAAAGCCCAGCCACAGACCTTTTTACTTGGGCATAAGTTCCACTGAGTTCCATGGAGTTTACTCCGGAATAAGTGCTTAAGATTCTGACTTTAATTGCAGGGTTGTAGTCATGTTGAACCTCAAGAGTCCTTTCTACTCTTTGACTATGCTAAAGCTAGGATTAAAGCAAGATGTTTCGCTTTTTAAGAAGCATGTGTGTAATGAGTAGCACTTGAGCTTCATGTTAAGGTCATCCTTTGAGCAGAATGGGGAAAGCATTCTGGGATTTCAAAACTGTCCTAACACTTTCCCAGGGTTTGGTGCTGAATCTGTTGCATTGCCAGGTGATCAAACTGGAGCCCTTCCAAATGGACTTGGTCTTCATACAGACCTACAGGCCATCAAGATGATCATAATGCAAGTGTGGATGGCCCTGAATAGGAGAAACAGGAACAAAAGGAAGTTAAATAAAATAACAACAGATTCAGAAATTGACTTTGCATTGCTGAGGGGAAATCTTTTTTAAAAAAAAAAATCTGTAAGGGAGGGGGCAGGCTTAATAAAAGGTTTGTATGATAGTGCTGGGCTGAGTAATAGTGAGGAGTTCTGCACCTGCACACTTAAAAAAAAGAAACTCAGAGCTCCTCCAGATCAGTGGTTTGTGGTGTGTGAATATATTCTGCAACATGGCACTGATGCAAAAAGATGTGTATTAGTGGTGACTTTATACTGGACTTTCCACACTTCGTTCCGCTTTATTAGTTAGAATCATAGAATTGTAGAGTTGGAAGGGACCACAAGGGTCATCTAGTTCAACTCCTTGCAATGCAGGAATCTTTTGCCCAATGTTGGGGTTGAACCCACAACCCTGAGATTAAGAGTCTCCTGCTGTACTGACTGAGTGTGATCCTGGGTGTGCATTATTGCCATTTAGAGGAGCCCTCTTACACTGTAGCTCAATGTAAGCAGGACAAAATAACAACCACTTTGGGTTATTTTGTGGTATGAAAAGTTACAGGATTTCAGCAGGAAACTATGGGGTGTACAAGACTGGAAATGAAGCAGTATGTCTACCCCAAAACATTTGGCAGCATAAGCAGTATTAAAAGTGGGTTTGCATATAACTGCTCCAGTAGTATCATAGGCACAAATCATCATGGATGCACAAAAATTCCCTCAGTGGTAGCTGGGGGTAGTCTTCTATTCTTCCTCAGGTGCAAAAGACAACATTTTGAAGGCTCAGAAAATGTAATATTTATGGAACAGCTAGCTTGAGGGAATATATATTGATGTGTGCAGCTAACAATAAGCTGATAATGTAGAAAGGCCTTGAATGCTGCAAAACATATATCAGTAAATGCTACAGAGATTAAGTAGTAGGAAGCACGTGGTTTCATTTCCTCCCCCTCTCCCTTTCCTCAGCTCTTAACTGCTGTTTCCATCTCTGATTGCAAGGTACATCAAGACTCGCTTGCTGCCTGATAAATCTTCTCAGAGTAAACGGAAGACCTCTGTGAAAAAGAACACATTGGATCCAACCTTCCAAGAAACATTAAAGGTACACTAAGCAACATTTATAATCCAGATTTCTACGTTTCCCACGCTCACCCTGCCTCTTGTGCACAGCTAAACTCCTGCTTTTAGTGGATCTAGAAGCAGAGCTTCCTGCGAAGGAGAGATCAGTGGTGCTTAACTAAAAGATTTTATACACAAAATACCATGAAACCACATATAAAATTGGTAGCAGTCACCCATTTAATGCATTTAAACAGCTCAGCAGTAGGTTAAAATAATCATTTGGCCCACAGTCCTCACCTGAATGCCTTTGTGAAGAGATTGTGAATCATATCTCCAAAAGAACTTCCATTACTGAGGCATTGCCATGGAGAAGATCCTATCCTATAGCTCTATACATGGGGCTGTGCCCATCAATGGGGCCATGAGAAGGGCCTTCCCTATATCTGGCCAAATAGGCAGATATAGGAGGAGGCTATCCTTTAAGTATTTGGGACCTAAATCAATATATGTTATTGTTAGTAACTTGAATTGAACCCAGTAGTGAATAGGCAACCAGCACAACTTCTGAAGGATAGGTGTAATATGATTTTGGCTGGTTATACCACAGAGTAGTCTAGTAGCAGCATTCTGCACTAACTGCAGCTTCTGAACCATCTTCAATGATTGCACCATGTAGAGCACATTGCAGAAGTCTAACCTAGCAGTCACTAGAACATGGACCACTGTGTGGCTAAGCTATCTTGACCCAGGAAGGGGCGCTGCTGGTGAATTGGCCAGTTTTGGCAATAGGCACTACTAGCCATGGAGGCCACTTGGGTCTCAAGTGACAAAGCTGGATTAAGACGTACCCCCAAGTTGTGAACCTGCTTCTCCAGAAGGAGTTTAACAGCATCATGACAGGTTTATTCCCCAATTTCCCACCAAGAGTGCCTCCATCTTGTTGGGATTCACCTTCAGTTTATTGGCCTTCATCCAGCCCATTAGTACCTCCAGATACCAGCACAGCACTTGCACAGATTCACTGCATAGCTTGGATTGATTGAGCTTGGGTATCATCAGTATACTGATATATTTCCAATATATCAGAATCAGCCTCGCCTTTAAATAGCCCTATTAAAATAGCTGCCTGTCTTCTGAATTATGATGTGGCCAAAGCTATATAGACTGCACTTGAAAAATCCTAACCAAAACAAGGTTGTGTATTGTGCAAAGGACAACTATTTGCTTTTAAGAGCCTGAGCAAATGTCTCTTCTTTCAAAGGTTAAAGGAAGTGAATCATGATTTGGATGGAATATTTATGAAGTTGAAAGGAATTAAAATCTATTGTGCCAGCTTCCTCTTTTCACAATGAATGTCTCAAACATTACTGTTTGGACTTGCTAACTTAAAAAAATATATCCAACTGTTACATTAAAAGGCATTATGAAAAGTCAGTACCACTAGCTGTTGCTGTGATGCATCAGTGCAGTGTTTCAGGATACTCATCCTTATATCATAGAGGGAGGGAATTGTACTTGATTTCTGAACTTTCAGAAGATATTTGCATGCTTTGATGCTGATTAAGTACACAGGCAGATTTCTTTTAAAACATTAACTGACTCGCCAGGTGAGTAGACCACAATGGGTTGATCATACTGGAGCACAGCCCTCATTTATCTTTAATAGCTGTACAGAAGAGGGAATTCATTTGTTAATCTGGCAGATTTTAATGCTGCAACTTCATAAAAATATGTTAGTCTTATGCACTGCACTGTGGTACTTTTGATGCTTACAGTACAAGATTGAATACTCGCAGCTGGAAACTCGACAACTGCAAATATCTGTATGGCATGCTGGAACTTTTAGACATCGAGTATTCCTTGGAGAAGTGGTGATCCCATTTGAATCTTGGGATTTTGAAGACAGTTCAACTCAGTCATTCAGCTGGTATCAACTCAAAGCAAAGGTGACTCCAGCTTTATATTAGAGCTACATATTTTCCAGCAAATGCACGTGCGCACACACGCACACACACACACACACACACAGAGAGAGAGAGAGAGAGAGAGAGAGAGAGAGAGAGAAGTATGTTTGTATATGAATATACAGTGTATGCTTTTAATTCCCAACATTCTGATGCAAACTTACTTTGTCCACTATAATGAGATGGATAGTGTCATCAAAGGAATTGATTAAGTCATTAGACATTCACCCTGATAGCTGAGTCACCTCGAGTCACCTCCTAACCTGTCACTATATTTTTAACAAAAAGAAAATTATGGATCCGTGGTCTTGCCCTAGATGAAAGTTTAGCTGCTTATTCAATTTTATAGTATGGGGTCATTGAAATATGAGATCAGTTATTCCTGTTAGTGTCTAATAACTGTGATTATTGCAGGTAAACTTTCAGGCTTGACCTGTTTTATCATTTGAGAATAATGTCACAACTGATTATATGAATTAATTATGAGAAGAGAGGAAAGGCACAGGGCAATCACAAGCTGTCAACTATGTTTGTGTGTATTCTTCTCTCCACTTCTGTATAGCCCGAAAAGCCTGGTGATAATGTACTCCAGTACAGTGGAGAACTTCTGTTGCGTGCAAAGCTGGATTCACCTTCCCTATGTAACAAGTTCCAATATGGTAAGCATGGGAAAGAAAATACAAAGCACCGTATGTATTAATTTTGCTATTAAAACTCTGTGTCAGCTTATGTAAAGTCCTCAAAAATGACATTCACTTGTTTAGGGATTTTTTGGGCCAGTGGACACATTTGGAATTTTAAGGAAAGTTTGTGGGCATTGGACACAAAATGGCTCCTGTGGGGTGTGTGGCAAAACACAAAATGACTGTCATGGGGCACAGCAACAACATATATACTCAGCCCTCTGTCCCTGTGTCTTAGGTTTTTATCACACTAGGGATTTAGACTGCCAAATAACTCTTTCATAGTATTCACCATTTGTGATGTGATGTGTATCAGTGTTGGTGATTCTATGGATTATGATGGAAGTCATTAGTCTTAATTCATCTCTGGCACAGGACTTGCCCTACTATCAGACAGAATAAGGCAACTGCCTAAAGTGGGTGATTCTGAGTGCTATGTGTGGGTGCAGGGAACAATCCAAACCCTTGACTAGCAGTTGTAGGTCTCAATGAAGTAGCCTAGCCATCACTGTTTCACTGCTGGCACCGGAAGGTGGGTGGGGTCAGGAAAAATGCTATGCCAGCTCCCAGCTGGTACAGCAAAGAGACCCAGATCAGGACTATTCCTGACAGCAGCAGGGCCCGCTCAAGATCCAGCAGATCCTGTGCCCACCCAGCCCGTCCCTTTCTCTCCACACTCCTGCAGCACTCTGCTTCTGGAATCTCCACTGTCTGCCATTTGGGAGGGCACATTGGAATGTTCCTCACAGACAAAACTCTCCTGCCAGTGGTGGGGCTATATGAAAGGACACTTCCACTCCAAACCTCCCTCTAGCATGGCAGATTGGGGGTTTTGAGAGCTGTGTTAGTCTGTAAGACATTGTAGCATTTGGATCTTCTTTTCATAATCTCCTTGCTCACAGTAATGGCAGCTGATAGCACCTAGACATTTTACCCTCAACACTGTGATAACTCTCTTCTGGTTTCTGCCCTCTTTCAGGGATGGAAGACAGAGCACATCCTGAGTACCAGCTTCAACTTCTAGTTCTTGGAGCCCGCAACTTGCCTATGCTAAGACCTGATGGCCTATTGAACGCATTTGTTAAAGGGTATGGTTTGCTATGCTGTTTAAAATGTAATTGTTTTATTATTTATCATGCATTAAACTTTTTGAAAGTTAGTTTAAAAGAAATCCTTATATGTAAAATCAGATAACTGTTAAGTGTGTGCAGCTTAACCTTATGCTCAACAAACTACTGGTACACCCTTTGCAATTCTTCTCATTTCAGTGGGAATAGTTAAGTATGGGGTTAAATATCTCCTGTCAAAATGATGGCGTTAAAGCTATTTAACTATAGCTGGATTGTAGACATTATCATCCGCATGGCAGAATATTTCTGGGCATCACAGAGCGAGCCCAAGATTGGTCCAATTCTGTGACTTGGGTTTAAAATGCAAAAAGATATAGTGACCATGGTGGTTAGCTTGTAGTTGACTTAGAAACATGACAGAGTTGGAGGAAGTAAAAATATGTACAAGATAAGAATGTAATATCAATTGGCAGCATCGCCTTCTCGCCAAAAAGGCCTTGGAGTGAAGATAAAGGTATAATCAAGGCTGAAATCTTCAGTTGGCTAGTAACTGTAAGTGATGCAAAATGTAGCTGCCTTCTTCCTGCAAAGAGAGTTTCCCGGAGCATGCAACTTCATTCTTCCAGAGGCTGGATTCCTTTCTAGTCGCAGGCATGTCAGGTCCTGATTTTGGCCAAAAGGCTGGCAGACATGCATTTCTAAGAAACGCTGGCCTTGCCTGTATGGGAGAATATAAAGAGGGGACTGCTTTCACAGCCTTGGTATTCCCTTCCTCCCAGACTTAGTTTAGCCAATTTAAACATGTATAACAGAATCCTGACTCTTTCTTTGAAAAAAAAGAAAGGAAAACAATTGGGCATAGCTAATGATGCAGTAGAAAGAGGTGCTTACCTCTTTTCTTGCCTGCTGCTTTTCACTGCAAAATCCCCCTGAAGCTAATTGTCATGACAAAGTTAAAGACAAAGAGCTTTTGCCAAGAGATGGGGGATGATGTGCACTGTACTGTGGCACAGGAATGGTACCTGTCCATGCAGGTCCCTTGTCCCCTGGGGATATGGTTAGAAGCATAGAAGCAGGTCCCTGTCCATGCAGGTCCCTTGTCCCCTGGGGATATGGTTAGAAGCAGTAACACTGGCCAGCAAGAATTGTAGTGATTAGCAGCCCCAAAATGGTACAGCCTCGTAATTGCCAAAGTCAAGAAGACAAAGCTCTCTCTATGTGAGTGTGTATGGATGACGGACAAGACCTTAGTTCAGGAGTGAGGATCTGGATCCAGCCAGGGACCAGATGCTTAATCTGGCCCTTCCCTGTGGGCCAGCATTAACTGACAAAAGGCCCTGCCCACCTGTCAAAGTTCAAAGGGGCTCCCTGTACTGGTAGTTAGCACAGCCAATCCTGATGGGCTGGGATCAACTGATCAATTGACTGATGTTGTCAGTAAACCCTTCATGCAAAGGAGCAGTCAAGAGCTCACAGTAAGCTCATGCTTGTTCTTTTGTGGCCATGCCCTTATCTGCCCACCCAATGTCATTTATGACATCATGCCCAGGGCAGGTGGGCAAGGTTTGGTGAAAAGCTGCAAAACTGCCTCTCTGGCCAAATTGCAATCTGTGCCAGGTTTAATTATGCCCATGCACTGAAGGGTCCTTACCCCTGCTTTGTTTAAAGCCTCCTATAGTAAAAACAGAAAGACCAACAGAATTGAAGGATTGTAAGGTATTTTATAAAACTTTCCTGAAGTAATTCAAGAAGAGTAGCTACGTTAGTTAGTCAGTGGCAAGAAAAAAATGGCATTGTATTTTGGTACCTTAACAATTCATGAATTGTAGTATGAACCTTTGTAGGCTAGCGCCTGCTTCATTTGATGCCTGCATTAATTGTATCTCAAGCCTCGATAAATGTCAGACTTCAAGGTGCCATGAGATACTGGTTTGTTCTGCAAAGTAGGGGCAGAGTTCAGTCCAAGTTGAGCACTTTAAAGTCCCTGTTGCTTTCAAATGGGGCATGCTCAACTTCCTCACTGAAATCAAGGAGACTGAAAATGCATAACTTTAGCTGGATTGTGCCCTCACCTTTTCCCTGTCATAAATCTCACTGAATGGTTTCTAACTTTCTCTTTGGGAAGCTGCCTTTGCATCCTGGGGCAACGTGACTTAAAACAAAGGACTCCTGTGCTGAAGAAACAAGCCCAGCCACAATGGAACCACTTGTTTGTCTTTAATGGGGTTACCGCATCTCAGCTGCAGCAATCTTGTCTGGACTTAACTGTCTGGGATCAAGCATCGTTCGGTTTACGTGATCAGTTCTTGGGCGGTGCAAGACTTGGAAAACGTAAGTGGAAAAAATGAGACTTTTGTGCTGATAGATATCACAATCACCCCACATAGCACAGTATTGCATTAGGGATAATGTGAAGGAGGTGGAGACGGAAGACCTAGGAGTTCTATAGATCAAATCTCGCCTTGGTTATGAATTCACTGGGTTCTCGGGCTCTCTCCCATCTATAATGTAATGGTATAATATCATCAGTATACACAGTGCACAACTCTTGTAAGGTTTACTAAAATGATGGCTATGAAACACTTTAGGAAAACAGCACAACTCACGTTAGATAATTTTTTTAAGGCTTGAAATGACTGTCCTGGGTTGGGCTGAGGAACCTGTAGCCCTCTAGAAGTTGCTGGAATATACTATTGAGAGTTCAGGAGCCCTGCAAACTCTGGAAGACCCCAGGTTCCTCACCTCAGCTCAACACGTATGTTGAATTAAGTAATTCAACTTAAGTATTGTGTTTATGCAGAGCTTCAAGTCTGTTCAGAGCATATCACATATATTATCTTCCTGTAATTTGTAAAACACCCATGTAAAGAGAGGTCAGTTTTATCTTCATTTTGAGGAGTGAGGGTCTGAGGTTGGTCTCAGTGAATTTATGACATTCAAACCAGGGGTGACTTGATTCATAGCTCAGTTTGTGAACTACCGTATTTTTTGCTCTATAACACGCACCCGACCATAACACGCACGTAGTTTTTAGAGGAGGAAAACAAGAAAAAAAAATATTCTAAACGAAACAGTGGATGTATGATTTTTGTGGTTCATCCTGTGGCCACAGACATGTGATCTGACAGTGAGTTTGGAGTAGCCCAGTGCAAAAATCCTGAGGATCCATGTGGATCCATGCTTTGTAACCACGTTTTTGCACCACTGCAGCCCCAGGCAACAGTGGGTGCGTGATTTTTGGGGTGCAAGATGTAGCCATGGACATGCTATGTGATCTGATGGTGAATTTGGGGTGACCCAGTGCAAAAATCCTGAGGATGCATGTGGATCCATGCTTTGTAACCACGTTTTAAGTGGGGAGGGAAGGAAAAGCACTCAAGGGGCAAGGAGCATGCGTGGAGTGGGTGGAGAAGGATGCTGCTAATAATGAAGAAGAGGGGTATAAGGGGAGAAGGCTCCTCTCCTCTCCCACTTTGCTCCTTTAAAGCAAGCAGTCTCTGCTTTTCTTCCTCCTCCCCGCTCATCCCCGGCTTAGCGAGCTGAAAAACTTTGCTGCTATGTAGCGAGCTGAGTGGGGGGGAGAGAGGGACAGAGAGCCTGCTTGCTTTAAAGGAACCAACCGGACAGGAGCCGCTTACTCCTTTAAAGAAGGAGCTTTGCTCCTTTAAAGAAGCAGGCTCTCTGTCCCTCTCTCCTCCCCACTCAGCGGCTCTTCTCCCGCTTTGCTGTTTCAAAGCGAGCCACGGAGAAGGGAAGGAAGGGGAACCATGGATCCTCTGCTCACGACTGCAGCAGATCCCTCCCGCCACCCGTAAGCATTCCCTCCATAACACGCACAGACATTTCCCCTTACTTTCTAGGAGGAAAAAAGTGAGTGTTATGGTGCAAAAAATACGGTACCCTGCCCATACATACATGAAAAGGAAGCGGGACCAGAGATCCACAGGCCCATTTTATTCATTTAAATATCTACACAGAGTAGTCCCATTGCCATAGCTGCATTGAGGAGATACCATATGAGCTGGAGCATTCATGCAGATGCTCAGTCCTTTGGAAGCCTCACTTAAATAATAACTCCCTCAAAAAGTGGTGAAGTTAAAAATTGCATCTGATGGGCTTCAGCTGTCCACACACTAATGTGAATGCTCTGGTTTATTATATGATATTTTCTCCCTGCAGCAGGACCATTTCGTGTGATGAATTTTTAAACATAGGAAATAGGGCACGTAAGTCCACCATACTACCTTAAAAGGAAGCTTTGGAGAACACACTGATAGCCACCCTATTGGTCCCTGGCACAGCCAATCAACACAAGCATTGGAACTTGCCTCCTGGCCCAGTTAGAACATATAGTATACTAGAAGGATGTCACAGGGGAACGCCAACATCCCCCATAGTTCACTATGGAAGCACTTCACATGTCGAGAACCACTGACCTAGTTGCTGCTTGCTGAATTAATCCACTGTATTCTCTGTTTTTCCTTGTTTTGACTCTCCTCAGTTTGTCATAAAGGCCTTCTCTTTGGCAAACAATCAAAGGGACAGAGCAATGCTGACACGTCATTAGCAACACTAATTGGAATTGCTCGCAGCAGGCGTTGTATCCTGCTAAGCTTTCCCTGTGGCAAGCCATTATTTTTCTCAGTGTCAAAGACCCATCTAATTAAAAGCTGGACAGACACACAAAAAATATAGCAGGACCAGCAAACTACTCCAAAACCCAGTTCAACTGCAAAAGATCATTTCGTAAACTGCATAGAATCTGATAGTTTATTTAAAAATGTATACATCTCTTGTAAATGAGAACTACTACATTTGTTATAAAGGTATTGCTACATGCCTGCCCAATTGCCAAGCAGTGCGAGATTCCAGGGGTTCCAGGCATGCTTACCCAAGGTTCATGTTTCGGGAATGAGGCACAGCAAAGACTGTGGTGCTTTTACGTTATATGGTTTATTTACACATATATACAACCTGACCCTATGATGGAGGGGTTCCCAGCATTATACTTCAAGAGGCTCTTGCTTCCTCCGTAGGTGCAGCTTAGGAATCAAACATCAGCCATGGCTCTCTGCCTGCCTGTAACTTTTCTTCAGCTTCTGCCCACATAACTTCCCAGAGCCATCACTCTTTACTCTTGCTACTGCAAGCCCTCTTTATCTGTTGATCTATTTGCCATCTTACACAAAGTTCATTTGATCCATTGGCTTTTGTAATAACCCATCCCCCCACCCCCACCCCAATATGATTTTCTGGATAAGGGAAATTTAGCCTATCTTAATTAGTTCTCATCACATGTTAATTCCAGGGGATAGCATTTTCCAGCACACAATTTAATACACATAGGTCTGTCTTAACACATCAAGCATTGATTAATTTCTAGCGTTTGCTTGATCTGGAGATTATAGTGGTCTAGCACCCACAAACTCATAACAATATATAGTGCAAGAGGAATCTTTCAATAGATTATACTCAACAATGATCCACATACTTAATTGGCCAATTGTACTCTTAATTCTGGAGCCCCCAACATGGTGCCCATGGGCATCATGGCATCCCCAGACCCCCTGCCATTTCTTTTGAAAACATTTTTTGGAGCTCCTTTCCAGCTTTTAAATCTTGCTGGAAAGAGAAGTGCAGGCCTCCAGCTGCCCTGCGCTCTTCCTTTCCACACCCCAGATTGCATGTTGTTTAATTGGAAGGGGGGGAGAGGTCCCTGGTATTTTGGCTGCTTTTTATTGTTTAACTTGCTTTTTGTTTGCCCGTTCTTCTGCTTATTTGGAGTGTGCATGAATATTTTTCTTCACTGAGTATCACCAGTTTTTTCTCTGGCAAAATGATATTTTGTGGTGCCAGGGATTCCCATTATTTTGGTCCTGGAATTTTAAAAGATTGAGGACCCTTGCTTTGAGTGTGTGTTTCCACTGTGTACTTGCACCATGCAAAAGAGACCCATTGACCAGATAAATGCATGAAGCAGCCTGAATCTCAGTACTCAAAACTTTGTAGGAACAAATTTCAGAGAGCTGGTTCTGAATGTACTATCTTCAAAGGACATGGTTTCAGGAAAGGGCTTTGTAGAATGTAAACATGTTTAAAGCACCAAGTTTTATTTGTCACATATAAATAGATGTGACATAACTGCAAAGGGAGTTGGAAGAGTAGACTGAACTTTTTGCTCTGCTTCCAAAGTTTGCATGTAAGATAAACAAAGAAACTGCTAGGTCTGACTCTCACACCCCAGATATGCTCTGTTTTGCAAACATAATGGTATCTATTGAAACTCAAGATGTGAGGAGCCTTTGCCTAATTCTTGATTGTAATTCATGTACTGCATTCTATCAGGACATGAGGTGTTAGGTTTTCTTAACAAAATGAGAGCTATTAAATGGACAAAGTCAAGATGAGTCACTTTCTCTTTCTTATGTTTCCAGAAACATCAACCGGTACAGTGGATGCAACCTCCCAAGCATGTCTTCAGTGGGAAAAGATGCTCAGCAGCCCAGACACATGGACAGACATAGCACTTTCACTGTATCCTAATGCTCCTGCCTTTAAATTCTGAATGTCTCTTGCCTTAACAACATATGGAAAGCTATGTGTAGCATTGGTCATTGCCTGCTCAGACAAGTATGGTATGCCAGTTATTTTAACCCCAAGAAATGTAAACAATGAATGAAAAGAACAAGAAGGGAACAGCTTTACTGATCTCTGTGTATGTCAGGAGCTTCACAGCAAGTCAGACTGTGCATGTGTGAAAGACCCTCAGATCCACAAGTGTTAACTGTAAATTTAGAGTTCACCTATTTCTCTGGGAAACTAGTTGGGTATCTTAGCCAGAGCAGCAGGCATGATTTCCTGGCACAATTCAAGCAATAGCAAGGTTAGACTGGGAATTTAATGCTGCTGTTAATGAACTATTTCATGGTTGCATCTCTTTTTGCAAACTCTAAAGGCTAGGACTAAGCAATGCAAGAATGTTTGCTGTAACACCCTTGTTCATTTTCACTGCTGCCTGCTTCTCTTTCTCTCTCATAATCAGCCCAAACCTTTTTCTTTCTCCATATTTCTGTTCTACTTTGACAGTCTCAGCTTTGTTCTCCTAAATCAATCTGGCTATGCCTGTAAATTCAGCAGCACTGTGCACCAATTACCGTATTTTTCGCCCTATGAGACGCACTTTTTCCCCTCCAAAAATGAAGGGGAAATGTGTGTGCGTCTTATGGGGCGAATGCAGACTCCTTGGCTTCAGCGATAGCAACGCGAAGCCTCCGAAGCCTGCGCTCCGGAGGCTTCGCATTGCTTCCGCTGAAGCCAGGAGAGTCTGCTCTTTGAGGCTGGCGGTGGGGAAAGCAGCGCTTCCCCCATCGCCAGCCCCAGAGGATGGGGGGCAGCGGGAAGGCGTGCAACGCCTTGCCGCTACTCTCCAACCAGGCTTCGAGGCTGGCGGTGGGGAAAGCAGCGCTTCCCCCATCGCCAGCCCCAGAGGATGGGGAGCAGCGGGAAGGTGCGCGACGCCCTCCCGCTACTCTCCAACCCTCCTTTGGGCTTTTGCGGGAGGTGGGGGCGACGCCCTCCCGCTACTCTCCAACCCTCCTTTGGGCTTTTGCTGGAGATGGGGGAATTCCCCCACCTCCCGCAAAAGCAGGCAAAAGCCGCGCACTCTTTAAGGGTAGGCTCCAGCGGGCTTTTCTAGGAGGTGGGGAATTCCCCCACCTCCTAGAAAACCCGCAGGAGCTGCACACCCTTTAAAGAGCGAGCGGCTCTTGGGGGCTTTTCCCCAAGGAGGGAAAAGGGACTGACTGGCCGTTTCAGTCCCTTCTCCCTCCTGAGGGCTTTTGGGGGAGATGGGGGAATTCCGCCACCTCCCGCAAAAGCAGGGAGAAGGTCTTGGAGTAGAGGACAGGCTGCGTGCAGCCTGTCTGCTGCTCCCAGAGCTGCGGGGGGGAAATCATATTTTTTTCCCTTGATTTCCCCCCCTGAAAACTAGGTGCGTCCTATAGGCCGGTGCGTCCTATAGGGCGAAAAATACGGTACTTGAGATGACGCCTATAACTGCAGCCAAAATATGTCAGCATCTGGACAACCTATTCTTTCTGCTTGTCAGCATCAAAGAACAGAACTCCTCCAATGAACGTTTGAGATAAATCTTTGATTTATTGGTATCTATAATTTACAGAAGTAAAAGAAAACCCCAATGTATGGCATTTTATCTATGCATGTAATTAGTTGGGCTAGGGGAAACAAGCCCACACATGTATCCTTTTTGGAAAGTTGTTTTTGTAAACCACTTATTTCTTCTTTAACTGGAAAATACCACAAAGGGTGTTTTGCTTAGTTCCATAGACAGTGGTACCTTGGTTTAAGAATAGCCCTGTTTACAAACTATTCGGTTTACAAACTCCGCAAAACTGGTAGTGTCCTGGTTTGCGAACTTTACCTTGGTCCAAGAACGGAAGTCGAACGGTGGAAAGGCACCGGTAGCAGAAGGCCTCATTAGAGAAAACGCGCCTCAATTTAGGAACGGATTAAGTTCATAAACCAAGGTACCACTGTATAGCTGCCCAGTACTGTTGAGCCAATTAATTATCTACCCTAACAGGCATCTGCTCCCTAGTGTCTAAGGAAATCTAAGGGTCTTTTAACCAGATATGCAAGGGACTTAATTTATTGTGATAAAATGGAGGGTGAGGGAAACAGGATATGTCACAGTCATAAAATAAATTAATAATCCAATCACTACAATGATTTCTATTCTTTGTTTCATCTGTTCCAAGAGACATCCTGTGAAGCAAGTCTGCTTGCACAACAAGCATCTACAATGGAGTTTCTGATTTCTCTTCTCCCACCTCCAGTTCTCTGCATGTGCCCCATCTGGTCCACAGAGTCTGAGCCTCTGGAGCTTATTATGGGGATATGTGGAAGATGACCCATTGCACACATGGGCATTCACTTACACTACATTGGATCTCAACTTCCTTCTATAGAGTAACTAGATGAGCTGTTTTATTTACCAATACCATCCATTAATTTTTCAAATATCTTTGATGGCAGGAATAGAAAGTATTTGGGGGGGGGCAGGAAATCACACAGAACTTCAAACACATGCTGCCTTGCAGATTTTTTTTTATTTGTTGGTGAATTACACAAACAAATCCCACAACACTGTTATCAGGAGACAACGGTTAAAACGTCTTTGAGTACAAAGCAGCATAGGGAGTTACATGTTGAACAGAGCTAACAATGTATTGTTCACTTGACAATGTAGCAGATTTCCAAAGCCTGAGGTGGGATTGTTTCACGGGTGGAAGTTAACATGGACACAGTGGTAGAAGAAATCCATAGAAATTCTCTTTAATAGAGAAAATAAGCTGACAAAGTCCCTTCATGGTTGGAGTCTGAAACTATATCATTTTTAAAAAATTAGAAAATTTGTTAGAAAAAAAAATAGGTACAGTGAAATTGTATATACTGAATCACAGCCATGTTATCACAATTTGCTTTAAAGTAAAAAAAAAAAAAATCATCTTTACAAATGTTTTCTAGATCAAAATAGTTTCCTACACTGCCTTGGCTTCAGAGACTAGAAATTATTGTCTATTTTTTACATTATTCTTTTCATATTAAGTCTGAAAGTAGTAACAAAATATACAAAGCAAAAAACTTTTATCCTCCCTTTTCAAACTAGAATTATATCTTTAACATAGGTATATATAAATACTACACTACAGCTGATTGGTTAAGCTGGAGTACCACACTTCAATAACATTGAAGGCCAACAATATCCCTGCCTATCTGTTATGTAAGAAGAGCATCCAAGTGTGCCTGTAATGCATAGCTTCTGAATGATCACTGTGGGAACTTCTCCAATACAACAGTGCAATTAATAAGCTTCCTCAGACTTACTACTTGTCAACAGTGTAAGGGGGGAAAAGAGATGGACGCCATGAAGATCTTTACAACCCTGAATTGTCTGTGCTGCTTAAGAAACAACCTGGTGCAGCAAACTAGTAGGTTGATTCCCCAATCTGGACATACCTACCACGCTATAGAAATGGGTGCAGACAAGAAGTGTAACAAGCAGCACAATAGTAACATGGAAAAGAAACAATTCTGACAAGCCTTTTGGCACTAGCATAGGACCAAATTTCACCAAGTCTTGACTGAAAACCTTGTGGTGGCTATCCTTGTATGCTTAAAACTGATGTTGTATTAAGCTAAAATCAGGTAGCATCTGACAGGTGTGAGGGTTTGGGGATTATTTATTTTTTTGGTATCACTGTTCAGTGACCCTTCAGAAAGAAAGGTCAGCATTGAAAACCTGCCTTTCCCAGAGTCTTGCCTTATGCATTTACATAGCTTCAAACTCGTCAATTCTTTGCTTGGTGTTGCCTTGTCGGATCTGCCTCAGTGTCTTGTACTTGTCTCGTCCTTGCCGCATATTCTCTGTGTGAATGAGGTCGTTTTGTGTCTTCTTGTTCTCATCTCTGGCCTGGGCTAGTTCATCAGTCAGCGTCTGCAATATTTAAAACACACAAGTTACACAGACATACAAATACTTAGGGGAGTATAAGGTAGCACACAAGACCATAACAGAACATCATTCCTCAGTCCTTCTATTGCTTGGAAGCCAGGATATGAAAATCTTTGCCACGGTGTTTCTTGTTATAGGACAACTAGAAGTGGTACAACAAGAGGAGTGTAGAACAGTAAGAGCCTGGGGGCAATTTAGAAGATTCTGGATTTCTTCCAATCCTAGCCATGCCAGGCTTCCTTAGATAGGCAGTTGAGGCCTACAATAATGACCCACAATTATTAAATGAAATATAAGAATCCTCAGTTCCATATGAGCTTCCTGGTACATTTATTAGCGCCTGCATTTAACAGGTTCAGCATTCAGTACAAAGGCAGTGAAAGAAGCAGATATAAACATCTCTCAACTCTTTGGAACAACCAACAAAGGAAGCTGCCTTCTATTGCGTGAGTCCACTCAGTCCATCTAGCTCTGTTTGTCTACACTGGCTGGCAGTAGCTCTCCAGCATTGAAGGCAGAAGTCTCTCCCAGTCCTGCATGGAGATGCCAGGGACTGAACATGACATCTTCTACAGGACAGCTGCATATGATAGTTTGGGCAACATGGATGCTACTGAGCACTGGGTGGCTACTGATTCACACAATCAGTTTCATGAAGTGGCTACCATAGGGTTTTAGATGGAAACACTGGGACTGAAGCCCCATTTCGCACAAAATCATCAACCATGAAGAGCAGCAGTCATCTCAGTCATGTGAAACTGATCTAGGTGTATCTTACCTTCAGCTGCTTTTGCACACGCTCATTCTTTTGGGCTTCAGTGATTCTCTTCTCTTCGTTACGATCATCCAAGATCCCTTCACTGGAGAATTCTGCGCTGTAGCCAGAGGACTCGGTTCCTTCGTCCTGAAGGTTGTCGTGGACATGGTAGTTCACTGGCTCATACACAGGTGGAGGTGGAGGAGGTGGAGCAGTCATCACCAAGTGCAGCTCCTCTTTTGTTTTTACAAGATCTTCTTGGGCTTCTATAGCCTATTGTAATGGAACCAGAAAGAAAATTTAGACAAAATACTTTTTACTAGGATTCCGGTGGGTACAGAATGAGAAGCGCTCTTTTTATGTGGGGCTTTGCCCGAGGTTGGTCTGGAAGCCACAAGTGGTGCAGAAGGCTGCAGTGAGGTAACTCAGTGGAATGCCCTATCACAGACATAATACACTTCTCCTAAAAGAGGTGAATGGCTAGTAACAAGCTAGCAGCCCAAGTACCAGGGCTTTGGTTTTAATTTCTAAAACCCCAAACCAAGGATCAGGATACCTAAAAGAGAGCCTCTCTCCCTGCTGCCCTGTCTGAACATTGTGCTCAGCCCTTGGAGGTTCTCTTTGCTGCATTGTAATCCTGCCAATGGCCGCCACGGGGAAGGCCCCCTCTATGGTACTACCTTCTCTTGGAGCTCCAGCAAGCACCCATACAGGTCATATTTCAGCGCTCAAAACATTTCAGGGGTTTAATTTCAGGATGAATGGTGTCCTGGGGGCCATTCGTTGTATTTAATTACTGTGATTTTACTATTTTTTTCATATTAACTTGTACACACTGGTTTGAGATGGATTGTAAAAGGCTATTTATAAACTATTTTATAAATAAAGCAGTTTTACAAATGCTTATTGTTTAAACATTTTTATACAAACCACTTTGAGACAAGCACCTCAGAAGCATTATACAAATATCTTAAATAAACAATACGGTCCTACCCTACACAATCCCATCATACGCTTCTAGGGCTGGAAGAGTAGCAAAAACTACTGTTCTACAGAACTGTGTAGCCCATACTCTCAGATTAATGGCACTGAAAGTTCCAAGGCAGGACTAAAACTGCTAAACCCTTGGAGGCCAAACAGACTGATACGTAGCTCTAAAGAAACTTCGCGCTTACCCTGTGCTGCCACTCTTCTACCTCGTTCTCCTTGCGTTTCCTTGCCTCTTCCAGCAGTGCAATCCTGGCTGTGTATTCAGCAAGCTCAGTAGCCTGTTTGACAGAGAGAAAGGCATTTTAACATAATCCGGAGAAGATGGAAGTACTATTGGTCAGTAAGATCTAGAGGCAGGGAAGCAACCCATTTTGGATGACGCTGTTCTCCTGATGAAAAATCAGGTACAAAATGCCACTGCAATAGTGTTAGCTGGAACCAGCTCTAGGGAGGCATGTTATTCCACTCCTGTTCAATTTGAGATTCTGGTTATGTCCCTAACGCCTCAAGAGGTTTAGAGCTAGGATACCGAAAGGGTATTTATCTCCAGTATGATTTTGCCAGTGCCCTTCAGTTGGCCGGAGAGGGACAACCTTAAGTAGAGGGCCACCAACTTGGATGTATTTAAGAAGATAATGCTATGAATGTCTACTAGCTAACAATCTGGGATCATGATTTCCTAATGCCTGCCTGATCCCTAATATCACCGAGATCTTTGGGGTTGTCTTAGGTGCCACCACAATAGCTTAGATGCACAACTCAACTACTAGAAGTTGTGTTTAATGTTATGGGCCCTTTCACCTGAGATTAGACAAGCACCCTTTGTCCGGCATATGACAAAGACCTTCTTATTCTTGCAGACATTTTAAGGTTGCCTTTCAGGTTTCTATTTGGTTTTATGAATTTTTATTTTCCCCTGTATGGTTTATTTTTATGCAAACCCCTAGAAATGCTAATGATTGAGCAGCATATAAATGCCTTAAATAATAAGTAAACAAAAAGAGCAACAATGGCTATGATCAATATGCCTGTGCATATCAGTAACTGGGAATCAATCACAGTGGAGGATGACTGCTACTGCACTCAGATTTTGCTTGCTGGCTTCCCATATGCATCTGGCTGGCCACTGTGAGAACAGGATGCTGGATCAGGTACCCTTTGGCCCGATGCTCCAGCAGGAGTTAACCTACTATTAGGGCCTGTTGCATATCTCACTACCAGCTGATGTGTAGCTAGAGGTAACAGGGAGGGAGATTTCAGCACAGTACTGCCCAGATTATGGAATTTGTTTTGTGAGATCACTTTGTCCTGTCTCTTAAACACTGCTTGAATGTTTTGGTCTTCTGGTTATAATGCTTCCCCGTATTACTCTACTGTAATACTGTAATACTTGCTTTGAGTGGCAAGGAAGGACACGAATTCCATGAAAAACAAATGTCCACTGTACAGTATCTTGATTTCCCCCTTTCATTCTCAAGACTCACTGCTCAGAAATACAGACTCTCAGCCATGTATTAATTTGCCCTATATTGTAGGATTTGCTTTGCTTTGGTCAATAACTTTTTCTTGCCCCCTCCCCCAAATGTAGCATTCAGCCAAACTCGTTTGCTACTATTTATATAATTGTCAGAGTTTATCTCCCAAGTGCCTTGGATGCGTACCAGCTGCTCCTGACTCTTCATCTGGTCGGCAGCTTGCCTCTCCAGTTCTTCCTTGGCTTGCAGAGCAGCTAAGCGCTCGTTCTCTAGACGCTCAGCTTCCTCCTGAGCCCTTCTCCTTTCATCTTCAAGCTCCCTGGCTTTTTGGATTTGGTCTGAGAGCTCTGGAATGGGGTGGGGGGTGGGGAAAGCCACACAATAAAAAGTTGTGTTTATGTAAACTCCAGCCTTATAAACTTACTTAGCAAATTCAGTGTCTTCTACCTGCAAGTGGAAAGAGGAGCTTGCTTTCTGAATGCCAAGACAATTCCAAGGTCTTATCAATATGTAAAACATTCTTCTCTGAAGCTTAATAGGTATAGCTTTGTATTATGCTGCTTACAGGGATGCAGGAAAAGTATGGATTCTAAAGCATTGGATTGATACAGGATAAAGGGAGGGCAGTGGCATGTTATGCATTTAAATTTCATAATCTTGTTCAGAGATAATTGGCTCAGCCAGATCAGGGTGTAAAGGAAACCTTCAGTACACTGCATCAGATCTCACGGCTGGTCTCCTGAGAAAACATCCGCCAATGCAGGCAGTTTAACATTTTCCCTTTAGGCAAAGAGAAAACCTTCCTGTCAATTTAACTGCCACTACTGGGTGCAGACATTTTAGGAACTTTACAGCCACATATGCCAAATATTGGACATCAGATTGGGTTTTCAATAACATCTTCCTGGGGTTATTATGGCAGACATCTAATCTTGAATAATCTATATAATCGTAAAAAAAAGATTACAAGGCGCCTACCGTATTTTTTAGATAGTTCGATTAATAGTTGAGGGAGATTTTAGAAGTTGTTTTTATGAAATTGCTTGGCTCGCCATCTAACTGTAGATAGCAGTAATGCCAGCTGCATTTATGGAGCAATATGCACAAGTAATAAATGATTCAAAGACTAAAAGGAAGCTCCTATAAAACCTCCATCCATTAAGAGAGTGGTTCCTGTGGTCTGGTGAAGTAGATGGTATCTTGGTTTGTATATTTCTATCATGAAACCCAATGAAATGTCATGCGACAGCACTGTTAGGGTATTATAGTGTGCCAACACACTGCTATGTTGGATGTCTAAGCAGGGCTGAGAATGTGAGGAAGTGGTGGAACCATGGGTTCCGGTTGCCTGTTTAATGAAGGCAAATTGTACCTTTTTCTGCTTTCTGTGTCTTCAGTTCGTACTCCTGCAGTCTCATCATCAGTTCTTCCTTCTCCCTTAGCATCTGCTCTTTCTCCTTCTCAATTGTCTCTCTCTTCTTCTTTTCATTTTCTAGCTGTTGTCTGTAATGGATAGAAAAATAAGTTTGCTTCAAAACTCTGGAGGTTACAAGTCTGCTTACCCCTACACAACTATATTGTGCTGGGGTGAAAAGCTTTTCTTTTCTGTGATTTTCTACAATGACAGAAGCTTGATGAAAATATGGCATTCAAACACTCCTGTGGCTGCATCCAGGGAGGCGGCAACAATCAGGTGTCACAAGCTCTCAAATTAAGAAACTAGGAAGAAATTACAAAGTATGGAGCTGTGCCAGACAGCATCAGGGAATTTAGCTGCTCACCAGGATTTACCCATTGCAGATATGACTTCTGTTAGCTCCATTCTGTGTAGGCATCACATTATAGGGATGACTCCATGCATTTTTGAGTTTATTTGGTGGAGCATGGTAGGCAGCACCAGTGCAACATAGAATATGCTACAGGGTTAACTGCTAAACTGATAATGAGTGTTGTTTATCCAAAGGAGCCTTCATAAAGGAGGAAGAATAGAGATTCCAAGAGTATGAGTTCCCTGGTTTGGTTCTGCTTAGTTGCCATATTACTGCATTATAGTGGTTAAGATTGATTAAGATGGCTCTCTGGAGCACCTTGATATGGGATACAAAATGTTGGATGTCACAGTTCTATTGTGATCCAATATTATTTATTTTAATAGTCATTTACTGCATTTATATATGGCCTTTTTGGAAAGGCACCTAAGGCAGTTTGCAAAATAAAGCAATACAACAATTTCATTAAATAGTTACCTATTGCTTTATGTCACCTCTTCTCAGCTAAGTGTGGAGGCCTACATTTAGCAAGAAAAACTGAGTTCTCTAGATTTCTACCCTTGCAGTGGTGGCATTTTACCCTCACCACCAATCTCTACCTCTGCCAAGTTTTATTGAAGACAACACATTAGGCCCAGCCACTTTCTCCATTCAAGTGAACCACACCCTTCCCACCACTGTCCACCACCACCACCACCACGAGTACCTTTCTAGCTGCTTCTGGTGCTTCTCTTCACGGGCCTGGGCTTTCATCTGTTGGACCTCAATGGTGTCAGGTTTCCTACGGCGCATGTACAGCTCATGATTTCCCATGCACAGCTGCAGGATCCTCTTGTTAATTCTTAGACGAGGAGCATAAAACACAAAGTCCTGGCAGAAGGAGGAAGGGGGGAAAGTAAGTAAAAAAAAGCAACATCGACTTGGGCTTCCCACAAGCATTCTCATCTTCCCCACTCAGTCAGTCCTTAGTTCTTTGTTATGGAAAACACAGGCAGCAACCTATTACAACAGCTTATGTGTTTTAATTGTATGGGGCCTTGTTCTTTTCCTGAAACTTACACATGATGTGTCGCTTTAGAATGATGAGCCAAGGCCCAAATATTGAGAGAAAAGAGAACTTAGGGGAAGCAAATGCAGACTAGAGATTTTGATGGTACTATGGAAATGGAATTTAAAGTTAAGAAAAACAGTACAATAAAAGTGTCTGACTCTGGTTTGTTTGTTTTTAAGTGTGTCAATGAGATGTATACTTTAATCTTCCTATTAATCTGAAGTGATATACTGCACCAATTAATATACTCGGCATGGGATGTAGACTGAAATGAGAGCATTTTGTCAAATAACTGGACAAAACCATTCATGTGGCAGAGGAAACAAATATTCCACTTCTCCAAGCAGCCAGATTTAAAACAGTGTTTATTTTTTTATTTTTATTATTATTATTATTATTATTAATACTACTACTTTGCCTTTCCCCCCTGACTGTGTACTTCAAAGCTATGAAAAATGTTTAAACAAAATGGTGTCCAACACTTTGGAGATAACTTTTATCACATTTATTTTTTGCCAACACTGAGCTTTTATTGAAACAAGTTACTTCACTGCTGTTTCACCAAAGTAAACTTGGCACAAACCTGCATCTTGCCAGTTCCACTGACCTGCAGTTATGTTTTCTTGCTATTTATCATACTTGTATGTCAGGACCTCACAGTAATGAGAATTAAAATCCCCCTTTAGCCTAACAGCCTTGTGAGGCAATTTAGGCTGAGGTAGATAAGTGACTTGGGGCAAGTCATGTTTGTTTAGAGCTGAGCTAAGTATTTGCAGTCCAACTTCCTCAGTCCAATTCCTACACCTCAATGGCTCTTAGTTCCCTAATAATTCCAAGCTTCTATTAGCTTAACAGAAGGCATGCCTCAATCATCCAAAGCAGTGTATGTTTCTTTTAAAAGCACAGAGGTCACCATGTCTTCAGTGTTTCTCTGACCTGGATGCCTATACAGCTTCTCAATTCCCACTAATAGGAGAAATAGTGCAGCAGTGGTCGAGAGTTCTTTTGTTACCAAGGTTTTCACAGACTACTATGCTCATGAGAAAAGACACTCATTGAGCTTTGATAATGGCTATAAAGACGTGTGCATTTCATTTGAGAGAGTATCCTTTTATGCAGATTACTGTGTATGAAATTGACTTTTAATAGCAGTTCTTTTTAAGTAAAAGGCATGAGAACCCTCGAATTTCTGGACCCACTTTCCCAAGATCCATGTGGGTTGTGATCCAGTGCCTTGTACACACAAAAGCTTTTCTCCCTCTACAATTGCCAGCAGGAGAACCCTGCTAGTGCTCACTGCGTATCACAGTCAAAGACTGTGAAGCATTTTGTGTGTTCAAAATTTTTTAAATATAGACACAATGCCCTTCCCTGGGCTACAACAAATTTCTGGAAAAGCCCCATGAAAAATCTCATTTTAAAAGTGCATCCCAGTTTGTACAAGACCGGCTATGCCCAAGATTCACAAATATTTTGTATACAAATTACAACATATTGAACAACTATCTGGCATGGGAAGCTTATGCACACAAGAATAAAGGAGCGTTTCATGAATTGTCACCAACCAGATTTATCTTACAGAAATAAAGGCTTTCAGTGTAGCGAAGAAGCGAGTGTCTGGAGGGGAGGCAACTTCACTCACCAAGTCCTCTCACCAATACATTGGAGGGGTATTTAAGGGGGGGGGGGGAGGCAATTAGCAAATACAAATTATTTACAGCAAGTGGTCTATGGCGTGAGATATTTAGAAGCCTCAGGAGGAAATCTTTCCATCAGATACAGGAAACAGTAATCTGAGTTGTTGCTGGGAAGAGTTAATGAATCATTGCTCCTGCGGTCTCTGAAGTACATACTACAGATTAAGGTCACAAAGAACATTTTGGAGAAAATACTAAAAGGGGGAGGGGACACAACTGAACGGCAATAATTTTCTATTAGGTCAATGTTACTTTTTATGCCACCATTTCTTTTCTTGATCATTTATAAGCAATTTAATACCTATGAGCTGAAGTACTGGTGGATTGCTGACACATACAATCCACAACTGAGCTATTAGCATAAAAAGTATCAGAGTAAAGATGGAAGTTAACATTCTCGATTTGGCAGGAATACTCGTCATCGGCTATACTTACTGGGGCTTTCTTGTCAATTGGTTTTATGACAAACTTCTTGTCATTGAAAGAGATGTTTCTGATCTCACTCCAAGGGAAGCCAATCTTGGGAGTTAATCTGCAAGCACAAAATTATTATGGTTTTGTGGTTTTGTTTTTCAAGAAGATACATTGATTTTATACATAAATTGTCTTGAATGTGACAATGCTTAAATATAAAAAGGGTCAGATCTCTACAGCATTGTTACCATCGGGTTTGGTCCTATGTAGACAAGCAATTACGTAAAACAAACCATTTTTCAATTTCATCTCAGGCCTGGGGCCTGTAGTTCTAAACCTAGGTATTAATTTTTCTTAGATCTGGGGCCCCACAGATATTATGTCACCCTCAGCTAGAGGTCCCTTTCTCCTCCCTTTTTTCTTTTTCTTCTTTTAACTTGGGCAGTGCTGGGCTGGCTAGAAAACAGAAGTTCAGACCTTCAGTCTCTTTCCCTCTTCGTCTCCTTTCCTTGGAATACCTCTGGGGCTCAGGTTAAGACCAAAGACTTCCTCTCAACAAAGGAATGGAGGGGCTGGTCACCTTTTTATTATTATTATTATTATTATTAAGAAAAGGGATCCTACTGGTGCTTGCTTGGGGGATTGTGTGCAGAATGCCTTTTGTTTTGTTGTGAGTATGCACACTTGTGTGCTGCCTTTCTGAGTGGGGTATATGTACAGTGGTGCCTCGCAAGACGAAAAGAATCCATTCCGCGAGTCTCTTCGTCTTGTGGTTTTTTCGTCTTGCGAAGCAAGCCCATTAGCGGTTTAGCGGATTAGCGCTATTAGCGGCTTAGCAGATCAGCTGATAAGCGGCTTAATGGCTTAGCGGATCAGCTGATAAGCGGCTTAACAGATCAGCTGATAAGTGGCTTAGCGATCAGCTGTTAAGCGGCTTAGCGGATCAGCTGATAAGCGGCTTAGCGGCTTGGGGAAAAGGGGGGGAAAAGGAAAAAAACCCCGCAGGAACTCGCAAGACATTTTTGTCTTGCGAAGCAAGCCCATAGGAAATTCGTTTTGTGAAGCACCTCCAAAACGGAAAACCCTTTCGTCTAGCGGGTTTTCCGTCTTGCGAGGCATTCATCTTGCGGGGCACCACTGTATTCCTTTCCCCCTTCGCGGGTGGAGATTTGCCTGTTTCTTGAGAGGTGCTATTGTTTGGGTATTTTGTGGTGGTTGACTTTTGCCTGGTTTTTGTGACTTTTGATTTTTGCCTTTTGGGACAGTTGGGCAGCCATGTGTCCTACTTTAGGGAGGACAGTCCTCTGTTTGAAAGGCTGTCCAGTCCAAATCTGGTGAAAATATAAATAACCATACGAAGGGTGAGCAGCAACAGTCGCTTTGAATTTGCCCATGGAGAGTTCACACCTGCAGAACACGCAGCTCACATGGCCATAGTCTTGTTCCCCGTTAGGGTGAGAGACAATTATTTCTGAAAGTATATTTATGCAAATTTGCATAGCAAACTTTATGTAAATCTGCATCCTCTTTTTTTAGTGCTTATTCACTGGGGCTTCAATGCATTATTTTTTCTGGGGTTGCTGTGTGTTCAACCATCCTAAATTTCCTGTCCTTCTGATATAAGCGGATTGAAAAGAACCAAAGAAACTATCTTATGGAAGTTTAGTTGCACCTTGCCCATCAATTCATTTCTATACAGGTTTTATTCATGTCAAAAATTCACTTCCAGTTAATGGCAGACTATCACAATTTCTGCTTTAAAGCAAAGCAAACTATTAAAATCCATTCAATATGTTGATACCCATTTACTTTATATGTGTGTATTGAACATCTCTTATGATGAAAGGTGTCAAAATGCTCCCTCTGTTCAATCCCATCTCTAGAAGGACAATCTATAAAATTATAACCGTAACACTAAAATTTAATGTATCCCTTCTGTCTGCCACTTTAAAACACCAACACAATAATTACGTGCAGAAGAACTATAATTTTGTTTTCATTATGAAAAGCAGTGGCACTAATATTTATATGTTAAGCTCTATTAACCACAGGTGTGGTTCTGCCCTATTCTGCCCTGCAGCTAAGGTGGCCAGATGCAAAAAAGGAAAGAAAAAAGAAGAAGACTGGGTTCAGACACAGTTGTGTAGAAGAGGAAATTCCAACAGGCATGACAAGCTATGCAAGCTAAACCTGCTGAAATTCCTTTTCTACACCAGACTTCCCCCAACTTGTTGCCTTCCAAATGTTGTAGTTCAAAATATGTTAAGTGCACCAGGTTGGAGAAGGTTGCTCTAAACAACTAATAAAATGTGCAGGGGCCCCTTCTCTTTTTTCCTATCCGGCCATTCCTACCTACAGCCCTTCACGTGCAACCCAGCTCCAGTTCATTTAAGCAAACAGACATCTAACTGCATAAACAGAGAAGGTGGGCTCCAGCCTCTTCATATCATGAAGGTTATGAGTTAATTTTCAGGTGTCCCAGCGCTTACTTTGCTATGCATGTTTGCCCCTCCCCTGATTTTCCTTCAGAGGCAAAGTTTCCTTTCTGAAGCGTCGATAGCTTGCAAAACCTGTTTGAATGACTATGGCTAACACTAAAACTAGAAGTAGTTTCACTCATGCAATACCTAGAGTGACACTCCTTGTTTTCTGGGTGATGGTGCACCTTAGCATTTCAGAAAAATATCTCTCCTACTCTAACATCCCAAGACTATTTCGTTTAAAATCAACATGAAGACCTATTCTATCCTATCTCCATAAACTGCTTGAACATCTCTAGTTATATGGGCTTATGGTTTACCTTGAACAGAGAGGACAAAGCAAAGTTAGTACTGGCAAAAAGGTATGTTCTTTATTTCAGATTCTTCCAAGCTCATATCCTTTAACTCTGCTGCACGTGAATAGGACTAGTTTTCTTTTGCATTTTGTCCCCATTAAGTTTCTTCTCTCTTGCTTCCTGATTACCAGTCTGCTGTTTCCCCACCCTTCTTCCAAAACTAGAGATCTCACAGCTACCTAATGAAAGAGGATCAGCTACAAATTTGTGTATGGCAGAGGACACAACCTAATTTTGCTTCCAGTTTGACTCCAACCTAGCCATCTAAGGACAGGTGCGCACAAATGGCTCACGGCTGGAGCCAGCCACTAACAAAAGTGAGTTAAAGTGCTCTCTCCAACTTGAATATATTGTATATTGGCTCTGAATGGCCCTAGAGTCCTGTCTGCTTCAGATGTTGGTAGACACCTACCAGCGATCAGTTAAGAGATAATGGGCAGGATTCAACTAATGAATGCAATAACTTAATTTGCACAATGGGGCTTTCCCCCTTCTCCCCACCCCTCAAATTTGGCTCTGGGGGATCAGGAGAAGGTAAAGGGGGAATCATTCCATCTAACAAGCCAAAATGATTGCCCTGACAGAATGATTGCCAAAGTGCAATGTTGAATTCCTCCCAATTAATTCTGCTTATGCACAATGTTTTGATGAAGTTGGATCCAAGTTTCTGCCGGCCCTATCATTAGGATCTGATATATGGCTTACCTTTACACCATATAATGGATTCTTCCGTTTGACCCCTGCCTGCCCTTCTAAAGGGCTAGTATACGAGTTAAGGGGAAAACAGGTCGCAGTTTGGAGATAGTAAAGGCAAGTCACTTTGGGGCCACGTGTTTCCCAGCACAACCGTATTCAGCACACCAAGGTGACTTGCTTTGATAAGGCTGCCATAAAAATACAAAGCACAGATAACGAGAGAATTCTCTGGCACTAATGCCTGCTCTTCAACCTCAAAGGAATAATAAAACATCCGCTTACTTGTCGTCCTTCTCATAAATGTTCAGCCCAAGTGCATCTACTCCCAGCCAGAGATCAGTCCCTTTCTTATTCTTGATTTCAAAGTAGTTGATTCCATACATCTCCAGATCCTGGGCAATCTTCAGGTATTCCAGCATGGCATTCTCTCTGGTTGACAAGGAAATCATACGTAGGAAATGTTAGATGATGTTTCTCTTAAGACTGATGCAAAACCTTTGTGCCAGTGGGAAAATAAATGCACTCATTGGGGTAACAGGAGGTGATGCCATGCTGTGGATGCCATGCTTCCAGCCGTGATGGGCTGCCATCCTTCCCTTTAGATTTCCAGGCATCCCTTGAAGACATCTTTATGCCAACAGGCCTTCACAGCTTTTTAACTAGCCACTCGCCACAATTATTTTTTCTATCGTTTTTAATGGCTTTTTTATTTTTGTACACTGCCCTGATATTTTATGATATGGTACAATAGAAATACTTCCATAAATAAACTTCCAGCTTTGCTAATCCTCTAAAGCTTTTGCCTATAAGCTTGTTCAGAAGTTACACTGAACAGATACAAACTACCTGTACACACGTGCAAGTGTTTGGGTGGAGGAGTGTGCAGTTGCTGATTTGTACAACTCATCTCTATTGTATGCACAGGTACATAGACACTACACTTGTTGAACACTACACGTGTTTGCTTACACACTCATTGAATGTAGCCCCACCTGTGTACTTTCAAGAGCATTTCAAAAATTCCAGTCTATCATGTTGTGCTTCACCCACACATTGTGCCCAGCACGAGAATTTCTACATACATCAACGGACAATTATGTATCAGGAATGCAGAGAAGATGACGGGCCAGAGCAAGATATATGTAAAGAACCTGTTAAAGTTCTTTGCTACAGGGTTACCTTTCATCTAAGAGCTGGTGAGGAATGGGAATGCAAAATGTGGGCTCAAGAAAACAAACAGACCCCTTCAGTGCCATAACTCACTTGAGCATTCCACCATGTTCGGCATGCCAGACCTGGATCCGTTCTTCCCACTGTTCTCTAGAGAGTTTATGTTGGTCCATTACTCTAAATATACAAAAAACAAACAAAAAGGAAACCCATGAGGTGAGAAAGTTGTAAGCCCTAGTTTAAACTTGTGCACATCTAAGTTTTAAAGAATGCACTTAAAATTCCCCAGAGAAGCCCTGTCCCTAAGTTCTCCATGAGACGTTCTCACCTTTGGGGAATGAGGCGTTCAGAACTGAGGTATCCAGGCTTGTGCAGCTCTTTATTGTAGTCTCCATATTTGGCTTGCACAGCATAAGACCCAAGGAGGACTGCAGTTTCAGGTGGGCAATAGATTTCATCACTAAGGATTCCTTCTTTCACCTGCAGGAAGAACAGCTTCTGTGTGATGTCCTGGATCAGCTCCTCAGATACATCTTCAGGGTAGAACTTGGCACGGAATTTGAACTGAAGAGGGTTCTCTTTCCTGACCTCTTGAGCAGAGACCTGAAATGGAGAGGGGGCAAGGAGGGAGCAGCAGCAAAACATGAGCAGCATGTCAAAACACAATTGAATGTTAGCAAATTATTGTTGACTATTAACATTTCTGAACACATTATTCAAAGTTAAGTCTTTTGGTTGTCAGCCTTAGAGTTGCACAGAAACTCTAAATAGCTCCTTGTGTGAGACGAAAAACTTCTGCTTGCACAACAGGACTCCTCCCCTTACTCCACACCCCTCCTAAATTTGTTCTGTGGTTTCCCCTATCCCTTTGGAGTATAACTGAGGATGGCATGGGGTGACAGTGGTGGTGGAGTCCAGTAGCACAAGCAGGTGTCATTCTACTCACACAATTATTCAGCTGAACACTGTCCTTAGCACTGTGACCATAAGGCTTCCCACTTGCCAAGAGGCGATTTTGCTCTTCACATCCTACTTTGTACTCCATTCTTTGGTGCTACTTTCGATCGGGGCTCTTCATTTATTTAAGTCAAAGGGCAGCCTCATAGTAACTATCTGGATGCAACGATGTATGTTTTGCCTTTTCTTAAGCAGCTTTGAGATGCATGGTGAAAAAACGGAGCATAATTTATTAAATAAATAGATGCTTAGATGTGTGATGAAGTAATGAGTGCATGCTTTCAGCCACTTTGCTCATTATACAATGCCAGACCAAATTACTAGTGCATCAGCATTCCTAAGGTATATCAATATTATGTACAGCTCATGCTGAATGTTTGCTAGGATGGCAAGAGGAATAAATTATCTCAGAACAGAACAGAACTGCAGTACAATGCTATCATGTTTTTCACCAAAGCATCAGCCATAATAGCAACCGTAAGCTGGAAAAGAGAAAGCTATGACAACACAGGCACACACATGGCTTGTTTTATTTAAAAATCCTGAAGGCTTTAGAACAAGGAATAGGTCTATACTAGTCTCCACATGGTAATTCACTAATCTGCGAGAACAATTTATTCCAGGCAATTTGGCAACTAGTCCTGCAGAGATTAAGCAATGTATACCGAGAAGTTCCGCTAATTGAAATAAACACAATAGCCAGCTATTTGGAGTAGGCAACAGACAAGCTGAGACTAGACTACGTACAAACAGTCAGTATTCAGAAATTAAGCAAGAACTCTTGTTTGCCAGGCCGTTAGTCACCAGAGGACTGAATAGTTTTAACACTGAATCTCTTTTTTCTTAAATGGAGTTTCCCATACTAAGCATTTTAACCTCTGAAAGTCACCACAGCAATTGATGGGCTTACTGGATTGAACTCCTGATGTAGATGGCTCCCTAGTGTCTGCCAGGCCCAACCAAATGTCTCATGGTACTGTAAGTCCCATTGCAGACTAATATTGAGCAAGTTCACACTCAATATTATCTGTGTGCCCTTCTTGTATAATAAAGTAATGCAGAGATGCAGCTAAGGTGGCTAGTGCACAGCTGTGGCTGTATTTTCCATTTCAGTTCATTTCATTTACCTTTTTGTCAAGCTTCAGCCAGGTTGGGAATCCTTTGTTATCCACATACTGAAGACCAAAGTACCAGACTTCACGTAAGCCTATCGTCTTGACCACCTAAAAGAAGAGAAGAAGGGAGGCCAGAAGAGTTAAAATAAAAAGGTCAAACACCTATGTTTTCTAAGACACTTGCCATAGCACGTAAGCCTGAATATGTGGACTGCCAACTCCACCCTCTGAAAAAGATGCAAATTTCAAGACCCTCTAAAAGCCAGCTTTGCCAGGACTACTTGATCCCATGGAATTTGATCCCATTCAATACAGGGAAGAAACAAAAGGCTGAGAGGAGAACGTGGCAAATGCTTGGTAAGGTTTTTTCCGTGTAAAAATGCTGGTTTGAAAGGCTGAACAAAGGACATGCTGATCAGTTGCCTGCTGCCTCCTATTATCAGAGGTCAGATTAATCAGTGTGCAAAACAGACAATGAAACCAATAGGTATTTACAGCTCTTTCTTTTTTTTAAGCACTCCAAAATTTAAGAGCTGCTTGGTGCAGTCTCATCAGTAATAGCATAACTAGATGCCTCTCTTAAAAAGAGTCTCAGGGTTCAAAGAGACCCAGATAGAGAAAGAAGGCTCAGCTAGGAGGAGCTGTATCTCTGAAATGTGATCCTTCCTTAATAAAAACTGCAAAGCTGCTTGAAAGCTGTAAAAGCTTCCTGTAATTAATTCTGATATTGTAATTTAAACAAGATGAGCGGCCAAGTGTAACAACTATTAGCTCATGCAAAACTGTAATTGCTCTCCTGTCAAAAGCAATCCCATAAGATTTTTTTAAAAAAGAAAACTACAATACTACAAATTTTCAAAAACGAATGAAGTAGCAGCATCTGCTTTGTGGGGTGGAAGATGCTTTAAGGTGTCAAAGACTTCCCCATTAATAATTTTCTATACCACACACATATTTTTATAAATATATCTTTTCAGGGTGATTTTCAATAATAAAATAGTAACAGTGATTAAAAGTAGCATAAAGCTAGCCATGTGTTAAAATGGCATTCCTTCTGCAGTGATTTACTCTTACTGTGATCTACTAGTTGCCCTGATAGCCAATTGACATATTTATGCCATTTGCCTTTAATTAACACTCTGTGGGGATTGTCTCCTTCAACTGCATTAGATTATTAGTGACAGATAATCTAACAGATTAAATCAATGACAAGTAATAGGAGACAAAATGGAAATCAAGGAAGAGCTTACAAAAAGATAAAAGTAAGATGCCCTATTTAAAGACAAGACCAACTCTCAAGACTATGCTTTTACGGTCTGGAAATGCATCAGAGAGAATGAATTGTTTTGACATTTTGGAATTAAGTAAAATTTCCAGCCTCATGTAACCTCAGTTTGCTTACTGAAATAGTTGAAATGCAAATACTATTTTAAACCAAGTGTCAAAACAAAATAAAATGCCTCACTCCCAAAAATATGCCCAAGAATTAGGTGAAGTAACACAAAAATTTTGCACCACTGTTTAATTACAATTCTATCACATAATTCTCTCAGCATTCCGTATTTCACCTGGAAAAGTTTCAAATCTTTACTACGTGCTATGGAAAATCTTGAGATTAAGAGTACAGAACACATAGTGGGAGAGGAATGCCACTCAGATTTGCAAAGTATAGTGCAGATTTGTTGCTTCACAACTCTGATACTTAAAACATTTTAAAGGAAGCAACAAATGGAATTTGCAAAAAATATTTCTGGCAAGGAAATAAAGGATGGCAATGTGAATCCCTATCAATACAAGCTCCAAAGCCAATAAAAAGCACTGAATGTGGGAGAAAACACACACTCTAAAGCAGTGCCAGAGATAAAATGAACACTTGGAATTATATATTTTAGGAGAGTCTCATGCATTCAGAACTAGTTTTGCAACCAAGGGAAACTGCAGTATTTAGCCTCAGTAATGTACCAATTTAAGTTAATTTATGTTCTGCAGGGCTGTGTTTAAATCTATTCTCCAGTACAGTTTGAGCATAATTAGCGAGACTTTCTGGACCATGAGTTGTCTGGCTCTTTTCAGATCTGATAAATTATTTAATGAACACTATAATTGCTTTAAACACACTGGATGAACCGACAGCATAAACTTCGTTATGAATACAGATCAAAGGGGCAAACACTTGTAGGACAACTTCCTCAGAGATCTGCCCCCTTTAGGGCAGTGGTACTTAATCTTTTTTCCATTTATTACACTTTGTTTGGGAATTGAGGCCTGTTCATATATCTTCATCCTCACTCTGCTGTTCCCAACATCTTTAGGGGGGCGGGCAAGGTTTCCAGGCTTACTGATGTTACTAACAGCAGAAACAGAGTGATACTACCCAAATCCTGAAAATACCTATGTAAGGCACAGTGATGGTGTGGAAGGAAAAAGCCAAGAAAGAGACCCTTTTATGGAGGGAAAGCGACTATGTTCTGGTTGTACATATTGGCAACTGAGAGATGTTGCATCATTTCTACAGAGAAGTCTTGTCAGGCCTCCACAGGCATCTGTTCTAGAATACCTTATTTTTAAATGCAGGGTCAGGGTTGTGTGGCTACAGGGCTGCAGTTGGGTCACTGGCAAGGCCTTAGGACATTTCCCTTATTAAAACATTGGGGCTTTGTTTGTTTGTTTGTTTAGAAAAGAGACAACTATGTGGGTGGGGAAGCATGAGGTAGAAAATCTCTCTCTCTCTCTCATGCACACACACAAACACAGAAATCCAAAGGCACTGATTCGCAGTAGGTTCAGGTCAGACAAAATAAAGTTTTTTTCTCTCATCCGAAACCTAACATGGAATTAATTACCACACTAGATAAGGCAATTCCTGATAGTTTACTTTTAAATAAACTAGCTCTTAAAAGGAATCTCAGTTGTATGGAAGCAATTTACATTCAAATGTCAGGTCCTGAGGTGAGGACGCTCAATGTGACACATGCTCTACATCCCTGGGAAACAGAATGTGGGAACTGATGAACCTTCCTCTGACCCAGAAGGGTTATTCCACTATCGATCTGCCATTCCTGTAAACAATTCTGCCTTGCACTTCTCGGCATTAAGCAGGCTGCTGGCACTACCTGCTCAGCTTCCTAGCCTAGACAGAGAGAAATGGTGGCACTGACAGCCTCCAACGTTATTTCCCTCATAAAATGCACAGAACTGACACCCCACAACATGCTGCCTTTCCTTTCTACATAAGGAAAACTTGCTAAATTCTCAAATCCTATATTCTTACATAAACCTTGTGAAAGAGTTAAATCGCTGGCAGAAAAGTGACTGCTAACCTCTTATATTTGTTATTTATTAACAAAACTCTCTTTCCCTATTCACAACTTCAAAAAATAGTTAAAACTCTACTGTAGTTAATATACAGCTATGGATGGTGCAATATTGCTTTCCCTCCTTGGTTGTAAAAAATAAAATAGGAATTTGCAAGATATATTAAGAGGAAAACTGGATTTTATTCTTTGTAGCACTGTACAATTTTCTCTGACTTCACAATAATAGAAATATACAGACCCTCTGCTGTACTACACAGTTCATTATAGTCTCTAACCCAAAGGCCCACATGTGCATAGGTCAAATGCCTTGCAGTCATTGCCTCTCTGCCTGAGGATATCAATATAAATGGCAAACTGGATGCAGGTGGAATATTACCCACACCTGAATTCAATCACTGTAACAAGGTGAGTGGACTATCATATCTACAAATGTTTACACTCTATTGATCATTCCCAATTGTCTTTTATTTTTCTTACAACAGCCACCAATAACAGACAAATCCCTTAAAGGCACAGTGTATCTTATAAACCTTAAGGAACTAGTAAAGCAGAATAGCATAGCTTTCCTGTTGCAAATTCTGTGGTGACCTTTACTAAGTAGAAATGACAAAATGCAAGCCCATTTCCAAAGTATACAGATTGACCATATTAAAGCCTTTCCAATATTCTTTGGGATGTGCTCCATTAAGTCATTACCACATCCCCTTTAATACAGGGTATTTTCTTCTCCCCATTTGGTAATCCCACAGCAGTGACAGGTGCTGAGCAGTTTAAGTATGATTAATACACACTTCTACAATTACTCATGTTGATTCAATATAACAGAACCTGTACTTGAACCCTAGAAATAATTTATTAGCAGCCAATTAATCTAAAAACTTTTATTTACTGAGTACTGTTACATTACAAAGTTGTGTGTGTAGCAAATAAACAATCTTGACACAATTTTTCCTACCCATTTTGGAAGTGAATGGCTTTCCCCTCACCCCTGAGCAATATAGCTTCAATGAAGACTCTAGATTTCCTTTTTTTCTAAATCGCAGCAAGGTCACAGAACACACAGTACTTTTTGCTATATTCCTTTACTGATTAAATTTTGATCTAACAACTTTACTTGACAGACCCAGAGTGCTGGGGTTTTCTCCCTTTTCTTTATGTCCAGAAGAGTAGGTGGAAAATCCCTTTACCTCTCCTTAAGGATTTCAGGCACATGCAAACTTAAGATTTTTAAAGGAACACCAGCTTCTATTGCTGATTTGTACAGAGGCAGATCTGCAACATGCCACCCAGTGAATGGTTCCTTGAGCAAAGGAGAAAGTCTCAGGTGATCCATCCTCCCTGCAGAAAACTTTGATGAAAACTTACACACTATATACTGACCTGGTCAAACAGCTGTTTGCCTGTTGTGTTAGGCTGGATGGCAAACTCCAGCTCTGCATCCATAGTGGTAACTCGAACATTGACCTAGAAGAGAAATTAAAGTAATGGATAGGAAAACAGCCAGTGTACACTGTGATTTGTATAACAGATTTCAGAACTGTGGTTCAGGATTTGAAGTGTATACTGTTTCAAGATGCTATGTGCTAGTAAACAATTTTAAAAAATAAAATCACCATAGTGTTTAAACACCTAAGTGCTACAAACATTTCAAGACGCTGGTCCATCAAGGTAATTTGCCAGACATTATCCTGAGTGTTCTACTTGCTTTGCAGCTCCTGGCTTTGACTGAGCTTTTTAGTTTAAGTAAAATGACATTTTAGTGTTCATTCTTCCAGTGCATAGTGTTATGCTAAGCCAGGGCTACTATTAGTATGAAGCCTGACATCTTAATTAACATCCCTTTAGAATTAGGGCAAGGAATTGACCACATTAAGGGAAGGCTTTTAAATTACAACACAGGTCTCCCTGGTATATTAAGAGTTGGAGTTATTCTGAGTTTTTAAAGAGGTAAAAGCATGCTAATTATTCTCCCTGTACGGTTATGTTGCCTCTTTTAAAAGAGCATGGCTGAAGCAGAAAATGAGCAGAGAGTGGTTTGTGGACATAGCATGATGACAAGTGACATTTCTGTATAGCTTATGCTGTTCATGAGAAACCTATGTTTCTGCAATCCAAGATAAGAAGACCCCAGTGGGTCAGAAGTTAATATGATCACTACTGTATCATGTCAAAGCCCACTTAGTCAAGAATTCTGTTTTCCATAATGGCCAACCTAATGTTTCAACACAGAACTCACAAAGAGGGTATAAAGGTAAAGGCCACCCGTTGTTTGTACCTAGTATTTGGATCTTAGAGCTATAGTATATCTGAACATGAATACTCCATTTAGAGATGGTGGCCAACATCCATTCATAAGCTTGCTCTCTATAAATGTTCTAATCTGCTGTTAGTGGATGCCAGACAATATGGCACAATGGGTTAATCAAGCATTTGTCCTGTTCTATATCTCTGTAGATTAACACTAGGAAATAAATCATACTGGTTTTTCATTACTCTCAAGCATCAGAAAGTTGTGGTCAGAACCCTTATTCTGAGCATTCTAAATTAAAAAGAATGTATTATAGGAATACATGCAAATTATGCATTCTCAATATCTAATCTTTAGTGTGATAAACCAAGAATGGAGACGTGTTAAAGAATGTTTGGGTTTTTCCAATCCTCATTCCAAGCACACACCCACTTCCCCACAATTTAACAAAGGCTATTTTTAAGCAATATGGTCTCTCTGTGTATCCCAGGATATCCATGAAATGTATAGTGACTGGATTTAACAAATTCCAAAGGCTTTAGCAAACCATTTCTCAATATAAATCTTAAAGGCGTTTCAATTAAGAAAACCTCCTTCCAACCCCCACATAATCAGGTCTGATAAGATTTATTTCTAACCTCTCCTTAAGGAATGCACATAATTATACTCCTTACAGAGCACAAAAGCTGCAACTCCCATATATTGTTTACACTTCCTGGAGAAAACCAATACCCACATGAAGCAAATTTGAACTAAACCACTAAGGAAAGTTCAAAAGACCTATGCATTTCCTTAAGAGTCCAAGTATAGACATCCTCCTTAGCTGAACTTTTTATTCCATCATTTTATGTAATAAAAAAACCTTTATCTGTTAAACCTGAAATCATACATACAACAGTAATGTTTCCAACCTCAGAAATTAGTTATAAATGCAGATTAACCCACTACACATACAGAACATCCAAAATGTGCTTTAAAACGGTCAAACTAGATGTTACATTAATAATGTGATTAGCAACTACTGTTTTGTTTGTAAACATAACATGTTTTAACTTTTATAACTTTTATAATTTATACAAAATACAATTACATAAAATGATAGGAACATAATGAAATATTGTTGAAGCAGAAAAACATAAAATCATAGAGCTAGAAGGGTCTTATTTCTAGTGCAACCCCCTGCAACGTAGGAAACTCAGCCAAAGCATCCATGACAGAAGGCCATCCAGCCTCTGCTTAGAAACCTCCAAGGAAGGAGAGTCCAGAACCTCCCGAAGGAGATCCATCTTCCATGTATTATAAAAAGTAAACATTTATTTGACCCCAGCGATTTGACACAGAGGGGGAAACCTACAGATAACAGTCCAAAGGCATGCCCTCCAACATTTCTCTTGATGAAAATAAGGACGTCCTATTCCATAATAATAATTTTACTATTTATATCCCGCCCATCTGACTGGGTTGCCCCAGCCACTCTGGGCGTCTTCCAAGATATATAAAAGCATAATACAACATTTAACATTATAAAAACTTCCCTATTCAGGGCAGCCTTCAGATGGCTTGTGGGGGTTGGATAATTCCATACTCTCCAACATTTCTCTGGTGAAAATAGAGACGTCCTAAGGAAAAGTGGGACATTCTGGGATCAAATCAGAAACTGGGACAACTTCTGTAAATCCGGGATTGGTCCCTGGAAAACAGGGACACGTGAAGGGTCTGCAAAAGGCGCACAGGGAGTACTGCATATACGGGAGAATTTTAAAAACAAGCGGTCCTCACTGACCTGATGCAAAAAGATCTTGTCATCCGAAGGAGCCCTGGCTGCCTAGAAAAAACACTATAGCCCCACACACCTTTACCTGGGAGTAAGGCCCACTGAACTCAGTGCAGCTTTCTTCCGAGCAGACACTTAGTTATTTACTAGATGCAAGCCAGCAGCATCAAACAACCCTGCTTGGATAGGTGATGGGGTGGATTTCGCCCCCCCCCCCCAATGCAGAGCCAGGCTGATGGCCCTCTGCAACATCCAAAGACCCTGATCTGCTAGGCGCCGGGGTGGATTGCACCTGCCTTGTGGAGTCAGGCCCAGGCGGCCACCTGGTCCAGCACTGGGGGCAGCTACAAGAAGTGGTCAAAATGGGAGTCTCAGTGGTTGCCATTTCCCACTGGAAACATACGGGCTGCTCCAAGAAAATGCATGTGGCAAAAAGAAGCTCTAGGCCGCCCCCTGGTGGGCTGCCTCCTGACATGCTAAGCAGGTAGTCTGCCAATCAGGATTTACGTATATATTTTAAAAAATCTTTTCTTCTCACTTCCCTCTATGGCCCCCTAGCCTCATGCTGTGGCTCCCCCCATTTACGTAATTTTCACCTGTGCCCCCCTTGGAATATTCCGGAGGGGGGGGGGCAGAGGGTCATGGCCTCCAGTTGGGAAACACTGGTCTAGAGAGTGGCAACTCAAGAACAGGTCTTTTCTGTGGTAGCTCCCCACTTGTGGAATGCTCTCCCCCAAGAAGGCTGGCCTGGTCCTTTCATTACATAGCTTTAGACTCCAGGCAAAAATGGTTCTCTTCAACCAGGCATTTGGCTGATTAACATCCTATGGCTTTTTAAATGCATTTGTGGGAGGGGGATTTTCTGTTTTATTGTGTATTTTGTGTTCTCATTTTGTATTTTTATATTGTGAACAACCTTGTGATCTTCAGATGAAGGGTAGTATACAAATTTAATAAATAAAAAGGCATATACAATATAATAATAGAAAAGCATCTCAGAATCACCAAAGGTTGGCTTTCACCAGATCCATCAAAGTCAGGAACATTATGTGGACCATCTTCTGAGAGCAGGTTAAAGGACAGTTGGCTATTAGGAGGAGGAATAATGGAGCTAGTGGAGAAGCAAGAAACAGAATTGGTGAATACTGATGCTTGTCATTGTTGTTTCATTTACTGCACTCCAAAACAGTATCACCTACTCAGCTGTCTTAAGCAAGCATGATGCAGTACCTTGATAGGTGTGGGTTTTTTTTGCCATAGATAGGGTTGCTCAGTTTCCAAAAGCAGATTCCTATAGAGTAGGCATAGAGAACAGTTGGCCCTCCAGATTTTGCTGAACTCCCATCATCTCTGTCCATTGGCCATGCTGTCTAGAATTGATGGCAGTTGTAGTTCATCAACATCTGGAGGGCCAAAATTTCCACATACCTGTGTTGGAGGTTAACAGAAGGAACCCTTTGTGACCACTAGTGTGGTGGATAAATAAATATAACTTTCAGCATTCTCAATGGAACTAAAAATCCCACGTTAAACTTTACAGGGCCTATTTACAAAGACCCTTTAGACCAGAACAAGGCAGGATGGGAAAAGTGGTAACTGAAGACCAGTGATTACCTCCTTCATATATCCCTTGAAAATGGAATAGAAAGATAACTGGGAACCCCAGGAGAAAGCTTACAAGCCTCATCATAAATACCACAGTATTATTCCTGGGCATAATGGCTACAAGACCGAACACATGTCACCAGTTCTCAACACAACACTTCACAATGGCTTCTGCGTATGGAGAAAACTCTCTTACAGACATTGCTTGTCCACAATGCAACAGTCACCCTTATTAGCTCCTATTAGCAATACAATAATTACTATACAACCATACGATCAGTTTTTTCGTGCTCTAGCCTCAATCTTCCTCTTGCAGTAGTTAATGACCGGAACAGGAATAACTAGGGGTATGCATTCAGTTTGGACAAAACCAACATCCAGAGATTCAGACCTCGTCCAGAGCAGTCTGAAGTGAACCAGGCCGCTCCTGAAGTTTCAAGGGACACTTCTACAATGTGGTGCTCTCCAAATGTTTTTAATTACAACTCTCATCGTCCCTGACCATGAACCATGCTGCTTAGGACTGATGGCTGTTGCAGGCCAGATGTCTGGAAGGCACCATGTTCGGAAAGGCTGCTTCGGAGGGACACAGAAAATCATTAAAAATAGATACTCTTCCCCAGTTCTCTATAAAAGGAAATGGTAGGCAGGAAGAAAGTGTGAGACCGCATGCACTTTGGTGACAAAAATTGTAGCTTCCAACCAAGGAATGCTTATCCTTTTTACTTCCAATGACAGTGCTTTGGAGGGGGATGTAGGAAGGTTATTATCCAATGTTATTTCATTGTTTTTCACTGCTTCCTTTAACTGTGCTGACTGGAAGAAGCACTCAGGGTTTCTAAGAATGGCTTGAGAAGCACTGCTAAGAAAGAGATTCTGGCCCGATATCTCACCACTGCTACCTATAGCCAACACACACTCCTTTACTGGGTATCTGGAGTTCTGTTGAATGCCCCCAACCTCAGTCAAGTTCTACATTACTCCTGGTACAGGAAAATTAAATATGTGCTTCCATGTTGTAATGTTTGCAAAGATTTTGTAGAACTTCTGTGACTTGGTTTTTTTAATAGCACAGAAGTAAATAATGATAGTCTTAAACATGATCTAAGTTAACACTAATGTAAATAAGGCAATAATAGAATCCAGGTTTAACACATCATAGGCCATAACCATTTTTGAAACAAAAGCAAACAAGTCGAGTCATTAAAAAAAATAATAAACCATGTTCTGCTTTTCAAATGGATGAAACCAGTCATACACTGAAGTAAGTTCAACTGCTTGATGGTACATTTAAATATAAAGAACTCCTAGGCTCCTCTATTAACTTGATAAAGAACCTCCTAGAGTAGCTGTTGAGACATATTTGCCTATCTAAATTTTAAAAAAACCACAATTTCAGATACATTTCCAAGATAGAAAGATTAACCTGAATGGCAATTTTCATAAATAAGAAAAAGTATTTTACACAATAAATAGCTGCTATCCTTCTAAGCAATAAACTAATTCGCTTACTCTTTTTCCAGTCAGAATTTTCCACAACCTTACTGTAATTTATATTTTGGAACTTATTTGCACCTCAACCCCATCAGCTTTAGGATCGGGTAACACAGACACACTAGGGATAACAATGTCAACTTGTTCTTCCTGGTATCAATTGGCAAAGGCTCTAATGAAAGCACAAATTATAACAGGAGTAGTAACTTTGACATGCCCTTCTGTATAACAAAAACCAGAAAAAAAACCTGATTGTTGAAAAGACCCTTACTGAAAACAGATTCCAACATCTAAAATAGCTAATTTTAAAAGGTTCAAGAAACAATTAAAATGCTGCTTCTCCACATTATCAAATGCTTTTTGGTGTCTAAAAAGAGAATAATCTGCTTCGGGGGGGGGGGGTGATGCTTGGAGAATGCTCTTCGGCCCCATGGAGCCTTCAATGTGGGGTTCCTCAGAGTTCAATTTTATTCCCCATGCTATTTAACATCTATATAAAACCACTGAGTGGGGTCATCTGGAGATTTGGAGTATGTTGTCAGCAATATGCTGATGACACACAGCTCTGCTTCTCCTTTATATCTGCAGGAGTGGCAGTGGATGTGCTGGACTGCTGTCTTGCCTCAGTAGTGGACTGGATGAGACCCAATAAACTAAAGTTCATATAAGACTGAGGCACCGTTAGCGGGTGTTTTTTTTTTTTTAAATTATAAACCTCCTTTTAACTATCTTTCACCTGGACTGAAGAACTCTCATTCTAGCTTATGATGCTTCATCATCTTTGGGAGAAATCTTTGCTTACATACATATGTCACCAGGGCATGTAGCACCTGGTGGTATGTATCATGGTCAAATATATGAAACCATCATGGGATTTTCTAAGAGATACTTTTTGCCTGTGGTTAACATCCAAGATTTGGGACTAAAGTCATGACTTTTTACTTATGCAAAATATTAATATTCCTCCAAGGCCATAGAGCTTATTAAATTAATGTGAATTGATTTTCAATGTAGAAGAAAATCTCGATGAAGCTAGCTGAATTATTTTGTAAAATGGTAAATGTTTATATCTACACAGATTAGGATAGTACAGTCCAGTTTTGGGTGACAAATGATTCATGTGCCTTTGCGCCACACATACTATAAGAGACTAAACAAACTCTTTGTACGTGGCCAAACACAGAGAAAAGCAGCAGCCGACTGTACCAAACCCCTCCCTAATCAGATTTCTTTGTTGCAACAGCTGTATGCAGATTGGTAGTTCATTAATAAAAGGAGATGATTATGCTAAGAATGGATGCTTAAGCTTTATTTAGGAAGCGTTCTAAAATACAAAGAAAGCGTATAGACTTTATGCGGTGAATGAAAAGAAAGCAGCAATCACTTGATGGCAGGCACTGGAAATAGGCTAGTAATTACATCCTTCTGGCTAATACGCAGAGAAAAACTGTTCCACCATATGCCCAATTCAACAGTACCTCCTGCTCTCACAAACATAACAGTATAGTCAACCCCCTTAAGGAACAGGGCAAAATATATATAATTTTATCCATGTGTTCTATGTACACCCTTTTTGCTATTGCTGGAAAAGCAGGACATATTGTACATGCAAGTAGAAACTAATTAATTAGGCTCTGCCTAGCCTGTGTAAAGATATCCTCCTACATAGGCAAATGTAAAGATCTCTAGAGCCTGTCTCAAATTAGTATTTGTACCTTAATATTTTCTTTACTCCAATGCATTTGCTTTGAATTAAAGTTTAACCTGCCTTTCAACAAGCTCTGCCCTGTGAATCAGTGTACAATTTTATTTTAGCACTTGGTATTTTCAGACAGGTCTTAAATGACGGTCTTACACAAGAATGTCTAGGCACCATACCAGATATGAAGCCATTCATGAAATGGACAGTTGTGGGAATAATTTTTTTATACAGAAGGTGTAACGGGCCCAGTGCAGATTGGAACCATGGTGAGAGTATTTATGTCTAAACTGTTTTCCATTAAAAAAAATACCATAGTGGTTTACAGAAGCTGATTATCATGGGAAAATATATCCTCATGTTTGATATGGGCTTTAACTTTTCGTTCCTTATTGCAGCACCAATTTTTATTTGCTAGATTATCCTTTAAAAAAAAAACAGTCATTCATATCAGTTCAGTCTAATTTATCCCAGAGTATCTACTTGCATTTGCTGAGATTGTAAGCAGCTGTGGGAAGGGGGGGGCAGACTTCACTTCTCACAACTGCCTCATTGGGGAAAGACCTACGGGGAAGAGTTGCTGGGATCGTGGGCATAGCCAAGGTAAATCAAGAAAAATACTTAAGTAACTGAGGTTCCCCCCCCCCTATAAATCCTGGCTACGCCCATGGCTGGAATCACTAGGCCTGCGCTTTTTTGGTTTCTTTGAATAAGGAGTTAACTTCACTGACACAGTGGGGTTTTTCGTTTTTTTTATTGCTGACCTACACCTGACTCCAGCTCCTAACAACTTAAGCTAAAAAAAAAAAAAAGTTGAAACGTCCAAGCTTGCCTAATATGGTTTTATTTACAGTTGGCATCTATCCATTGTTACTAATGAACTTATGAGAGATTTTCAGCCCATAACACTGCTTGGAAATAAGCCCCCATGTTCTACTGGGCTTAATTCCTAGTGTTTAGGGTCACAGCCTTAGGCTGGCAGAGTGACTTGCCTATGTTTCCTCATCTTTAAACTGAAAACGGCAGTGAACTTCATAGAACTGAAGCTGGGATAAAGGTGGGTTTCACCCACAGCTTCTGCTTCTCTGTGGCAAACTTGGGGAGCCTGTAGTCTGCCAAATGTTGCTGGACCTACAACACCTGCCAGCTCCAGCTCAGACTAGCATACGCAATAGCCAGGAATTATGGGAGTTTTACAGCAACATCTGGAGGACCAAAGGTTCCCAAGCGTATGTTATAGAGACAGTCCCATTCTCCAAGGGAAGGAATCTTTGAACGCCCAAATGCCTGTAAAGAATTCTGGGCAGCTTCAGTTCTGCAAAGGCAACCTTATTTCCAGCTGTGAGCCTGTAAACAAATATGCATCTCTCTTCAGTGGTATTAGAAATTGCAGAGGGTAGAGCTGGAGCAAAGAGAGGGGAGAATTCCGAAACTAAACTTTGCTCTTTTGAAACGGGTGGATCAGCAATAACTTTAAGCTAGGTAATCCCCCATGGTGATTTTTCTCCTTTCCTAATAACTGTATCAGTCAAAGAGCTACTTAACTGCTGATTATGTAGAAAGCTGTGTACACACTGCACTGGTAGGAACCATCACAGATCCATGCCTGTAAATCCCCAGCAGCACCACACAGCTCAGAAATTACTGGAAAGGTGATAGCTGGCTTTCCCCATTTACCTTGCAGACCAGGTCAGAATTTTAGCTCTCAAGACATTTGTTGACTGCAAGAGAAGGAAGAACAAGTTCACCTCTACTAGCTGTTGCTCCACTTGTCAGCTGACAGGCCAAGCTCAGGCACAATTAAGAACACAGTTGTAAGCAGCTTTAGATGATTAGATGAAGGAACTTTTCCTCAACCTACAGAAATGTTTCTGTGTAACTAACCAGAGCCCAGGAGGTCATGTTGAGGTATGGCATTCTCAAAGAACATGAGTTTCTAATTCACCTAACTGCTCTATCCAGCTGGACTGAAAATGGTAGAAAGCCTCAGATTACATAGGAAGTGGACTTCCATCATCACTACAATAACATCCAGGTGTAGGGTGGAGTGGGAGAATGGAAAAGTATGGAGGGAGGAAGGAGGAAAAGTAGGTGGCATGGATACCCTTGAAGTTAAGGTCTTGGAAAGTATCAGTAGGAATAATGAATCCAATATTAATCCAAGAAAGGTATTTTGTGCTTATGGCAGACTTATAAACATTCTGTTCCCATTACAAGTTCCAGGCAATGACCTATTCCTATTACATGTTTCTGGCAGTGACCTCACACCTTCTTCACAAACCTGTATGGCAGGCCTGGTTAGCCTATGGCCCTCCATGTTGTTGGAGTACAACTTCCATCATGCCTGACCACTGAGCATGCTGGCTGGAGTCCAACAACCCTTGGAGGGCAACAGGTTAGCTGCTCATCAGAATCATGATGAGAACGCACCAATGCAAAGCCCTGAGTTAACTGGATAGCCATGGACAGCTCACACTCAAGTTTTAGTTCCTTCATCTCTAAATTGGGAACAGTTATTGAGGATTGTTTCAAAGGTAAGAAAGCTACCCTTCTGAAGTATTCACGTAAAAATCCAGAGCTAATTTCTCTTACATCTCTAGTCACAACTTTTTAATAGAAATGTGGACAAAAAGAGTAGCTTGCCTTGAACAGAGACCTAGCTGTCACACACATAGTGAAGTAAACATTTCAGTTTCTAAGGGTGGAAACAAAGTTATCAGCAATTGGCAAACATATTTATCTCCCTTTTCTCAAGTCAAAGCTTTAGCCATTTCTATCCACATCACTCCAACTTGCCACACCTGTGGAGCAATGCAGCAGCTTGGGGGGGAAATCCATCCATCTACAGTAGAAGCAGGTTCTCACAAAAACTCATCCTGCCATTTTAACCCACCCTCCAAATGGTCTAAAAGATGACAGTGATTTATATATTGCTGGCTCTTTATCAAAGCGTTCAAATCAAGAAAATGGATCTCCTCAGCATTTTGGCAGCAACAAAGGACTGGGACATGTATTGTTTCATTTGATTGTGGTTTTTGTATTACTGCATTTTATTTTGGTATGGCTAGTCAGCCATGCCCTTTGTATGCTGCCTTGGGATCTGTAAGGATGTTAAGTTGTTTAAAAACATTTTAAATAATAAATAATATTTGAAAAATTACAAACCCTCTTTTTCACTAAGCCCTGCCAGACTTCAATGACTTGGGAGTTCGTCCTAATTTCTTGAGGGGACTGATTCTGTTTGTTTCCTCACACATACGTAGTGACAAATGCCCTTGATTTAGACTAGCAGCAGTAATGGCAAAAGCTTCCTTGAAGAAGGGAAGTGTTTCACAATGTTTTCTGCAAAATCAAATCATCTTAGACCAACATATCTCTGCTATAGCAGCTCGATCCTAAACATTACTTACAATTAAGTCCCACCAAGTTTAACGGAACTTACACCTAACTTAAGTGTGCACAGGATTGATCTCCAGGACAGAGAAAAGCTCCTTTGCTTAACAGTAGCACAAACAGCTTTTCAGCCACAACTTCCCCCCTGTGGGAAGCTGAAATAAATGGCTGAAGAACTAATAAGCCATGAGTGGGGAATTTCAGGCCTGGGGGTCAAATGCAGCACTCCAGGCCACTCTATCTGACCCCCAGGGCTTTCCCCCGGCCAATCTATCACTATGCCTGTTACACACCCTCCCTGAGTGCTTTTACATGGCTGGAATGTATCCTTGAACTGTGAGAATGCCTCTTGCTTGCCTGGATAGAGAGATGTGTGCATGGAAACCTCCGACTTTTGTGTAGTTGGAATGTAGCCTATGGTACAAGAGACACGTGGGCTGCTCTGGCCATGCCCACCAATGGCATGCAACTCCCTGGAAAACTGTCCATAAAAGAAAAAGGCCCTCAGAATGAAAAAACGACCCTGCTCTATTCATAACCTCTTGCCACAACAGTTATGAGGTCAAAGGAAAAAAGAGTGTCAAGAATTTTTGCAGATTTGGCACACAGTGCAAGAGTTCTACAGCACTACCAAGTCTTTAGGTAGCTAGCCAGAACTTAAGCTTGAGTGTGGCAATTTGCAAGACACCCCCGCCACACAAACCAGCTCCCCACAGCCATGGCAAAGAACTCACATGGCATCCATGGAGTTTTAACTGAACTTATGAACATCCAATGTGTACAGTTAATCTCTAGGTAAAGTAACTGAGTCATTTTATAACCCATTTACGCAGGCTGAATTAACACTTTAGTTTCTTTCTTGAAGAAAACACCCTTTATCAAGCTAATGAACTCTGCCATTCCTCTGAAATCCAAGTTCATTATTAAACTGCTCCTTAGATACGAATTCTGCAGGAGAAGCAAATTCTTTGTCTCCATGCAACCTGTGACTTGGTGTGAAAAGTAATTCAGGAAAAGTCACTCTCAGTGTGATCACACAGTGCAAGGTCAAAAAGGGGCCACAGCTAGAGGAGATGTTAAGCCCCAATACAGATAGTATTAGTTGCTTGAAGTTTTGTTACTGAAATGCAAACCTAAGTGCAATTATGAAGTAAGCCCTATTGAACAGTGCTTACTTCTGTATAAACATGTTTAGGATTCTGCTGAATATGATTACGCAGTGGGGGTGGGAAGTATAACAAACTTAAATTTAGATTCAATTAACTTTCAAGCCAGAGAGTATAAAAGTTAGAGAATAAACATATAAAACATGGCAGACTCATAAAAGCATCAGTATGGACCAATGTGCTTATGTAAACACAACTCCTACCTTCTGTGGGATATGAAAAAAACAAGTTCCTGCTGTTTGTTCTTTTTTTACAACGCAATCCTATACATGGCTACTCAGAGGCAAATCCCATGTAGCCTCAATCAGGTAATTGGGTTTTTTATAATAGAGATAAGAATTTTTTACTTTTATAATAATTTCATTAGAATGTATAAGGATAATTTATGCCACCTTTTTTACAGAAAGAAAATGTTATTTGAATTTGGACAAATGTTACTGTATTTCACCTCCCAACTCAGCCAGTCAGGGATCATGGGAGATATCTGGAGGGTCACAGCTTAGCACCCCTTCCTTCCCCCCCTCCCCCGATTTAGGGACAGCTGTGCTATAAATTTTCAAAGTATAGTTTCTTTAAGATGATGCCAAGGTTGCAGATTCAATGCCCATATGCGCAACTGCATAGTCCTGCATTGCAGGGGGTTGGACTAGATGATCCTCAGGATCCCTTCCAACTCTACAATTCTATAACTTCTACAATTCTTGTCCTAAGAAAAACAATTAAATGGAGCACTAATGAATGAACAGTGTAAGGTTCTGTGGAAGCACTTACTGGTTTTGGCATTTTCGGTTCTTGAAGTGTTCCTGTTGGTTCAAAAGCAAATATTCATGCAGCAGCCTAAGGGTATTCCTCCTTTCTTCTACAAGATCTGCACAAAGAATCCAAATAAATAACACACTAAAGTTAAACTACGGTGTAAGGTGTGGGGAGAGAAGTTCAATAGAGAAGTTCTACTTAAGCCTACTCAGGTGTAACTCTCAGTGTGTTCAGTTGGACACACTCCCATATAAATGTGCATAGGATTGCAGCTTTAAGCAGGTTAAGTAAGCAAGGATGATTCACTCGTGACCAATAATTACTTAGTTACGCCAACCCCTATAGAAAAAAACAAAGCCAGCAACCTCACCCAGCGAAAGAGGAGTCTGATTGCAAGGAGAGAAGGTCATTTGCTCAGCCACACCCATAGGAACAACCACAATTTCAAAAATGTTCAAGGACATGCATGTGTGTGCGTGTGTGGAGGGTTAATCATATTTCAAGTTTTTCCAAACAGTGGTCTCTTACAGAACAAGTATCCAAGCAACACGGAATCAACTAAACCCCTTGACTTAAAACTTTAAGCCTTAAAGGGAAACGGTCTGCGTTCAAAGTCTCTCTGCTTTAAAGACCTCGTAGCAGTAATTCACTAGCTATACAGCCCTTTTAAATAAAGATCAGGGACCTCCCCGCCCCCCTCCCTTCCCGCATTAAGACTGCTCTGAAGCAAGCAAGTTGCAGGCAACGATTCTACCGAGTCCCACATTCAATAAAGGGCTGAAGCTGGCGGGGAACAACCTTGCAGAGTCAAGGCTTCATTTTGCCTCGAAACGGGGCAGGGCAAGAGGAGTTTCCCGGTAGCTCAAAATGTAGGTCTGATGTAACATGCAGTCTTTCACCCACAGACAGGAACTGCTTCAGCTTCCTCCCCTCTTCAAACGAAAGGCTGAGGAAGAACCGGCCCGCGTATTATCAGTAGCCCTGCTTTTTGTACTTGCATTAATCACTCCGGAATGAGTTGCCGCCAACGGAGTTTCGTATTCACTCCCGTTTACGGGAAGCAAAACTCGCTCCCACACCCCCACCTGCGTGCATGGCATAGAAGCCAACGCCAATGAGATATTCGAGGGAGCCCCCCCCCCTAAGTTTGCCATTCAAATGGTCTGCGTGCACTGCTTATTGTGATCGCTTACCTGTCCCCCCCCCCCCCAATATTTCATCCCTGGCTCAGGGAGGGCACCCACCCTTTCTCCAACCCCGGGACAAGTAAGAACAAGCTGCCTAACAGCGCAATCCCAGCCACCTCTACTCAGAAGTAAATCCCGTGGGATTCAATGGGGCCGACTCTCAGGAAAGTGAGCTTCGGATCGCTGCCTCGGTCACCCCTTTAATACCCCCAGATCCAAAAAATTCAAGACCCGAGTCGAAATAGGCCGGTTTCCAGAGGATGTGAGTAATAATCCTGTTGCGGGCATTCCCAAGGGAGGGGGGGCGGATTTAAGCGGCAAATCCTTTTCCCACTTCCTTGGGCGTAAGAGACGCTGAACTAGTGGGGGGGGGGGGCTACTTCTCCCACGAGGCTGACTCGGGCCGGGCTATGCAAGGCAGGGCGGCTCAAACGAGGCGGAACAGAAAAGCAGCACTTTCCGGTTCAGCTTTCAAGAAGCGCAAAGTGTCTCTGGAAAGCGGCGGGAGGAGAAAAACTTAACGAGGCTTTTGGGGCAGAATGCAAACGCGCCGCTTCGAGAAGCGCTAAATAAGTGCGCCAACTCCTCTCTCGGAAGAGGAGCCGGGCGCTAATCCCCCGCCGCCCCACCTGTTGCCGAAGCCTCGGCTGCAGCGCCACAAAAGCAACTTCGCGCCACTTGCTCGCCGCCAAGTTTCCTTCCCGGTAACCCCCTCCAACCCCCGGCTCCTGTGAGGACCGTCGAGGGTGGGGCGGGGTTTCGTCTGGGGGTCCTTACCTCGCCGCGGCAGGTCCGTGTGGCTCCGACCAGGCAAGGCGGCTGCTGCGGCTGGTACTGGGCGTCCGCTCGGGCTGCGCTCTTGGTCCTCTGGGCGTGTGGGCGTCGCTGCTGCCCCTCCCCGGCTGCTGCTGCTGCTGCTGCTGCAATATGGCTGACGCGCCGCTGCGCGGGCAAGCGCCACAGGTCTCGCCTCGCCTGCCCTTCACCCCGCCTCCCCTCCGCCAGCCAGCCGGAGCCGCGCGCGCGCTCGAGCTGCGCCTTCCTCCCGCCTCGACGGCTCGGAGCGCTGCGAACCTGCGGAAGGAAGAGGCGGAGGCGCCGCCGCAGGAGACCGAGCGCGCCTGCAGATGGTGCGGGCCCTAGCGAAGCCCTGTGATTTGCACAGGGAGGGGCTCGACGGCTGCAGGAAGAACCGAGGAGCCGGAAAAGTCGAATAAAGAGCGAGCTCGGCTGCGGCGTCTGCACTGCAAGCCCCCCTCTCGCGCGGTTTGTTTTCTAGGGCGTCCTATTCTTCCAGCCTGCAGCCGTAATCTGCACGCTCCTTTCTCGCTGCGAAACAGGCGTCTGCGGAACTCCTTTGCCACTTGACGAGGATTTAAGGGGCCAGCAATCATGCTCGTTAGCAACAGGGTTCTTGGAGACAACGAACAAACAGGCACAAACCAGAACCCCAGAAGTTTTGATAGTGCCGTATAAAGGTCCCGGGACAGCGGACAAGTGCTGGTTTAAGTTTCAGTTCTTCCCCACGCCACCATTTCCTGTAAATCAGAGTTGCAGAATTGGAAGGGACCCTGAGGATCATCTAGTCCAACCCCCTGCAAAGCAGGAATATGCAGATGTCCCATATGGGGATCGAACTTGCAACCTTGGCATCAGCACCATGCTCTAACCAGCTGAGCGGTATTAATGCAGAAGGTTGTATATTTGGAGTAGTGTGCAAGAACTCTTCCTCAAATTCGACACTGAGCAAATATAGTGCTCCTCCAAAATAAACCAGGGGAAACCATTTCTTTGCAGTTTTTGATTGGTTTTTATACTTACCTGCAAGTAATAAACTCAAATAACTTCTAAGTAGAGGCACAGGATTGTGCAATTAGTTTTAAATTTTGATTCTATTGACGGCGTTTATGCTGCTTTGAGACATGCTTTCTTCTTAGGGGGAGAGTTGTGTGTGTTTTGTAATGTAAACTTTTGCCATTTTTCATTTTAATGTTGATCAGCCTGGGAATTTGATTAAAGGGTGCCATAACATGCTCACAGCAAACAAGCCAGTATGCCCCTCCCTTCTCCAAGAGGCTCCAGGTACATACATGGGGTTTCCCTAATTTATTCTTACAAGAAGTGTTTGTGGTAGGCTAGGCTAAGCAAGAGCACATGACTCAAGGTCACATACTGAGTTTCCTAGCTGAGCAAGAAACTGAACTTCCTCGCCCAGACCTGCACAACTTATGATCCATCAATCTGGATGCAGTTAACTACTTCCATGTAAGCAGAGGCAGGGAATCTTTGGCCCTCAATATGTTGTTGGGCTCCCAGGTCCCATCAGCCCAGCCCAGCCAACAAAACCAATAATGAAGAAATTGGAATTTGTAGATTAGCAACATGCGAAGTGCGACAGGTTCCCCCCCTCCCCCAAGAGAGAAACCCACAAAATAAGTGAAGAAGAGAGAGGTGATACTGGTATGCATGGCTAAATGTTAAAGTGTCATTTTCTGTTTCAAAAATTCTGAAGTCCCTAACTGAAAAGTTACAAAAAGGTGATTTTATTTGAATTACTGTATTTCTATGCCACTTTTCACTCAAATGAATCTCAAAGCGGCTTACAACCAAATAAATAACCATAACATAATAAAACATAAAAGCACATCATGAATACAGTATACATCATATAAAATAATTAACAAATTATCAATAAAACAATTGCAATCTATAAAAACTTAACAGAACAGCAACTAAAAAATAAGCTAAACCTCACAATTATGGCAAGTCATGTGATTAACAAATCAATGTAGCATTTAGAATCCATAAAACAATATTTAAAACATTAACAAAATAGCACTTAAAATAGATGCTAATCACTAAGTTCATTCACACAATCTCTGCACCCCCATGACTCATAACCTTTCACTCTGTTCAGTTCATTCAAATACACAAATGCACATAATGCCTATTGTTAAGCCAGCTCAGCAAGATGCTGTGCTGGCTGGGGTCCAGAGTAGCGGGTCATGGTGGAGATGGTGGGGCTCTCAGGCCTACCGCCAGTGGTAAGGTGGATGTTGACTCCAGGTAGCCTGCCTAGGAACTGTTGAGGAGGAACTAGCTCACATTGCTTTCAATAATCAGGAGGCCCGTTCCCACTTGAGGAAGTCCAAGACAAGTCTGTCCCTCTGGAGCAACGACTGGCACTTGCTGTAGAGGCCAACCAAGAGGTCTAGCAGTGGCCTTGTGGCCTGTTCACCAGGAGCTGCTCCAGCCTGTCAGGCCCCACCCTAGGCCAGGTGGAGAGAGGCAAGGGCAGGGCCCTCAGGCACTCAGCTGGTCAGTAAGTTTTGAGTTCAGCAGAACTCTTCATCAGACTGGGTGTTAAGCCAGGCAGGAGGTTGGGCAGGCAGGGGGAGGAAAAAGTAGCCTTGATACTGAAACCATAATAATTGCATTGGTCAAGAATTCATTTTTGTTCTACTGTCTTAGAAGAGGCATGGCTATAGGGAGAGTGGGTGCCTGAATTTCACAGTATACCACTGCACCACTGGAGGTTGGGCATTGTAGTCTAAAAACAACTGGAAGACCATAGGTTTACAATTTCTGCCCGAAGTCGGGATTCTGCCACTAGTTGCACTACATGGCAGACAAAATATGAAAAAGTTTAGCAATTATTACCTTTCATATATACAGGCTCTAGTTGTCCTAGTTATTCAGGGACAGTTCTTATTTTCTGCTGACCTGTCCTTATTTTTTGCATTTTGAAGGAATATTGGCAAAATTTTCAAGTGTGAAGTTGCCAGTCTGGTCATCCTTCCAAGGAGCCATTGTCTATCCTTAGTATATGTGCATGAACATTAAGGGACCATGCAGTAATCAACCTGCTAATCCGCACACTGCACCTGTTGAGGTCTTCTTTGATATGTTGATAACCTATTGTAGGACAATTGTGCTTTTCTAGTAGGACAATTGTGCTTTTGCCAAAGAAACAGACACCTTCCAGGCCTTTAAGCCAGTGCAAGACAACCAATTGCAGAGTAAATGAATACAGCACACAGAAAGTACTGAAAAGTAATGCCTTCAGCAGTGTTTCTTAGGACTCTCGCAATGTTTCTTGGCATGAAAAGAGAGCTGTGTTACAAATGCTGTTTTCTTCTTGCTGTTGTCTTTTGAAAATGTTACTGCATTTAACCATTGTGTGATTCACATGAAACAAAATTACAGATGACCCTTTGAAAATATTTAACCACTTTTGCTTGTTGGCTACTTTGAAACAGGCTATTCATTCATATACAGTAATCCCTTTTCCTTCACTTTGCCTCATGTCTAGCCAAGGGTCAGACTATCAAAAGAGGCAGTGGACAAATAAGAGCCAAGACAGCTCTTTGTCATTGTATCCAGTTCCGCATTCCTTTCATGCAAATCAGAGTTCCTTGGAAAGGGGGCAGGGGTGGAAATGTGGAAATCTACAACTCTCTTGAAAACTCCTTACAGTCCAGTCCAGAATTTATAGCATCCTCTCATCCAGCTAGCCATACATTAACTCATGTTTGCAGACCTACTGTTGACACCTAGATCTCACATTCTGGGAAATGTTCCTCTGAGATTGTGACTTTCAGAACAGTAGCAATAGCCAGGGTTTATTTTCTACTGGGAGAACTCCCTCTGTGGTCCCAAGAGGAAATTAAGAAGATGGCAAATGGGGAAGAAAGTGGGTGGAGGAGATCATGGGAAGGAATCAAGTACAGCGGTACCTTGGTTTATTAACTTAATCCATTCCGGAAGTCCGTTCTTAAACCGAAACAGTTCTTAAACTGAGGCGTGCTTTCCCTAATGAGGCCTCCTGCCGCCAGTGCCCTTCCACCGTTCAGATTCTGTTCTTAGACCGAGGTAAAGTTCGCAAACCGGGACACTACTTCCGGTTTTGCGGAGTTCATAAACTGAATCGTTCGTAAACAGGACGGTTCTTAAACCGAGGTACCACTGTATAAGGTGTTTCTAGATCTAAACTGCTTCCCATCATTTATTCTCAGCTAAACAACACCTGAATGCATACAGTTGGAAGGATTGTGTAATCTGTAAGCACTGCTATTTTTCTAGAGAAAGAGGTTCGTGAACTCACCGTGAACTCACCTGTGTTCTCTTAGAATAGCAATGGCACCCACCTGAGAGCTGGCGGGAACTGAGTTCCGGCTGAAAAAGAACAGCCCTTGTCTGTAAGAAGACATGCTATTTCAGGGCAGGGAACAATTAATAAGGAACAAAATCAGAGACATGGCATTTAAGAATCAGTCCACAAACGAGCATCCTTCACTAGCTGTGCCCTTGGTCTTCACACTAGCTCTGGAGGGATGAATCATACACGAGGCATTTCCTACATCCATGCAGGGTGGTGGAGGATATGAAGCTTCCATCCACACAATTCCTCTGTGTGATGATTGCCCATGCATTTTGCTATATACATATGTGCTGTTGCTCCCAGTAACTGCGCACACAACAAAGTACTCATGTGTGATCATCACACGTATTTTACATATGGGCCTGGTTTTCCCTAGATGTATTTTGCTTGTGAAATGGTTAAATACTGCCCCCGTGTTCTGGATTCCAAAAGAGCACCCCTGATTCTTCACCAGGCTTCTGGGCTTGGTCACTCTCAGGGGTGCTATCAGCTTTGGGCTCATTGCTGTGCAGTGGTGATGAAATATTTCCACCCTAAGTGCTGCATTTGCTCACGGACAACCTCCTTCAGAAAGGTGAGGGAGTGGTGCTTCCCAGTGGTGGGAGTGGCCAGAGGCAAATGTGGTTGGAGCAGTGGCTGTGACTTCTAGCTTTGTGCTATAGGCTGCATTCTAGTGATGCAAAAAAGCAGTGATTACTACACACCCACCCACCCAGGCAAACAGGGCACTATCACAGCTCAATAACATGTTCCAGCCAGGCAAAAGCACTTGAGGATGGTGCAGAGCAGGGACATAGCCTGGGGAAAGTCCTGAAGGGCAGGTAAATAGGCCTGGAGGTTCCACACCACCCTTTTAATGCATCAGGAGGATATGGGGCATTTGGTCACCAGACAGCTGCCCTGTCTAAGCAGTCCCATCTCCTGCAACCGAACCGGTGCCAGACGTATTGCTCTACTTTCCTTTGGACCACATCAGCGAGGCTGGGAGTGGGCTTTTGTCATCTGGGCATCTCAGGACCTCCATACACACTGTCCAAGCTTGCGCCCCGAGGAGGTCACTTCAGTGCTGCTAATGCAACGGTTTGGCTTCACCCCTGGATGCACACTCCATTGTCTCTTGAGTCAGAGAGATGCCAACAACAAGAATGTGTTGCATCTTCAGGATGAAATAAGGTATTTTTGTTCATTTGAAACATTTGAAAATCCACCTATCAAAACAATAAAGTTATCATAAATGACAAAAAAGCTGATGGCAGGATATAACTAACAGGATAGAGAGTAAAATAAATCAAATGCCTTTCAAAATGTATGATGCATTTAAGTACTACCCCAAAGAAAAGTAGCTTTCATTGGTTGGTGCCAAATTGGCAATCAACACAGCTATCATCACAAAGTAAGGAAACATTTAGTTGAGTCCTTCAGGAATTATAAATAATTCATAGAGTGCAAAGTGCTTTGTGGTCTTTGTCTCTGAGCCAGCAAGCTCCTATGCACACACATACACAAATATGTGCTTTTCTAAACAATCATTCCCACATCCCGAAATATTGAGATGTTGTATTAATGTGTGTGAGTTTAACAAGTAGTTTGTGTTTCCTTATTGTGCTGCTGTTCAGGAAAGGTCCCATGTGATGTTTGCTGGTTTTTGTTTGGCTAAAGAAAAAGATATAAGTATAATAAAAAATATAATTTACTGGATGTCTAAGATTCAGGCTTGGGGGCAAGTACTCTTTGATGAGAGAACCCCAGCAGAGATTTAAAATCACCAAATATGCAGCAAAGCATTGAAACATAGGTTGTTAAGACCTTTAAAATATCCCCTTCTAAGCTGCTTCCAAAATTCACCACTTCCTTTAGCATAGCAAAAGACCACACATTTGGTAAGGTGAAGATGTTTTACTTACAAACTCTTCAAAGGTCAGGTTCATGTGCTTTTCCATACAGCATTGAGAAAAACACAGGCAGTTAAACTTAGATTCCCAAGTGGTGAATGTTTCTAAATTATTTGTATGGAAACACAAAGATGGTTTGTTTAAGACATGCAGTCTAGGCTCAGAGCAAGAAGCCCAGACCTCCTTCCTGGGAGGGTTCACATAATGGAAGATAGAAGAACAAAGGCTTGATAACCCTTTCTCCCAAGGTGAGTGGGGAGTGACCTAACTAAGCCTGGCAGGACAGCTTACTTTATGGTCTTTACAAACAGTGCACAAAAGAGAGAGAACACATTAATGGGGCATAAACTTTTGTGTACTAGAATCAGATGTGTGATGTACCTCTGACGAAGCAGGTTGTAGTTCACAAAAGCTTGTGTCAAAATTGCATCTTCTGTCCCTTCCTCTGAGAAGTTCACTTACAGCAACCCTGTAAGATAGACTAGACTGAGAAGAACGATGTGCTCAAGGCCAAGCCGTGAGCTAGGCAGAAATTCAAACTTGGGACTCTAAGCCCAATTCTTTAACCACCAGACAATGCTCTCAGCCACTAGGTAGCTCAACAGCCGCCACCCAAGATAGGCCCATTTCCATTAATAAACAAAGAAGCCTCTCACCCTTAGAGGTAGTTGCTAAAGACAAGTGTCTTGTTGTTTTGCCAAGGTATGGGAGGAAATGTTGAAGTGTGCCTCTGTCATTGTCCTCAGCTGTTTTCATTACAGACAATAAGGAAACAAACAGCCTCTTTGGCAGTTATTTTGGCTTAGGACCAAATTTGATGTGATGGTGAGTGCCTCATTCATGTATGAAGCAGAGTGGGATTGAGGGGTCTGATTTTAACATCCAAATGAGTGTTTGTGAGTGAAGAGTAAATTCTCCTTGACCTTACTTCTCTGTGATTTCTTCTTTTTCCCTCAGACTGATACTGGATGGGATCTGGGTTGGGAGAAGAGTATATGAGTGGCAGGGTGTGCAAAGGCATGGTGGGGAGGGGCGGGGATTGAAGGTTAGCTTTCCTTTCCTGTGAAATCACACACACAACAATATTTGCCTTATATCGCAACAGGGAAAATACATGATTGAGCGAATGTGGCTGCTGCCATTGTGCCCAGTGTGGCCCAAAGCCTTGCCAGTATAATATGCGAGGTGAGGATGATGAGCACCTTTACAGCTGAAAAGAAAGGATTTGAGCATTGGTTGTAAATAGTTATTAGCAGAGGTTATCTTGTGTAGGAAAGGGTGGGAAATTTGACTATGGGTGGAAGGACACAGGAAAAATGCAATTGCACACAGCAACAATAATAGGTTTGGCTTCTTTGGTATGCGGAGTTATTACTGGTACATTGGCACTGGAGAGTCAGAGAAATAAGTTTGGATGATCTCTTTCACAGGGCTGCCTTGTTGGTAGGAAAACAAAACAGCCCATGAGAATGAGAAAGCTTGCAATATCTTTGCAAGTCAGTCCAGTTAACTGACATCTTAGAATCTGTATTCTGTATATGAAATGTGTGTGCAGGTTAGCAACAATGTCCAGACCTTTTCTTTTCAAAACCACCAGGCAAAGGATGGCCAAGGAATTACTCATGTGACTGGAGCTGGCCCTATTGTTAGGCAGAATGAGGCAGTAGATGCTGGTGTGTGTGTGTGTGTGTGTGTGTGTGTGTGTGAGAGAGAGAGAGAGAGAGAGAGAGAGAGAGAGAGAGAAGCAGTTGCTCCTGAGCTCTCTAGCCCCCTTCCACTGGAGGTCAGAGCTATGCAACCTGCCCTGCACCCCTTTAGCTAGCCTGCTGCCCTCTGGCGTGGTAGAAGACACTGTCCCATTAGTATGCTTCCTGTCCTGTCAGCTTCTGTATGTGGAACAGGGGATGCACAATCTTGACCTTTGGCTAGGGGCAGCAAGATGTTTTGGGTGGTTGGGTCAGCCCTACATGTGACCGAAGGAGCTTGTCTTCGTAACTGATAGCAGAGGTGAAAAATCAGTTTGTAACATTTTTATTTACATGCATAAATAACATTTTAAGGGGATACAAGAGTTCACAGTAACACAGAGTTTATATGTGGACTGAAAGATAACTGCTGCTCCCAGTGGCCTGAGGATCCTTGCAGAGCGCCTAAGTCCTTAGTAAGTGTGTCCTGTGCTTCTGCCTTTGCTTCCTGGAGCTCATGTGTGCTAATGGATTAAGGCCTTCTCAAGTGGATTAGCTGATCAGGGCATTGTGCTCTGCCTCCGAATGCTTCTCAAGCATGCTCCAGTTTTGCTTCCTGTCTGCGGCTACGTGTTTTTTGAAAAGAAGACCTCGCCAAACAGAGAATCATAGAATTGTAGAGTTGGAAGGGTCCACAAGGGTCATCTAGTCCAAGCCCTTGCAATGCTGGAATCTTTTGCCCAACATGGGGTTCAAACCCACAACCCTAAGATGAAGAGTCACATGCTTTACTAACTGAGCTAAGAGCCATAGCATGAGTTGGATCAGCTCACATTTCAACATGGCGATGGAATATTGGCTACATAAAATTACAAGAAACAAAAGGAAAACTCTGGAAAATACTTTTCAGCTACTTCAGCTAATAGCAACAAAAGTATTAAAAGCACCCCCCCAAAAAAAACTTTCTTGCTTTACAGCAGAGATAAGGAACATGTGGCTCTCCAAACATTGTTTAACTCCAACCCCCACTGCCCTAAGCCAGGAGAACAACTGCAAAGTAGGTAGAACTTTTGCTACCATCTTCCTGCTCTGCCTTGCTACTACTCCTGGCTGAAGGGAGGAGCGATGCTGGACCAATCCCTGGAGGAAGATGCTGGACTCATCTGCAGCTGATTTGCAACAGCTGGCCTGACATCAGACTTTTGGGTGGGCTGGAGAGGTTAAAGGGGTGAAATAGTTATTTGTTTGCTCATTAGTGGGTGTGAATATTTGAGTAAATATTATTATTATTATTATTATTATTATTATTATTATTATTATTTACACAGTGGACGTATTATTTATGTTTCTTTTCAAAAATTTTACGTTATATAATATATTAATGTATTATATGATTTTTCTTCCCTTTTCCTTCCCTTATGGTATTATGTATGTGTGTGTGTGTTTGTATATGTATATTATTGTAAGCCTCTTGGAGACCTTTTGGGTTACAAGCGAGTAGTAAGTTTAATAAAACAACAACAATATGGGGGGAGGAGCTTCCAGCAAGATTTAGAACCTGGATTGCCCAAAGCTCATTGGGTAACCTTGGACCAGTTGCTACTTTTAGCCTAACCTACCTCACAGGGTTGTTGTGAAGATGAAATGGGAAATACATTAGATACGCTGCCCTCATCTCTTTGGAAGAAGGGTGGGATATAAATGCAATAAATCATTAACAAGCAGAAAATGCCAAACCTCTGAGTTAAACTGGAGCCCTACTTCATGTGCCCAATTATTTAAGAGGAGTTCCTCATGACATAATTATTATTTTTGTAGACTCAAAGTACCTTTGGGGAGAGGAAGCATCCTTTATTTTGTGTTTATAAGGTACATAGTAATTTTTGAAGTACAAATACTTAGGCCTGACTGAGTATTTGGGCATTATTGACTGAGGAAAGATTAAGCCATACGTAAGTTTCTCACTGAAACCAGTGGGACTAAAGTCTGCTTAACGGGCACATATATGTTCTGGATTTTTAAAACAAATTTAAACAAAATTGCTCCGTATTTGACGCTAGATGGTCTGGCTGTCTTCTTGCAAGCTTGCAAGCTTATCTGAGTAGTATGGGGAAAGGGAGCATGTAAATGCTCATGTATATGAAAAGATAATAATTTTGAAACTTTTCCTGTCTTTTAGTGTTGGTATATGCCTACTTCTTACTGAAGTGGCAAAGCTATGCCTGGATTGGATTGAAAGTGAAGGACTCAAAGGGCTGAATAAACCTCTATGTAGACAAAACATCCCTGCACATAAAAAAACTAGAATGTTATGGAGAAAGGTTCTACCCTTGGCTTCTTCCTTAAATATAGTTTTATATGTGCAGGGATTTAATGTTTTTTTGGTATAGCCAGAGCATTCAGTCATGTGTGTCAGCTGCATACCTTGATTTTTTTTCTCTGGCACTCTTCCATAGTCTAGTAGCTTATTTTTTTAAGAAACTTTCTATAGTGGAAGTAGCGCAAGCAGTATCAGAATCAGCACCCTCCACCCACGGGTATCTGTTTAAGTTTTCACTGTTGCTATAGGTGATGGTACCTGAAGAGGCACTGGCGGTCTCAGCTTGCCGTTTTGACACTACCCAAGGAAAAACAAAATGGTGGGCCCCTCTCCCTTGCTGTGCCACTGCCATCTATAGCAGGCAGTGGCAAAAAGAGAGAGAGGGAAAGTGAAATATACTCGGAGTCCTGTAGTGTTTTCATGCTCTTTATTGCAGCTTATAAAACAGTGATTGAATTGCCCCCCAAACCTCAGGCTTTTATATAGATTATTTACACAATGAGTCCCGTCTGATTGGCTGATTCTGCTTCCCTCCTGGAGCCTGATTGGTCTTTTCCTGCAGGCCAATCAGTGGTTGCATTCTACAATCCTACCAGCTTAATAGGCTGATTAACTTCTTCCTGGAGCCTGATTGGTCTTTTCCAGCAAGCCAATCAGTTGTTGCATTCTAGGATCCTACTTGCCTATTGTTCTAAGATCCAAGCTTAGTACATAACAGAAAGACAACCTCAGCATGGGCAGAGGCTTGACATTCTTTCACCACTGGTGGACGTGCCCAAGGATTAAGGCTTTCTGGGAGACGATATATAATGAATTGAAAAAGGTATTTAAATATACCTTCTTGAAGAAACCAGAGGCCTTTCTCCTGGGCATAGTCGGCCAACTGGTGTTAAAGAAGGATAGAACTTTCTTTATGTATGCCACAACAGCAGCAAGAATACTTATTGCAAAGTATTGGAAGACACAAGACCTACCCACTCTGGAAGAATGGCAGATGAAGGTGATGGACTACATGGAATTGGCGGAAATGACTGGCAGAATCCGAGACCAGGGAGAAGAGTCGGTGGAAGAAGATTGGAAGAAATTTAAAGACTATTTACAGAAATATTGCAAAATTAATGAATGTTAGAATGATGTTGGAATGAAGCTAGGTGGTTTAAGCAGTAATGCCATAAAGGTGTATGTAAAAAAGGATTGATAACAGATGAAAATTTAAAGTTATAGTATATTAAGTTAAAGGATTATGAGAAAACACAGAGGGAAAGAAATTGCTGACTTAACTAATTGAACTGGAATACAAAAAAGGGAGGTATGAGGAGGTCAGGGAAACAAGGATATGAATCTAAGCTATGAAAAGATTGATCTATTTTTCTTTTCTTTTTAAGTGCTTTTTATCCTTTTATTCTGTATTTTGTATTTTGTACCCTTCTTGTATTTTTACTTCTTGTTTTTGTGTAATTCTTTTTTTCTGAAATTTCAATAAATATCATATAAAAAAAAAAGCATGGGCAGAGGCTGCTGGTGCTGTGTTTGGGCTGCTGCCACCTATGACAAAAAAAGGTTACTTTTTTTTATAAAGTTGCTGGGAGCACCAGGGAAGGGGGTCCAGGGCAGCAGTCAGTGGTGGTTGCCCACAGGATGTATGTCCCACTGCTGTTCATGTCAGGGAGGCTTCCCATGGACTTTGCAAAGCGCCCCCCTCCAACTGGGAGTCAATCTGAAGTGGCACAGCCTGGACACAGGTCTGGCACCTCAGTGAGAACTTAGCTTTAAGGAGAGCCTGTTCTCATGACGGTCAGATGCTTATGGGAGGCCCCAAAGCAGAACACAAGGGCAACAGCACTCCCCACCCACTTGCGCTCCCCAGAGACTGGCATTCAGAGTTATACTGCCTCTGATCCTGGGGGTAATATATTATTACGTGCTACCCAAATTTCTGCTGAGCGACAGCATGAGATCCCAGGGGTTCCAAGCACTCCCCCAGGGGTGTGTTGGGAAATCAAGGCACAGCAAAGACTAGTGTCTTTAAGAAATATGGTTTATTGTACACGTATTTGGACCTGAGTCTATTTTGGAGAGCATTTCAGAGCATTACGTACATTACGTACACAATTCAAAGTGCTTGTGCTGACCTTTAAAGCCCTAAACGGCGTCGGCCCAGTATACCTGAAGGAGTGTCTCCACGCCCATCGTTCTGCCCAGACACTGAGGTCCAGCTCCGAGAGCCTTCTGGCGGTTCCCTCACTGCGAAAAGCAAAGCTACAGGGAAGCAGACAGAGGGCCTTCTCGGTAGTGGCACCCGCCCTGTGGAACACCCTCCCACCAGATGTCAAAGAGATAAACAATGACCTGACATTTAGAAGACATCTGAAGGCAGCCCTGTTTAGAGAAGTTTTTAATGTGTGACATTTTAATGTATTTTTTATCTCTGTTGGAAGCCGCCCAGAGTGGCTGGGGAAACCCAGCCAGATGGGTGGGGTACAAATAATAAATAATAAAAATTATTATTATTATTATTATTATTATTACCTCAAGAGGGGCTTGTTCTTCACAGCAGTGCAGCATCAGAGTCCAAGGCATCCTGCACACCATCTCTGTGCCTCTGTCTCAGCCTGCCAAGATGGTTCTGCCCCACATGATGTCTTCTTGGGGTTCTGGCTCCACCCCTCTCCTTCCCAAAGACCCTTGCCAGAAAAGCCGAAGCCTCGTGTAAAATGGGACTTTTCCCCTATAGGCACAGGCAGCTGCCCCAGTTTTCCTGCGTCATGGAAACTGAAATCCTAAATCTTTCTCTGTCCTTGGTAACCATGCGAACTCCCCACTCTGTCCACCAGCAGAGAATCTCCTGCCCTGGTTATGGTTTTCATTAATGACTTGCTCCCAGCACTTTTTGTCATTACTAACAACTTCTATTCCAGGTGAGGTCCTGGCCTGGCATCTTCTCTTCAGAACTCCAAATATTATCTAAATTCTACCATTTATTAATTTCGAACATTCACTTACTCTAGCAATTATGGGTGCGCTTGCACCTCCAAACTCTGTTACCCTAGATCTGTAACAATATGTTGACCACAACTAGCCACCACCGAAAGGCTTACCCTATCTGAAAATCATGACCAGTCTTTATAATGACAATCCAGATGTCTTTGGAATTAATTAGTATATGCTCAGATGGGGGGATAATTTGGGTTACGCAAGTATGGAACATGTGTATGTTGTATAAAGGAGGCAGCCATTAACAAGGATAAAATTGCTTTCATATCTTCTGTAGTGAAATATAATTAATTTGCTTATAAAAACAACTCTTTAAGCACAGGAGCCCTCTAATTAAAACAAAGCAAATGGCGGATGTTTTAAATGTAGCTCATGTCTGGACTACGGCATTAGTTCTTGCCGCAGAAGAAATAACCACAACATCCTGAGTCCAGGGTTAAGAGCTACAGCAAGCGTTCACACTCGGCAGCATGAGTAATTAGAAAACCATTTCA